ATTTTTCTTTCTTCTATCACTTTAATGGTTTCTTGTGTTATCCATGCTTTATGTTTCCGTTCTTTCTTACCAAGAACTTCTACAGAAGATTCATTCCAAGTTCCCTTGATCTGATCCCAGCAGACGTCACTGCTTACATCTTAAGCTAACTGCTGCAACACCTGGTACCTTTTAGAGACTGTAACTGAAAATTGTTCTTAAACTGCTTTATCCCTGAGATAACCTATATTATACTGGTTTCTATGATTATAAGGTGATATATATCTTTTAAGTTTCAACTTGATTTTAATTAAGTAAGTAAGTAAAGTAAAGATCCCTATTCACGCCTTTTAGGCGCATCAGGCATATGGGAAGAACGCCCATATTTTTACAGACCAATCGGCGCTCGGTGGGTAATGTGGTCAGCATTACGCCGGCCGTCTTTACTTCCCCAGGACAGCCATCCTGGTACCCATTTGAGGCTGGGTCGACCTGCGACGTCCCATACCACAATAAAAATCCACGCAGCCCGCAGTGGGTTTTGATCTTGATTTTAATTACCAACAGAAAATGGTCAGTAAATATATGGGCACCTCTGAAAGCCCTAACATCATAAAGTGATGATCTAAACTGTTTGTTTATACATATGTGATCTATTTGATTGGTTGTCTTATGGTCTGGTGTAATGAAAGTTAAATGCATTTGAGGCCCGTCTCTCTAGCGTAATTGGCTAAACCGGATTGCGCGGTGAGCGGGTGACGACCTCCTTGTGGTCCGGGTTCACTCCGGGGGGTGAGCAGAAAAGCCACATTTCTCCCAGATTTACGGTATTTAAAATGGAATCAAGGCCGAAAGGTTGCGATATACATAATACCGAGCCTAAGGGTTAACAACTCATGGCTTCTGGATACTCAAACAAATAAACAAACAAATGCATTCGAAAACAAATGGCTGAGGAAAATGATGAACATAAAGTGGGATGAATTCAAGAGAAGTAGAGAAATCAGAGACGTATCTGGGCAACCAGTGTTATCAACAGTTATGAGACAGAGAAAATGGTGTTATATTGGAACACATTCTGAGAACAGACAAACATAGAATCACTAGGCATTGAAATGGGAAAGAGAGGGATTGACAAAAAGTGAACTTTCAAGAGAAACCCAAAAGGTGAACGTTGAGAGAAGCCAAGGGTGCTGGACAGGATTCCATCCCTGATATTGAAGTGATTGACTGCACAGGATAGAATGGAAGGGAGACTTTTGTGACATATAATGGCACAATGAGACAGTGAATTTAAAAAAAAAAAGCTCCTGAAGCATATTGAGATTATGGCTTGTGCATAATATTTTCATAGACCAACTAGAACTTAGTATGTGACACCCAAGGGCAAGTGAATGCATGAGCAGAACATTCAATGAGAGAACAAGCTCCTTTTTTTAAAGCAATGTCACATTCAATTTTGATCATTCATCGCCCAGGCATGTACCACCATGTGTAACTACATCGTTTAGAGATTAGTGAAATTATTTCACAGTTAGTCTATGGCAGACCAACTTGATGATGATGGTAAAGTAAAGTAAAGCAAAGTAAAGATTCCTTTTCATGCCTTTAGGCGCATAGGGCATATGGGAAGAACACCCATATTTTTACAGTCCAATCGGCACTAGGTAGGTAATGTCGGGGAACCCACATGGGCATAGGAATAAAGGAAGACCAAAAACACATGGAAAGGGGAGCTAGAGAGTAAAGTTAAAAAGATGGGAAGAGCTGCATGCAATAGCAAAGGATAGAATGACTTGGCAATAATTGGGTGAGGGCATATGCTCCATTGGGGGCTAGAAAGGCAGAAGAGGAAGACACATCTTTAATGGTTCTCCAACAGTCACTAGCAAATGTTAAAACTGAAAAAAAAAAGTTTTTTTTTTTTACCTTTCAAAGTCTGAAGTCGGGGAGAAGGGTCCTTTACTTTCTACTTTAACTTTATATTTAAAAAATCTATTTGCAGCGCTATTACTACTATATACGGAAGGGCATCTCCACAAACATGCTAGCACCTCAGCCAAGTCAGCAACTGAAGAATGTTGAGAAAATGATACCTGCCAATCTTCTTGCTACGAAACATCTGCAGGCAATCTACAAACAGCTGAGAGAAGAGATAGATAAAGATTATGAAATGAGTGCTCGCAAATGTATTGGTTAGTATATTGTTGTTTTGTATCCTGAAAACATTGTTGATCTTGATATGGTTATTCTGCACATTTCAGGGATTCCTATACCAGATACTGCCATTAGAGTGTGAAGATACTGTCATTAGAGTGTAAAAAACTGTCATTAGAGTGTCAAGATATGCTATTAGAGGGTCAAGATACTGCCATTAGAGTGTGAAGATACTGTCATTAGAGTGTAAAAAACTGTCATTAGAGTGTCAAGATATGCTATTAGAGAGTTAAGATACTGCCATTGAAGTGTCAAGATACTGCCATTATGGTGTGAAGATACTGCCATTATGGTGTGAAGATACTGCCATTAGAGTGTGAAGATACTGCCATTAGAGTGTGAAGATATGCTATTAGAGAGTCAAGATACTGCCATTGAAGTGTCAAGATACTGCCATTGAAGTGTCAAGATACTGCCATTATGGTGTGAAGATACTGCCATTATGGTGTGAAGATACTGCCATTAGAGTGTGAAGATACTGCCATTAGAGTGTGAAGATACTGCCATTAGAGTGTCATGATACTGCTGATAGGGCTGAGGGTGACCACTTTCCTTCTTTATTGCTTTTTCTATGGAAGAAATTCTGATCATTGCCTAGTATCCCTTTTTATTAGGTTAGGTAACCTCTAGACAAACACTAATGCAAAAATCACATGAGAGATGAGATGTATAAGAAATGGAGCAGGAAAAAACACGAAGAGACAGAGTCACTAATGAAGAACTAAGAACAGTGGTAGGTAGAGTACCCGGTCAGTGATTTCATAGAACATCAAAGAACCAAATGGTTTGTCATCTGGTCAGAATGTAACAAAATCAGCCAGCGGCTAGAGGGTACAATATGAGAACAGCAGGCTGAAAGGCAAGAGGCTGATCAAGAAAGAGATGAGTGGAGGGAGTAAAAGAGAGGCTACAGAAATGCAGCATGAAATTAACACAAGCTATACAACTAGTACAAGACAGGAAACTACATCTAATTCCTCACTTTGATGCCCAGTGGCATAAGCACTAGGACAATAGAAGAAGAAAGAGGAAGCACAGAGAGACATATTGGCAGGGGGGAAAATAATTTGTTTGTTTGTTGAGAATTAAACCCAGGTCAGTGACTTGGCAGCCAAGAATTACTCAGTTCTCTGACTCATTAACTCATTCAGTCCCAGGGGGCTTAGCTTCAGGCTCCCAATGGGCAGCCAAGAGAGATGTAAATCGGCGCATCTTGTTTTCACTGGGCTTCTAGGTAGGAACCTATGAACGTATGATGTGTTCCATGGGACTGAAAGAGTTAACTTATTCAGTCCTAAGCAACTCACCATGTGCTTGTTGAACTCTCTTTTAGTAAATACAAGGTTTAACTTTCTGTCACCCATCTAGTGGGGACATTACCTTCCTCAGCCTCTTTTGTTGCCTCATGGCGTTATTATTTCATCTTCTTCAGATTTCAAACATATATTAGTTAAAATAATAAATTCTTAGGATAAATACAGTTAACCCTTTCACCCCAAGAACACAAAAATAAATAGGTCATGACCTCTTTAAGTTTCCTGAAAAAACCTATAAAAACAAAAATTATGTTTACACACGTCACTAAAAAATTGTTTTAATTGTATTTAACAACATTTATAAATTATTTCTTAAAATATAAAAGGAGTAATCAATTAACATGAATGGTGGTAAGCATTAAACTGAATACTACCTCGAGAGCCTAAAAAGTGTACGTGTCTCAAGTGACTTATGCAGTGACCTCGTGACCTTTACCACTGAAGCTTATGAGAAAATTGGACATCTTGGCTTTAAAAAAAGCCATTTAGCTCAAAGGAAAACCCATCTAATTGCAATTGTTAGTTAATATGTTCATTTCCTGACCTTCCTAATTTTGCACAGGCGTGAAATCAGCCACTTACATTAGCTATACATTTCCTAAATGGGTCATGATAGGCAATATGGAAAAGTGACATTTACGGGTAATTTAACCCAACCAGAAGTGTGAGTTTTTCAGCTTATCGAGACAGAAGGGCTAAGTAGCATCCCGCCTGGAACTTAAAGAGTTTGCTCACTAAACGTAACAGATTACGTGGTGTTGAAACAAGAATCGAAAGTAAAATCAAATAACCCTAAATGTCCAGTTATCACAAGACAAAACATATTAACAGATTGACATTTCTGATTGCGAAATAAGAAGAAAATAATTATGTCACAGTATATTTTAAATCCAGTAAATCCAGTAGTTCATATAAATATTTGTCTTTTTATGTATTTATATATTTATTTGTCTTGCATAAGGCTTATAGAAAAATAAATTTTCCATTCTCATAGTAGTGAATTTTTAATAGGCTTCACATAAACCATTGTTCACAAATGTTCTCAGAACAACAACATTTCAAAAGTTAATAGTGAAAAAAATAGAACTCTTTTCCACACCTTTAGAGAGCTCCACTATGTGGATATAGACTTCCTAGATGATTCACCTCCCAACAAATGTTGAATACATTTGATGTTTGTGGCTAAAAATAGCAAACACTTTTGGCCAAGAAAAACATCAGTTCAAGTCAAAATTTATGGGTCGCTGAGAGAATTACAAAAGACAGTGAAGTTTTTACTAGAGAAAACATTTCAGATGTAGATAATCTATTTCAAGCGAACAAAAGAAGAAGAAGAAGCAAATATAGCAGCATTGATGTAAACAGACACAGCACAATTATGTTTAAAAAAATGTTTAATACAGAAGAAACAATGTTTATTATATGAATGTTGTTTGTTTCTTTATGCTTTATAAATTAGATTCATAGTCTTACATTTGTCTGTTTCAGTGGACTACATTCTACAAGATGAATCAGAAAAGAAAAGACTTCACATTGACTGGATTCCAAAATCATTCCCACAAAAGTAATCAATATTTCTGATCTATAGAAATAAATATTTTGGTTTGTGTGATTTAAAAGTTTTTGAAGATTCTTCCATTTCATAGTAAGATTACTGGCAGATACAGTTTACTCTGTTATTGTATATAAAGACTAACCCTTTATAAATTGAAGTGCCAATATTTAGGGTTAATATTTACAGTGGGCAGCCAGAATTACTAGCAGTTATTGCCTGTAAAAAGTATAATTTGCTTGGAAAAAAAATTACAGGCAACGACTGCCTAAAGAAAATAATGGCAACAATTATCTGAAAAAGAGTAACAATGATTATCTGGAAAAATAGTGACAGATATTATTGTCTGGGAAAAGATTAACTAAGAAGACTTGTGTACATTCATCTCTATGGTAATCTTAGACACAGATTCCCAACTGGGCACATGGCCAACAACTTTTCATTTAAAGTTGAAGTGCTTCTGCCTAAGGGGTGAGAACTTTCTGTGTGTGCTCAAATGAGCCAGAATCGTAAAAGAAAAAATGTCCATGCAAAACTGAATTCAAGACTTGTTGCCAGAGTTTCAAGCCAGTGAACATGAAGAAGAAGATGGAAAAGAACAATAACTGTTCAGATATTGTCCATAAAAAATGTCCACATTTCAACAAATGTCTTCCATGGACTTTTTGTGCAGGTGAAATTAGATTTAATTACATAAGTGAGTGTTGCATGATGTTTTCTCAAAAGATGTTGCTACTCACATGTTGTTCAAATGAGTATTAAAATTGTCTGATAGCCCCTCCAGGCAGAAATTAAAGCAGCGTGGGCAGCAGTCAAGTAGGACACTGGTCAGCATTGCCCAGACAGTAGTTAAGTTTAATAATAAGTATCTTGGTGCTAATGGTTGAACACCTTGTATACCCCCGTGTGGGTTCCGGGGCCCCATTGCGGGGGAAAACAAGAATAGACCCACTGCCTCCCCAAGAGCATGTAAGAGTCGACTAATTGGGGAGCTTCCTTTGAAGTCGGAGTGCATCTGCTGGAGAGGCAAGGAACCAACAGTCTGTGTTCAAGAGAATGAGATCTGTAAAACTGATGCACATGCAACACTCAGGTTCTATAGCAGGACTGCAGTTCAGTAGTGGACGAGCAACCAGAACTTTCCGCCAGAGTGTACAGCTGGTGAACGCGAAGAAGAAGAAGAAGAACACCTTGTATAGTTGTGGAAGGTATCTTACCTGCATCTCATGATGTCTGTATAAATGTAATATATTATATGGGAATGTCCAGAGTGAAAAGATTCCAATTCTTGAATCATTCATTCCGAGTTTACTTTTATAAGGTTCAGGACTCCCAGTGGTACAAGACTCGCACTGTGGAAGACATTGGGCCTCACCATGTAATATTCCCAAAGAGAACAGTGATTCACTGTAGCCAACCTCCATTATGGAGACGGCAACAAACTTTTTAAGGTCCATTATGCTTTCTTTTTCTATCAAAATTAGGGCTCTGGATTGAAGGAAATAGGCCACTCATGTTTTCATTGAGACTATTGTTTTTTTTTTTTAAATCTGCTGTGAAATATTCTGGGCTTAAAAAGTTAATTTCACTTTTTTGTAATACCAGATAATTTTACTTTAATTAATTGAAATTAAAACAACTGTTACTTCAAACTATTTACTCTTACATCTAAAGACTTTCAGATAATATCCATAATGAGTATAATCAGTTAAAAAACAATTGTAATCAGGTGTGATTTTGCGACAGCTGTATGGGCTAAAGGCCTAATTTCAGCTCATTTCTTATTTCAGTAATAATCAGCGGAATGTGGCGATTGACCCTTTGATAGAGTTGCAGTGTCAGTTAGTCTATTGCTCTTGATTCCTAGATGTCCTAATATGAAAATGAATATAGCTCTTCAATGATTTAATCAATTACATCTGACTTTTATTCTACATGATATATAAATTCAACTGAAAACAACTTATGTCCACAGAGTAATTCGAGCACCTGTTCCATGGCACTCAGTATTTGCAACACGGAAAGTTTTCATAGAAACACGGTTGTTTATCACAAACCCCATCATGTTGAAGCTGCAGAACCTGTGGTTTAATGAGTAAGCCCGACTTGCTTGTGAACGTAATCTTTTTGCCTAAGTATAGTTAAAGATAATCGCATGCCACATACTAGTATTGAGATGCGAAAGGCTTCTGGTTCAGTATGCCAGATAGGTGGGCTGTCTGTTAAAACCTTGGAGTGTTATTCACTTCTAGCCATCAAGTGCTGATGCATTTTTCCCCAATGTATTGATTAAAAGTACAGGATTTCTTCACCCAGTTACTGAGTTGAGTGTATGATGTGATACTGTGAGCTGTGGATTTCATGTGCAACAGAGTGGTTTGTGTTGTGAACTGTATCATGTTGAAGCTGCAGAACCTGTGGTTTAATGAGTAAGCCCGACTTGCTTGTGAACGTAATCTTTTTGCCTAAGTATAGTTAAAGATAATCGCATGCCACATACTAGTATTGAGATGCGAAAGGCTTCTGGTCCAGTATGCCAGATAGGTGGGCTGTCTGTTAAAACCTTGGAGTGTTATTCACTTCTAGCCATCAAGTGCTGATGCATTTTTCCCCAATGTATTGATTAAAAGTACAGGATTTCTTCACCCAGTTACTGAGTTGAGTGTATGATGTGATACTGTGAGCTGTGGATTTCATGTGCAACAGAGTGGTTTGTGTTGTGAACTGTATATTCAGAAAGTGGAAGTGGCCAGTTGCCACAGAACTGAGGATGGGGGTGGGGGGGGGATGTCTTATGCAGTAATGTGTGTGCAGCTGCTGATTTGTTGTGACTGCTACTTCCATCAGTGATGAACTGCAACAGTGCCGGACTGTTGGTGTTGGAACATCTGATACATCTGCCTTATGCATTTAATTTCTATGTATGCTTTTTTCTTTGCAATGATTGCAATCTCTTCAAATTTGTCAATAAGATATAATGATAAACTTTCTGTGTAGCTTTCTCTGGGACAGGAATGGAGCAGTTATGGGTTGTTCTGTTTACAATAAAGTTTAAAATGTGAGTAATGCTAATTATATTTGAAGTGTGAGGCCTTCATATAGTCTAAACCATAATGCCAATGAATGTCATCCATTTGTCTAAAAAAAAATGCCACATGACAACAAGCAAAGTTGACAGTAATCTTCTGGAAGATACTGTCATCATGGTGTGACATTCTTGTCTAAGTAATTGTAAAGATAGTCATTATCACAGACTAGCATCCAGGAAGGCTATCCCAGACAACAGATGCCTGAAGAAGCTGAACGTGTTTCTTAAAGGGCGCGTCGGACATACATTAGAACTGTTACTGGTACTATCAGAACTGGAACTCTGCACTTGCTGTGAGCACCTATGCTATGATCTCGATTCTTAGCTCATAACGCGTAACTTTTAAGTATATCTGGTACAGGTATTTACTTACTTCTGTAAATGGGTAGAAAATGATCTAAACACCTGGTCCTGCGGGCGTAAAGGATAATGAACAAGCTGACCAACTGGCAAGCAGTGCACCAATGTATGTGGGAGGAAGCATTAAAAGAGCAGATATTGTCATCGTTGTACAGACTGGACTAGTGGGTAATGATGAATCTCTGAAACTAACATGATTGCAGGACATGGGAGTGAAGTATGGTGAAGCACGTCATGCTGCCTTTGAGGCTGAGATAGGAGAAAATTATAACTAACTTCTCATGGGAATAATTAGTAGAAGTACCTTGGAGGACTAAGCATGCATAGTAATGGCCAATGTGCAATGATGTCGATTGTGATAACATAACTTACTTTGATTTCGATTAATGAATTTAAGTTTTTGTATCTTCTTTTTCACGTGGTTCTTAGTCTACCTCGTATGCTTCACCCATGTCCTCTTTTGATATATGCCATGTATGGTATTACGTCACAAGGCATTCTCTTCAAGTGGGCAGACCATTAGATTTGTTGTCCTTGTATGTAATTTAGAACTGGTTCTGTCACTCGTGCAGCCCTTCTCAAATATATCATTTCCCTCAGTTTTCTTCTCAAATATATCATTTCCTTCAGTTTTCTTCTCAAATATATCATTTACCTCAGTTTTTGTATACCTGTGCATATTTTAAAAAATATTTTAATGTGTATGTGATAATATTTGGTTCTTTCATATTTTTACATTGTATGTGTCATACTTTTTGAGTGTTTATTTTTGTTTTGAGAGCAGAATACGTTTAATATTTGATGAATAAATATGTGGATTTAACTAGGTGGAAGTATTTTTATCTACAGGTTCTGCCACCTGCGCTTTGTAAACATCCAAAAACTTCTGGCAGTTGATCTACCTCTTCTGCCAGCTGAATTTGAATCTCTTGTCAAGACGCAGTGCTGGGAAGCTCACGAGTTTCTCAGAAAAACGTATGTTACCTCATTGGTTGCTGCTCCATGCGCTACCATTAACTCTTTGTATCCTTTCATTTTGATTTCATAGTAGAGAAGATCATAGCTGAGATTGTGGTGTGTTGCATACTGGGACTGCAACATATTGTTCTTACAGATGAATGGGGAAACAGTCAGTGAAATCTGATTAGTGGGGCTGAAGAGTTGGAGAAAAGGGTGACCAATCAAAGGTGAAGGAAGCGAACAAAGTGGGAAAATGTGGGAATGTGAATTGGTGGGTCAAGAATGTAGGAAATGTACATAGATAGTTTATGAATGTGGAATCTCCACATTCTGTGAATTACTAACAGTGTTGACCGGTCATGGTGCTATAGGGAGGGGGTGACTTGCTGAGGGGTTAATGCGCTGCACTCTCATGTGGGAGACCCGTTTCAAATCCTCAGTAAAGTTACAGAAGTTTTTTTTTTTAGGGGCAAACATGAAAATTCTAACTTGTACAGCTTGTGGTGACCAAACTAGCCTTATGGTCCTAAATTCTCAGGCTGTGTTTAGTGCAGAAATTTTGTTTAACAATATCTTGTTCTGTTAACCACAAGTATTTAAGGTATTAAGTCATTTTTACTGTAACTGCTTCAGGCAGCAGTTTCTGTTTCTGTAAATGTTTTATTGTTTATAGCGGCAATCGTGGTTTAGGCGTTGCGAGTCCAACTCGTAATTCCAACTTACCTTGATCAAAACCCACTGCTGGCTGCATGGGTTTTTATCGTGGTATGGGGCGTCGCAGGTCGACCCAGCCTAAAATGGGTATCAGGATATATGTCCTGGGAAGTTAAAGATGGCTGGTGAAAAGCTAACCAAATTACCCACCTAGTGACGATTGGTCTGCAAAAATATGGGTGCTCTTTCCATATGCTCGATGCGCCTCAAAGCATGAAAAGAGATCTTTACTTTTTTTTAAAAATTATTTTTTATGGTTTATATTATGGCACAAGGGTTGTAACCCATAAGTCCTCGGTTCTACTTCTAACTTAAGTCTGAGTCCAAAGAATCTCAGTGCAGTGCTTGAACTCTGTAGCACTGGCAAGGATCCTGAAATACTTTGGGTAGATTTTGAACGCTAAATTTTGCCTGGGCAGTGCCGTTAGGTTACTCTTTTATAATTTCCAACTGTCAATGGATTTTTTACCTGTGCAACAATACACACGGGCGTCCGGTCTTACTATTCAGAAACTAGGGGAAATTATTAGAAGTTTACATTAAAAAATCCCAGTCTTCACCAGAACCTGAACCCAGGACCTCCAGCACTTGGGCGGATGCCAAGCCTTGAGGCTACTCAGCCCACCGTAAATGTTTTAATTACTAACTGCTGTTTCTGTTTCCTGTAAATGTCTGTATGTTCGTTACTGATTATTTAAAATCATTAAGACTCTAATTGCTAATTCTGTTTACCTGTTTAAAATCAGCTGGATCCCAACTTGTGCCAAACTGTTTGTGGATAACAGTGAGTTGTGGCAGGACTTAGTTCCCCCAGGGGAGTATGACAACACCGAGCTCATTCAAGAATTTTTTTCTTGTGTTGCATCTCTTATGTCACTGCAGCTTCGTTCCATGGTTATCAACTCTCTAAAAGACTTTTTGGACTTTATAAGAATTCATGAGGTTAGCTTTAAATGTTTTTGGATTATCTTCTGTTTGGTATCTTCTGTGTTTGGTACCAGATAAAAGGTAGTTGTACCCCACCAGGACATCACACACGCGATAAAAACCAGGTGACACAAAGTGCCACCATGCGAATGAGGATCATCTGTGGAGAGGTCCCAGAAAACCCTATATGGCCATGAGGCCATATATTTATATGGCCCGGCTATATTCAGGGCCCCCAGCAAAGCCAGGGTGAGGCTTCAAATAACAAAAAATTGCATCCCACATGGGGACGACAAAATACCAGTTGAAAGGAAAATTAAAACATAGTTGCTGGAAAGCCTTTGACATTTTTAGATGACTTTATATGTTTAGCAGCAGCTAAAAGGTAATTTATAAAACAATTGCTTAACTCTTTGAGTCCCAAGGAACGCATCATACGTTCATAGGTTCCTACCTAGAAGCCCAATGAACGCATGATGCGCCGATTTTATTACTTTCTTGACTACTCTTTGGGCCTGTGATGCTAAACCCCCTGGGACTCAAAGAGTTAAAGAAATAAAACAGACACAAGGTAAATAATCCACCACATTAAAAGACATAGCACTTTTATTAAAACCATACGGAAAGGAAAAGTTGTAGACAGGTTACCAAAAATTAGAGATACAAATGGACACATATTATCTAAAGTTGTATGAACAGCAGTTTCAGAGATCATACAATCTGGACAAGAAACAGAGAGTATTTGTGATCTTTTTTGAGCCAACCTTCATTGGAAAAGCATAACCTGAAGAAACTAGACAACTGAAGAATCAGAAGTATAATTAAATGGGTTCTGGATAATGGGATTAAAGCTGGGAAGATTTATGGTGTAAACAGATGTTAGAAAAGGAGGTAACTCTGGATGGATTGTAGGATGGCTTGCAGGATAATCGGTGGAAGAAATGTCCAAGAACAGAAAATTTTTTATTTTTATAATTTTTTTCTCTCAAAAATCTGACATCATGTGTCAGCTGTTGTATAACATGATGGTAGTATCAGGTAATCAGGTAACTGCGGTTCCAACTTTCTAACTTCTTAGCAAACACATAGTTGCTCAACTCCTGTACCAGCAAAAACAATATAGAACATCCCTCACTGTCTCTTGTGGAAAAAAATATGACACAGACTGCAGTCTCAGTAAATCCAATAGCATACTCACGCATTAGATGCATAACGGAGAAATCAGAAGTGCCAACACAGTCTGGCTCTAGAAATGCAGTTCACCATCAATGAAAGCAATAGTTGCTGCAGATGTGCACGTACAATTGATTGTATAAAGTACCGCCAGTTCTCTGGCAACAGGCCATTCGCCATTTTCTGAATCTGCAGTTAACAACACAAACCACGCTGAGCACAGTCAAAAAAAGCATTTTAGATTAAAACATGATGATCAATGCTACACAGCTTTGACTGTAAGAAGAAGAAGATCACCTGCTGTCATTAATTTCATCTTTAAATTATCTTGGTCGGATATGACTTAGCTACCGTATAACAGTAGTCAGTACCACCTGTCTTCTGTTACTTCAAATGTTGGGCGGCGTATATCAAACCTAGCATCCCATATTGTGCAAAAGGCTTCGGGCGGAGGAGTGCATTGGGAAGGATAGTAGCCTTATCCTAGGAAAGAGGAAATGCAACCTGAAATTTTGTGTTATGGCAGGACAGACCAGGCCCTTAACCTTGGTTGGCAGCTGGTCTAGGAGGGAAGCTCTGACAGGCGGACAGATAGAGCACTGCTCTTCTGATCCGGCAGCTTCTGCAGCCTGCTTTGTTCCAAACATACTGGTTTTACCTTTCCTTTGGAGTAAACAAGGCAGGTCGAAAAAGGGATCATGATGCATGGGCAACATATGGTCTCTACAATACTGCCCAGGCTTTGCGCTATGGAGAGGATGAACTTCATTCCTGGCCGTAATCGACACCGACAGGTCTTGCTAGTCACACTCGCCATCACCATGGCCTGTGAGTCCCATGCCTCCTCATAGCGCAATATAACACTGCTGTCTGGAAAGACGGAGAGGTGCCAATCAATCAAATAATGTGGTATGCTTAACTGGATTATCATATAAAGCTACAGCTTGTATGTTGCAATAACAAGTGATAGGAAATTGACAACACAAAGAAAAACCTGATTTAATGACAGCCCGATCTGTAACCACAAATAAAGCAGACAGGGCAGAGAGCAGCAATGTTTTCTGTCCCTTAGCTGAAATGTTGAATTGAAATTAATTGTTGCAATATTTGCTCTACTTATTAGCATCACATCTTTAAAGGACTTCTTATGGAGGTATCATACTTTTATTTATTTGGCTGTTCTAGTATGTCTGCTTTTACCACTGCCCTAATATCCAAAAGCTTATTGCAGATAATTATAGACCAGAGCTGAACAGCATAAAAACTGACTCAACAGCCACACACAAACCAAAATTTAAAAAACAGAACTGAGCAATGAAAACTTACCATATAGGTCTCACTGACTCGACCACATGTGGATGCGAAGCACCAAAACTGACTCAAGAGTATGACATGCAAGATTCTCCATAGTTTGCTAGTTAGGTAGAGAAAATCTGGCTGACAGGAGAGACCCTTTGAGACAAACTATAGAGCATCAGTAAAAAGATCAGGTGCGGCACCCTATCCGTTAACTATGCCAGAAAAGACGCATAGCCCAGAGAAGCTAATAACTTTTGACACTTTATATCTCATGCTCTCTTAAAACATCGGATTAATTTGTTTTATTTATATACATGACAGGCTGGCAATGACTTTGAAGAATACAGTGATCTTACCTTTGTCCAGAGACAAATCATGTTGATGAAACTGAAAATTGAAGAACCAAAGATTATTTTTGAACCAACATTCAGAGAACTGAGAGATATTGTTCTCAGATGTTTCTCAGAGATAATTGCCAGTGGTGAAGGACTAACACGGGTAAGTAAAACTTCTCAACAAAATCAGCTAAATACATTTAATTGGTTGCATGTCCTCTTCCAGAATTTGCAGTGTAACCTTAGCATTTATTGGCTGTTGTGTGGTTATCATAGGCAATTGTGCATTCAGTAATTTATCATTGCTTTCTGAACAGTGTCAGTTATGATTGTAAAAATCAACACAAAAAGGTCTGCTAACAAACTGCTTGCATTTTCTTGCGAATGTGAATTGGATAAACAGACTTTGTAGCCATATTGTGATGTTGCTCCTTAGGTTGGCCAGGATACAACACATTGAAATGGGACCTGCTATGTCTCACTGGCAGTGGCGAAGCTGACCTAAAAAAACAACATAACTCCATGATGGATAGTCGTTGATTCAACCAACACATTCCTTCTACCAATCTGGTTTATTTGCTGAAACACTCTGTACTCTGCTTGCCAGTCAGAACTCTTTAACAGTTGCCTAGGGTTGACTTTCAGGTGTCACTGTCTCAACACAGCAATCAATAGCCCTGCACTCTAGTTATCAAGTAAATTGTCCTGGAAACACACATCTTCGAATCAACACAGCTCCCACATCACAACTGCTTGCAGTCACAAACAAACATATATTGCCAGATTAACGCTCCACAGATCTGACACTGTCATTAACACAATCGCTCACTTAACTCAATTATACTTAGAAATTCTCCGCTTGGGTTCCATCTACGCACCACACACAGATTGCAATTCAGTTGTTCTTGCTTTTAACATAGTTCTCTGTAGTCAACATATTTCTTGAAAATTGTTTCCCCTCTCCGCTAATTCTTGTGTTGTTACAGTTTTCCGCTATCGACTATATACGGTCAAGTCTACTGTTGTCAGAGATTTCCCATCTGAGTCAATGGTTATCTGAGACCCACCTCCAGCCCACTATTTTTGTAAAATGGGGTTTTCTCTGACCTTTAACAGTAATCACTAAAACTGTATAATTACACATATATAACAGAATTTCAAGACTCTGCAACCTTCTTTACCAATGGTAATGTTATATGTAGAAGAAATTTAAGATTGGAAACTCATTACTTTGCCCTTGTTGACAGAAACAATAGAATATACTGAACACATGTTGCAGACGTGCAGTCTACTTGCCCTAGGAAGTTCCCATGTCTGACTAGTTTGCATTCTGGTGGAAACCAAGCTGTATAGATTGGTGGAGGGCATGCATCGCAACACAGTCTTCATAGAGACATATCGCCCTCTCATCTGAAAACTGCTGGCAGCGAGAGAAAAAAAAGTAAGAAGAAGAAACTGTCTCCAGTTGACTTCGAACTCCACTTATGCATGTCGGGATGGTTGACTGCATTCACAACTCTTAAGCCACAGACCTAACATGCAATTACAGTGTAAAAATCATAAACATAAATTTTGGTTACTTGTGTTTATGATTCAGTTTAATTTGTTTTACAGATTTGTTTTTATATGTAAGTTTTTGGTTTTTTTTTAAAAATTACTGTAAGGGTATCAAAATAAATGCTTCTGAGCTGAAATCCTATAGAAAGATTCTCTGAATACCATAGACAAAGAAAAAAGGAAATAGTGAATTCCTAGAAGATGTCAACATGAAGGTAGATGGCTAGTAAATGACATCTTTTCTCAGAAACTGAAATATTTTGGCCCTACCACACGCAACAGATCCCAGCAGAAACATTAGATGCCGGATAAAATCTGTTACGTCACATTGTATGTAAGTAAAGGACTCTTTTCACACCAGTAATGCATTGATCATATGACACTAGACTCAGATTTTGATAGATCAATCAATAGTCGATGGGTGATATAGTTAACATCACACCAGCCTACTTTGTCTTTTTTTTATCCCTGGGAAATTTCCTGGTACTAATTTTAGGCTGGGTTGACCATATGTCATTAGTGTATCCAATTACCTAAACTTATCAGCTTGCTTCAGGATTGTTCTGTTTACTTTGATGTTGCATTTTGGAGGGTCCATATTCTTTTTTTAATTCTATTACTTCTGTTTTTTGTCTGTTCAGACTAAGACCCTTGTTTTGACTTTCTGTTACAGTTACAACCATAATTTCATGCAGTTGTGTTTCACTTTCAAGGATTGGAATTATGTCAGCATATCGCAAATTTTCACAATAAGGTTTAAGGTTTCAGGTTTAAACAACGGATCAACATCATGGCACAAGGGGTAACTCAAAAGTGCTGCATTCTACTTCTGACTCAAGCTGAGTCTGAAGAATCTCAGCACAGTTAACGAACTCTGTAGCACTGGCAAGGATCCTGAAATACTTTGGGTAGATTTTTAACTCTAAATGTTGCCTGATCAGCTCCGTTAGGTTACTCTTTTCAATTTCCAACTGCCATTGGATTTTTTCTCATAAGAAGAATTTCTGATTATAAGAAGGATTTTTGGGTCCTCAGTGAGTTCTCCTTATCAGGTCTGCGCTATATATATAATATATGTAATTTATTATCATTATCATCAATGTTAAAGGTTTCCAAAAATTCTAATAATTTCTTCATTTCACTTTATCTAATGCTTTAGTGTAACCAACAAAGCTCAAATACAGATCTCTCAGCTATTTCATTATCAGTTTTATTCCTTCAGGTTGAGTGTGATCTTTTCCCAGACCTAAGGGGTCAAAGGCTGTTGCTCCGGTCAGTGAAGATTGATGAACTGTTGGTCACAGAATTTGTGGACAGAGCAATGGAAGTCTTCAGGATCAACACAATCGGACCCCAAAAGTAAGTAAACATCTTTTCAGAAAGACTGAAAGAGAAAAATAAATAACAATCTACAGATGAGAATAAAAGGAAAACTAGTTATGAAAACCAGTCTCAAAAACTGAAATATTTTGGCCACATCAAGCACCATCACAAAATGCACAAGGCGGAAGCGATGGTGAGAGACCAAGTTTCTTTCAGACAGTCGATGATGAGAGTGACGTTTTGCAAAAGATTTGCTACATGACTGGTTATAAAAATATTACAAATTTTCAACAAGTATGTTTCATTTGTGATGGAAAAAGGAAATACCAGGCTATTGTCATGAACACTGGTGTTTAGATTTAGAGGATGCGGACAACGTAATACCATTTGACTATCTGGCACACATATTTCTTCAACTGGAAGTTTCTTCCTTCGTCATTTACTGACTAGCAACAGGACTGTCCCAGAGATGGGTGGTGGGTGTGGTTGTGGGTCCTCAGAACTGATAACTTTCTGCTCAGGATTGCTTCAAAGTTCTCTGCGGTCTCCAGTTCTGTTCAGTGAGTATACAGTGCTGATAACTGAGTAGCATTTGCATGGGAGTGACAGGACTCTGTCATTTGCTGGTGATAGCTTAGTGCATTGACATGGAAAAGATACTCAGTAGATTGCCAATGCAATGCAGAGTGAACTTGATCACATCTCCTCCTGTTGTGAATTTCCAATGCACATGTTGACCTATCAAAAGCCTCAGTAGCGTAGTTCTTCTTTGACATGCTATAGTCAGGGCAGACTTAGCATCAGTGGAAAACAGCGACAGCGCTCTGGCAAGAACAACTCTGACGCCGCCAATATTGAACAGAGACTGCTTCTGCTTCAGTCCAGGGATTTGATTTTTCTCCCATCAAATATGCTTTAGCCATTCTCACTGTCAGCCATAGTCAAGATTCATATAAAAAAAAAAAAAATTATGTCCACATTCATTGTTTATTTGTTTAGCACCATGCCGGCTGCTATTAATTTCCAGGATTTTTACTGGTGCCCATTTTAGACTGGGTCGACCAAGGTCAGCTAAAAAAAAAAAAAATATGCTTCAGTGCAGATTCCAAAGGATGTAATTTTCTTAGAACTTTTAAGAGCAATGTTTACTATACCCAGTGTTTTTTTTTTAAAGTACCCTTCTCTCTCTGTCCTTCCAGGTACTTGAATATTTACAAAAAGTATGCAGATTTACTGAACGGTAAAGCTGACCAAGAAGTATCTAGCTTCTTGAGAGAGAAACATTCCATTACTGGCTTCAAAGAGGTAAATGTCCAGATTCCAGTCAGTTTCTTTTTATTTAAAAGTTTGTTTTAGTAAGTTAGTTCTCACAGTTAAAAAAAAAATGTTTAATTTACTTGTTATTTGTTAGGGTAGAAAGATATATTGTTACCATTATGTTTAATTGTTATTATAACTTTTCAGTATTAATTCCCACCGAATGCTATCAGTGTCAGTTATGGTCACTCACAACAAACCAGAAAAGAAACTGAGTACCCATGGAAAGGAGATGTATGAGGAGCGCTGCAGGAGCCACCAGAAGAGATATAATAAGGAATAAGGCCATAAGAGAAAAAGTTGGCACAACAGAACCATTTTGAAATCACATACAAAATTAAATGGTTTGCCCACTTAGAGAGAATGCCTTTAGATGCCACACTGTACAAGGCATGCACCAAAAGAGAATGCCTTTAGATGCCACAATGTACAAGGCATGCACCAAAAGAGAATGCCTTTAGATGCCACACTGTACAAGGCATGCACCAAAAGAGAATGCCTTTAGATGCCACACTGTACAAGGCATGCACCAAAAGAGAATGCCTTTAGATGCCACACTGTACAAGGCATGCACCAAAAGAGAAGAGGGACTTAAGGCATGAGGTAGACCTAGATAGATAGATAGACCACACACACAAATATGAAGAAGGGAATTATGGAGTGAAATGAACAAAGTAAAGTAAATAAAAGTAAAAGACCCTTTTTCACACCTTCAGGCGTATTGGGTATATTGGGCTAGACCTATATTTTATACACCAAACAGCACTTGGTGGGTGATGTGGTCACCATCATGCTGGCCGCCTTTACTTTCCAGGAGTGTACCTGGTACTCACTCAAGGCTTGGTCAACCTGGGTGAAATGAACAAGATGGAGAGGAATTGGGCTGAATTACACTGGGTCATAAAAGACAGGACTATATGACACGAGTTGGTTGATGGCCACTGGGAGATAATTGGCAAAAAAATAAAAATAGCTTCTGCATCATTCAATTCTGACCATTTCTTTCTCCTCTTGTCAGTTATGAAGCATTTCCAGTCTTTCTATAAAATTTTTCTTTAAATTGTTTGATCATTGATTCCTAAAAATCACATCATGTTAAATATTTTAAATTTTTCACTTTGTTATAAGAAATATAACAGTAAAATTACTTCAAAAACAAATGCTGGGTAAAATGGTAAATGTTAAATGGAATGAAGTTTAAAAAGGGATGTCTGGACCACTGCTTGCGTAAACAGTTACAAGAAAAAGAATAGGGTACTTCATTTGAGAAGAAGCCAGCAGAGAATCAACACACAAGCACTGAAGTAGGTAACAAATGGATTGAGGAACAGAGGACGTTCAAAAGAAACTCTAAAATGAACATTGATAAGAGAGGCCAAAGGTGCTGGACTGGATTCCATCAATGATTTTGAAATAACTGCTTGCAGTAGAACAGAGGACTAGACTGTGAACTCTATGGGATATATAATGACACAACAGGCTGAAGACGAGGATGATGATAATGAAATATATTTAAATGTGGATCTCCCTATATGGATTCTGGGGCCCCTGTGGAGGTAAAAAAGACTTAGTGCCTCCATAACAAGCATGTCGTTAGAATTAGAGACTAATTAGAGAGTTTCCTTAGAAGTCGGAGTGCGTCTGCCTGAGAAGCAGTAGTCACAAAACTGTAGCATATAGTTCAATCTCTGTTTTCTCATTAGACTATCATACCTGCTTAAATAAAGCTGGAACAAAAAAGTGATTCAGATTTTCCTTACAGATGTAAACCCTATCTAACAGCTGGATTACCACATATGTGACATGCATTGTATTTAAACTATTATGATTTCAGAATGTTCATCTGCACCATGCTGTTTAACACTCTTGATATCCTTAACAACATTGACAGTTTACAAGACAATAGAATGGTTATTGTAATTTCCATCATGCTTTTTACAGTTTTCCTTTGAAACCCCCTAATACAGGGTTTGTCCTTTAAGTAATTGGACAAGGGCTGTAGTTTCATGTATGCGCTGTGGGTAGGGAAATCTGTGGCTAGGTGGAGTGGTAAGGGGTGTTAGCTACACGTTGCAACCAGTACTTATTGTTGATAATCAGTGCAGATCGTGGACGTAGTGAATTTCTGTATGAGTGACGTGTCATGGAAAAATTGAATGTTCCATCGAACAGTGTTACGCAGTTAAATTTTGCGTCAAACACGGAAAATCTGGGACAGAGAGGTTCAAATGTTAAAGACAGCAAACGACAATGATTGTTTGAGTTGATGGATGGTGTTTAACTGGTATACAACCTTTAAGGAGTGAAGAGAAGATGTTAAAGATGAGAGATGAGAGACTGTGGGTCGACCTTTCACCACCAAAGCAGAGGAGAACCTGAACTGTATGCAGTACAGTTTGAACAGTATTCAACGAAAGAATGTGTTATTAATCGCGGGGGAACTAAACTTGCCCAAAACACAAGTTTACAAAAATTTTTAAGCAATAATTGTGTACGCGTGTGGCAGCACAGCCAAACTTTCTGCGGAAGGTGATCACAGGAGATGAATTCTGGATGTTTGAGTATGATCCAGAGACCAAAAGGCGAAGTTCTAAATGGCACCAGAAAGGGTGTCATGGTGTGCAGCAGCAGTTCTCAACCTGTGGCTAAAACCATAGGAAAACACAGATTCATTGAAGTTATGAAGTAGTAATGAAAGTAATTGAATGTCTGGGGATCGCCACAACAATGGGAACTGTAATAAAGGGTCACCACAACATGAGGAACTGTATTAAAGGGTCACCACAACATGAGGAACTGTATTAAAGGGTCACCACAACATGAGGATCTGTATTAAAGGGTCACCACAACATGAGGAACTGTATTAAAGGGTCACCACAACATGAGGAACTGTATTAAAGGGTCACCACACCATGAGGAACTGTATTAAAGGGTCACCACACCATGAGGAACTGTATTAAAGGGTCACCACAACATGAGGAACTGTATTAAAGGGTCACCACAACATGAGGAACTGTATTAAAGGGTCACCACAACATGAGGAACTGTATTAAAGGGTCACCACAACATGAGGAACTGTATTAAAGGGTCACCACAACATGAGGAACTGTATTAAAGGGTCACCACAAACATGAGGAACTGTATTAAAGGGTCACCACAACATGAGGAACTGTATTAAAGGGTCACCACAACATGAGGAACTGTATTAAAGGGTCACCACATCATGAGGAACTGTATTAAAGGGTCACCACAACATGAGGAACTGTATTAAAGGGTCACCACAACATGAGGAACTGTATTAAAGGGTCACCACAACATGAGGAACTGTATTAAAGGGTCACCACAACATGAGGAACTGTATTAAAGGGTCACCACAACATGAGGAACTGTATTAAAGGGTCACCACAACATGAGGAACTGTATTAAAGGGTCACCACAACATGAGGAACTGTATTAAAGGGTCACCACAACATGAGGAACTGTATTAAAGGGTCACCACAACATGAGGAACTGTATTAAAGGGTCACCACAACATGAGGAACTGTATTAAAGGGTCACCACAACATGAGGAACTGTATTAAAGGGTCACCACAACATTAGGAACTGTATTAAAGGGTCACCACAACATGAGGAACTGTATTAAAGGGTCACCACAACATGAGGAACTGTATTAAAGGGTCACCACAACATGAGGAACTGTATTAAAGGGTCACCACAACATGAGGAACTGTATTAAAGGGTCACCACAACATGAGGAACTGTATTAAAGGGTCGCAATGTTGGGAAGGTTAAGAACCACTGATGTGAAGGCTAGATGCTCGCCTGCATGTATGAAGGTCGTGTGTTCAAATCTGAACAGAGGCAGACTTTTTTTTCTCAAAAATGACCTTGCCTCCCAGGGTACCAGATAAAGTCCTTGGAAATGAAGGCAGCCACCATGATGTACACCACATAACCCACTGAGTGCTGATTGGTCTATAAAATATAGGTTTAGCACTATATGCCCCATACACCTGAAAGCGTGGAAAGAGGTCCTTTTACTTACCCCAGACAGTCTCATGACACATCACTGTAATAACCCATTGGCATTGTTTTCTTCTGTGTGTGCAGAAAATTGATTACTTCCAAAATATCAGAGATGAGATTTCACTTCTCCGAGTCACAGCCCCCCTGAGTATGTTCTGCCTGGACTGTGTACATTTTAACCAGGAGATGTGCATTCGGGCGCAGAGGCTGCGAGACAGATTGGTTATATTTGAGGTTGATGAAAACCGAGATCTCAACAGAGCGTAAGTGTGTTCGTACAGTTTTCCAAAATTATTGCAATGATTTTGCATTCTTTAGTTGTGGTAAGCTGCATTTTACAAAATGAAGAATATTTTATGCAATCTTTCTTTGTCAGCAGATGAGAAAGAGAATTCTTTAAAGCTATATAATCATATCCTGATATACGGAAGTGAATCATGGACTGTTGATAGATTAATGGAAAATAGTTTGGAAGCTGTGGAGATGTAGTTTTATAGACGAATGATGAGAATACGCTAGGCAGATAAAAAGAGTAATGCAAATATTTTGAAAGAAACTAACATGCAAAGAGAACTGATTGCCTACATCAGAAAGAGTCAATTTACATTTTTTGGTCATATCAAGAGAAGGCGAAATCTGGAGTACATCTTGAGAGTAGGAAAGTTGGAGAGGAAGTGAGGCAGAGGGAGACCGAGACAAAAGATGCTGTACAGTTTGACATTGTGGCATGGAAGATCACCAATATCAGAGTTGATTAAAAGTAATTGAGAGAAGTTTGTGGATAATCATGACTACCAACACAACATGCTATGGACTTTCAGAAGAAGAAGAAATTTTAGTAAAGGTCCGTGTTTGGCACTGGTAGCATAATGTTGGCCAGAAAATAAGTTTTAATTAGATTTGTCATGAAAGACAGATATTTTTTTTTAAAATGTGTCAGAAGGGAGGTTCTTCCACTTTCTTATTTGCCTTTGCACACAGTATATTGATTTTTATGTTCTTCTCGGGCATCTTATTTCACCCAGTGATTCTTCAGATATTTCTGGGGGAAAAAAACTGTACTCTTGAATCAAACAGTGCAGTTTATGAAAAAACCGTCTTCAGAGTGCAAGGCAAATGGCTTAACCACTTAGACATGGAGACCCCCCTCCTCCCCCTCAAGTGAACAGTATTGATTGCAAAGGAAATATGCTGTTTTTCTTTTCTAGGCTGTCCAGGCGGTATGAGGAAGTTCAAGACAGAATTCAAGTTATACCAGAATCTACTAAAGATCTAGTGGAACTGCAGAATTTCCTTAAAACAGTATGATTGCCTTAAATTAAATTATTTTTTACTCCTTCAGTATCAAGCAAGTTATCTAAAATATAATGATTTTGTGGATGAAAGGGTTAAAGACATAACATTGTGGGATAAACTGACTTTAAGTAACAATTTATATGCTATGGGTTAATTTAACATCATCATCAGTCAGCAAAAAAAGAAAAAAGGTGCTTTAGTCCCCAGGTTCCGGTACCTGTGGTGTAGGGTGATGTGAGGGGGTTGTTTTTTTTGTTTGCTTGAATATTATTGGCCGTGTCTCTAGTGCAGTTGTCATGAACTGTGCCAGAAAGAATGTTTATTTTTGCCCCTGACAGAAACAAAATGTTCATGGTCTAATTGAGGATTTGACTATGTATCTCCTAAACAAGAGTACAGCATTCAAGTCACTCAGCCAGCTGATCCTCATTTAAACTGCAAACTGGGTTAAAGTAATTCAGAGTGAGCTAATGTGGTTTGAAGTTGGATTCCTTAGTGGCCCACACTTTTTCAGCTCTTTTATTTTACCATAGTGGTGTACGAAGGTCCAGCTGAAAATTGACTGTATGTTGAGTGATGGTTTGTCTGTTTGTTGAGTGATGTCTTGTCTATATGTTGAGTGATGGCTTGTCTGTATGTTGAGTGATGGTTTGTCTGTATATTAAATGATGGATTGTCTGTATGTTGAGTGATGGCTTGTCTGTATGTTAAGTAATGGATTCTCTGTATGTTGAATGATGGTTTGTCTGTATTTTGAGTGATAGTTTGTCTGTATGTTAAGTGATGGCTTGTCTGTATGTTGAGTGATGGCTTGTCTGTATGTTGAGTGATTGTTTGTCTGTATGTTTAGTGATGGTTTGTCCATATGTTGAGTGATGGCTTGTCTGTATTTTGAGTGATGGTTTGTCTAAATGTTGAGTGATGGTTTGTCTAAATGTTGAGTGATGGCTTGTCTGTATGTTTAGGGATGGTTTGTCTGTTTGTTGAGTGATGGTTTGTTTGTATGTTAAGTGATGGTTTGTATGTATGTTGAGTGATGGTCTGTCTGTATGTTGAGTGATGGTTTGTATGTTGAGTCATGGTTTTTCTGTATGTTGAATGATGGTTTGTCTGTGTGTTGAGTGATGGTTTGTCTGTTTGTTGAGTGATGGTTTGTCTGTATGTTGAGTGATGGTTTGTCTGTATGTTGAGTAATGTCTTGTCTGTATGTATAATGATGGCATGTCTGTATGTTGAATGGTGGTATGTCTGTATGTTGAGTGATGGCTTTTCTGTATGTTAAGTGATGGCATATTTTGAGTGATGGTTTATCTGTATGTTGAGTGATGGTTTATCTGTAAGTTATGCAGAAATCAAGCATATGGTCTATGTTAAGTGATGGCTTGTCTGTATTTTGAGTGATGGTTTGTCTGTATTTAATGCAAAAATGGAGAAAAGGGTCTGTATGTTAAGTTAAGTGATGGCTTTTCAGTATTTTGAGTGATGGTTTGTCTGTTTGTTATGCAAAAATGAAGCTGGCATTTAGCACTGCCTATGTGTGCAAATCTATGTTTTCTGTAAAAAAAAGTCCCCACTCTCTTTGATCAGTTGTTGAAGCCTCCATATTTAAGTTATTACTTATCAGAATCAACAGCAGTCTCTGGCAGGTAACATGTTATCAGTCATCATATATTTTCTACCCATTTGGAAAATAACAGTCTGCATATATTTTCTCTCTCAGTCAGAAGATATGTCTATATTTATTTTCTACTTTATCCAAAAGATGTCAATCTGCACATATTTTTTCTGCAAGCCAAAAGATATCAGTCTACATATATTTTTCCCCAAGTCAAAAGATATCAGTCTACAAATATTTTCTCACCCAGTCAGAAGACATAATTTAAAAAATCCCCTCTCATTCTGTACATATATTTTCTTCCCTGGTCAAATGATATCATAATTTAAATATTCCCTTCCCTTGTGTAAAATAATGCCACAATCCATTTATAATTTATTCCCTAGGCAGATGATATCACTGTTTACATATCTTCCTTTCTATAAAATATCAAACTCCACATGTATTTTCTTCCCCAGTCAAATGATATAACAATTTACAAACTTCAAGATGAAGTGCGTGAAGCTGGCTGCCGCTTGATGTTCCTCCTTGATTACGCAGATTTACCTAGTGAGTGCAGAATTTTTTGTTGTTGTCCAGTGTGATGTTACATAAAATAATATGTAGATTTGAAATGAATTCTTCTTACCAAATCCAAGTGAAACATTGTGCTATAATATAACTGATTTAAGTATCAGATGTTTTATAGTAACAGATGATGATCTCCACTTGAATGATACTTCAGTCTGGTCCTTTTATAGTAACATATGATGATCTTCACTTGAATGATACTTCAGTCTGGTCCTTTTATAGTAACAAATGATGATCTTCACTAGAATGATACTTCAGTCTTTTCCTTTTTGTCTTTGAGAATGTGATGGCGATCCTAACTAATCGAGAATATTGAAAAAATACAGAACAAGTCTGTGCACATTACATTTGGTCATACAAGAGAAACTGCATGTAGAGCGATGCACTACCTTCTCAATTTTGTAAACACTGATGACAGAATAAAAATTTTGCCAAGCAGGTGCACACCTTAGTCAGTGCAAACATCTGACATCCACTTCATAGTGAAATTAATAAGAAAAAAGGCAGCAAGTTAATAAAGAGCAAAATCGTGGATGGGTGGGTTAAAACATTATTCAGCAGGTGTGTTCACTTGAGTACATAAAACTGTGGAGTTTTTTTTTTTTATTTCAAAGAATCATTGTATTCACTTGACTGATTGGGGTGGAGGGGGGAAAGGGGGGGGGGAATGGTTTCCATGACAAAGTGGTAAAGCCATTTGCCTTTAGCTCTGAGCATCTTTCAATTCACAGAGACCCCCTGGGGATTGTTGTTGGAGCTATGGTGTTTGTGTTTTGTGCTGTTGGTTGGTGCTAACCATTATGTGGAGAGAGATCAAGCCATGTAGGGTAAAACCCTGTGCACTGAAGTCGATGCTTTCAACTTTAATCTCTGACTTTAACTTGAATAAAACAGAAGTATTACACTGTTTTATGTACAGTAATCATGGTATTCACCTGACTTATCAAACTGTCACATGATTTTATGTCAGTGTCATGGGTTTTTTATCACACTGATACTTAATTAATCCCGGCGCTCCAACAAAGTTGATAGCGCCTTGGACATTAGGTGACCATTCCCGTGCTTGTCCGGTCTAGGGTTCGAGCCAGGGGATGGCAGAAAAGCCACATACTCCCCATGTTAATGGTAAATGTGGCACCGAGGCTGAAGGGCTTTGATGCTCACAAAACTGAGCAAAATGAGCTGTGCTTAAGTGCTTCTCGTTCAGAAAAAAACTGCAACACTTAATTATGATATAATTTTCCCCCGTGTGGGTTCCGGGGCCCCATTGTGGGGGAAAACAAGAATAGACCCACTGCCTCCCCAAAAGCATGTCGTAAGAGTCGACTAATTGGGGAGCTTCCTTTGAAGTCGGAGTGCATCTGCCGGAGAGGCAAGGAACCAACAGTCTGTATTCAAGAGAATGAGATCTGTAAAACTGATGCACACGCAACACTCAGGTTCTGGAGCAGGACTGCAGTTCAGTAGCGGACGAGCAACCAGAACCTTCCGCCAGAGTTTACAGATGGTGAACGCGAAGAAGAAGAAGATATAATTTTATGCAAAAACATAAAGCAGATATTTTATGTTTTTATGTTAAAAAAAAAAAACAAAGCACATTGATATTTAGTTGTACGTAGTTTGATAGCAGACCAATTTGCATTTATTTGAATAATGACACAAGGTTTGAATCATTCAGAAAACAACAGCAAACTACAAAACTTAAAATCCATACAAAAACCAATAAATGCTGTAGTTGGTTTATGAAGTCCTGACCAAAAAAAAAAAAAGACTATCAGCCAAGTCTGGCTTTTGCACAGATTTTTTAGCTTCTGGTTTTTGCTAAAAAAAAAGTGTAAAGAGTCAGTAATGAAATAGCCAGTAGTGGTAAGCTCTGCAGTACTGTAGGAATATAAGGCTGTGTTGCCAGACAAGCTCCTGACTGTGCTGCTGGTGAGTGTAATGTCCAGTGTGAGAGTGACAGTCTGTGTCACAATTTCCTCACCTGACAGTGCTGCTGGTGAGTGTAATGTCCAGTGTGAGAGTGACAATCTGTGTCACAATCTCACAACATGACAATGCTGCTAGTGAGTGTAATGTCCAGTGTGAGAGTGACTGCCTGTGTCACAATCTCACAACATTACATTGCTGTTGGTGAGTGTAATGTTCAGTGTGAGAGTGACCACCTGTGTCACAATTTCCTCACCTGACAGTGCTGCTGGTGAGTGTAATGTCCAGTGTGAGAGTGACAGTCTGTGTCACAATCTCATAACATGACAGTGCTGCTGGTGAGTGTAATGTCCAGTGTGAGAGTGACCACCTGTGTCACAATTTCCTCACCTGACAGTGCTGCTGGTGAGTGTAATGTCCAGTGTGAGAGTGACAGTCTGTGTCACAATCTCGTAACATGACAGTGCTGCTGGTGAGTGTAATGTCCAGTGTGAGAGTGACCACCTGTGTCACAATTTCCTCACCTGACAGTGCTGCTGGTGAGTGTAATGTCCAGTGTGAGAGTGACAGTCTGTGTCACAATCTCGTAACATGACAGTGCTGCTGGTGAGTGTAATGTCCAGTGTGAGAGTGACCACCTGTGTCACAATTTCCTCACCTGACAGTGCTGCTGGTGAGTGTAATGTCCAGTGTGAGAGTGACCATCTGTGTCACAATTTCCTCACCTGACAGTGCTGCTGGTGAGTGTAATGTCCAGTGCGAGAGTGACCACCTGTGTCACAATTACCTCACTTGACAGTACTGCTGGTGAGTGTAATGTCCAGTGTGAAAGTGACCATCTGTGTCACAATTTCCTCACCTGACAGTGCTGCTGGTGAGTGTAATGTCCAGTGTGAGAGTGACCATCTGTGTCACAGTCTCATAACATGACAGTGCTGCTGGTGAGTGTAATGTCCAGTGTGAGAGTGACCACCTGTGTCATAATTTCCTCACCTGACAGTACTGCTGGTGAGTGTAATGTCCAGTGTGAGAGTGACCATCTGTGTCACAATTTCCTCACCTGACAGTGCTGCTGGTGAGTGTAATGTCCAGTGTGAGAGCGACCATCTGTGTCACAATTTTCTCACCTGACAGTGCTGCTGGTGAGTGTAATGTCCAGTGTGAGAGTGACCATCTGTGTCACAATTTCCTCACCTGACAGTGCTGCTGGTGAGTGTAGTGTCCAGTGTGAGAGTGACAGTCTGTGTCACAATCTCGTAACATGACAGTACTGCTGGTGAGTGTAATGTCCAGTGTGAGAGTGACCATCTGTGTCACAATTTCCTCACCTGACAGTGCTGCTGGTGAGTGTAATGTCCAGTGTGAGAGTGACCATCTGTGTCACAATTTCCTCACCTGACAGTGCTGCTGGTGAGTGTAATGTCCAGTGTGAGAGTGACAGTCTGTGTCACAATCTCGTAACATGACAGTGCTGCTGGTGAGTGTAATGTCCAGTGTGAGAGTGACAGTCTGTGTCACAATTTCCTCACCTGACAATGCTGTTGGTGAGTGTAATGTCCAGTGTGAGAGTGACAGTCTGTGTCACAATTTCCTCACCTGACAATGCTGTTGGTGAGTGTAATGTCCAGTGTGAGAGTGACCACCTGTGTCACAATTTCCTCACCTGACAGTGCTGCTGGTGAGTGTAATGTCCAGTGTGAGAGTGACCACCTGTGTCACAATTTCCTCACCTGACAGTGCTGCTGGTGAGTGTAATGTCCAGTGTGAGAGTGACAGTCTGTGTCACAATCTCGTAACATGACAGTGCTGCTGGTGAGTGTAATGTCCAGTGTGAGAGTGACCACCTGTGTCACAATTTCCTCACCTGACAGTGCTGCTGGTGAGTGTAATGTCCAGTGTGAGAGTGACCATCTGTGTCACAATTTCCTCACCTGACAGTGCTGCTGGTGAGTGTAATGTCCAGTGTGAGAGTGACCACCTGTGTCACAATTACCTCACTTGACAGTACTGCTGGTGAGTGTAATGTCCAGTGTGAAAGTGACCATCTGTGTCACAATTTCCTCACCTGACAGTGCTGCTGGTGAGTGTAATGTCCAGTGTGAGAGTGACCACCTGTGTCACAATTACCTCACTTGACAGTACTGCTGGTGAGTGTAATGTCCAGTGTGAAAGTGACCATCTGTGTCACAATTTCCTCACCTGACAGTGCTGCTGGTGAGTGTAATGTCCAGTGTGAGAGTGACCATCTGTGTCACAGTCTCATAACATGACAGTGCTGCTGGTGAGTGTAATGTCCAGTGTGAGAGTGACCACCTGTGTCACAATTTCCTCACCTGACAGTACTGCTGGTGAGTGTAATGTCCAGTGTGAGAGTGACCATCTGTGTCACAATTTCCTCACCTGACAGTGCTGCTGGTGAGTGTAATGTCCAGTGTGAGAGCGACCATCTGTGTCACAATTTCCTCACCTGACAGTGCTGCTGGTGAGTGTAATGTCCAGTGTGAGAGTGACCATCTGTGTCACAATTTCCTCACCTGACAGTGCTGCTGGTGAGTGTAATGTCCAGTGTGAGAGTGACAGTCTGTGTCACAATCTCGTAACACGACAGTACTGCTGGTGAGTGTAATGTCCAGTGTGAGAGTGACCATCTGTGTCACAATTTCCTCACCTGACAGTGCTGCTGGTGAGTGTAATGTCCAGTGTGAGAGTGACCATCTGTGTCACAATTTCCTCACCTGACAGTGCTGCTGGTGAGTGTAATGTCCAGTGTGAGAGTGACAGTCTGTGTCACAATCTCGTAACATGACAGTGCTGCTGGTGAGTGTAATGTCCAGTGTGAGAGTGACAGTCTGTGTCACAATCTCGTAACATGACAGTGCTGCTGGTGAGTGTAATGTCCAGTGTGAGAGTGACAGTCTGTGTCACAGTCTCGTAACATGACAGTGCTGCTGGTGAGTGTAATGTCCAGTGTGAGAGTGACCACCTGTGTCACAATTTCCTCACCTGACAGTGCTGCTGGTGAGTGTAATGTTCAGTGTGAGAGTGACCACCTGTGTCACAATTTCCTCACCTGACAGTGCTGCTGGTGAGTGTAATGTCCAGTGTGAGAGTGACCATCTGTGTCACAGTTTCCTCATCTTTCAGATGAGGTGGGTTGGGCAGTTTGCCCTCAGTTTGTTAGGGTAGAGTGCACTCTAAGAAAGTACTAGTCCACACATCTGTTCTCCAGGAGTATGTGTCTGCATAACACCCTCCCAAGTTTCTGTATCTTTACCAAGGGTTCTTGTATCCTGTTTACTGACATAGTTAAATCGTATTTAGGGTCTTTTAATTGCCTTTTTTCCTGTGGCTAGTTCTCCGTAAAGGAGATCTTTACGAACATTTCCTTTCTCCATTTAAGATACATTGTGTAACAGAGTGGGTCATAGCTTGTTTGTTAGTAGGCACAAAGCTAGGATATAAGGAAATCAACAAGTTTTGGCAGCCTTGACATTCTTTTCTAGAAACTTCGTTTGCTATTAACAGAGAAATGTTTTGCAAATGAATAATCTATAAATAGTATTTGACGTCATTGTCTGACCTTGGCCTTCTTTCTAGAAGTTTTGAAATGCATTCTTTTCATCATGTGACCCAACCCTGTCCTACTAGTAAATACTTTGTTGTCGTGCCCTATCAAAGCAAACACAATTGCACTTGTTTTTCTAGAAGCTTCTATTGACGTCAATTGTCAGTTTAACTACCATATTTGTGTAGAATAGGATGATGAAATCTGATGCAATCGAGATATTTTTAGAAAATCCCACGTGAGAACCTACCTAGTAAACAAGTGAGGCGTACTGGAATATTCTAGAAGCAGACAAACCGAGAAGAAAACAAATACCTAGCATTCCAGCATCCAAATATAAATAGCGAGTAACAAAGCACTTTAGCAATTCTTCAGTCCACAAGACTCAAGAGAGAAGGGACCAGTCATGGACTCTCAACGCAGCCTTCAGTGGTAGAGATGTAAGCCCAACACTAGAAGCCTTCAGTCGTTGAGACTCAGAGGACGAGCGACTGTCTCAATGATCCTTGATGCCAGCTCAACACTGAAAGGAGAGCAGCCGTTCATATTGAACCTCGAAGACAGTCACTGGAGAGCAGACATGAAACGAGACATCATCATCATCACCACTACTATCGACACGACCATCTTTCTCCTCGTCTATAATCTTCTAATCGACTCCTCCTGTAGCAAACCTAAAGACGAACCTGGGTGTGACATCAACGTACGCCACAAAGAAGAGAGCTGTGCTACAATTGTCCAGCCACTGAAGACATTGTTGGTTTAGGAGAGAGCACTCAGTCACAATATTTGCTAATTCAAGCAGTTGTTTGTTTGTTATATGGACCATCCATGATTTGTTTTACAGTGCCTGGGTAATAAAATAATGGAATACCTACCATTTGATATTTCAGCGGAAGATATTAAACTGAATACGGTTTTGTTCCACTGGCCGAGTCAGATCTGCACCGTCTTAGACCACAGTCAGGGACGAATCATGATGAAGAGGGACCAAATTGAGGAGGAGCTCAAGAAACGTGTAGTCGCCTTCGAGGAGAAGTTGGATAGCTACACCAAGGAAGTTGAATCTTTCAAAAAGAAGGAGGTAAACCCATGGTTGTATTCTGATATATGAAATCATAATCACTGTTTGGGTTAATACAGGTTTATTTTTCTACTTTTACTGTACTCTTATTCATTAAGTCTGCATACTTCTATAATGCTACTGGCACTGTCGGAGCTGAAACTCTTTGCTAGCTGCTGAAAATTTGGACTGAGTGCTTATGGAAATATCCTGAGTGCTGTGCTGTCAGCACTTTTTTGTCACGGTTAGAGAATGTGTTTTTTTTAGATATAATTTCACATCATTGTTCTTGTTTGAGTCGGGATGGGGGGGGGGGGGGTGTTTAACTACTGATCTCCTAACAAGCATGTTGTCAAAGTCTACTAATTAGGGTTGTCTCCTTTAAAGTTGGAGTGCATCTGCCTGAGAGACAGGAAACCAACAGTCCGCACACATATAAGCCAGATATGTAAAACTGATGTGCACTCAAAACATTCTGGAACAAGACTCAAGTCTAGAAGTGGGTGAGCAGCCAGACATTTTTGCCAAAGTTTACAGCCAGTGAATGTTAAGAAGAAGATCTCATGGAAAACCAAGAAGTCATGTAGGCTCAGACAAGTATGAAGGTTGTAGTATCACTGGAATACTTAAGTGGTTAAAAAAAACCACCCTCACAGAGATGACAATCCCATGAAGAGACATTTCTAAACACTCTAAACTGGCAGTTGAGTCAGGTATGTTGACATCATAGCACTGAAATTAGCATTGAAATCAAGCATAAAGTCTCACTTGATGTCACAAATGTTAATCTCATTATGTTGTAACTTGCATTGAACATCAAAGATAGTCTTGATTGATATAACATTTGTTAATCCCATAATATTATAACTTGCATTGAACATTAGACATAAGGCCTCAGCTGATGTCAGATATTTTAATCCCATTAAGTCTCACCTACCATTGAGCATCAGTCATGTGATGAGAAAGAGAGTCTTAAGAGAATATTGAGATGAATGGAGAGATCAGTGGTAGAAGACCAAGAGAGATAATGCTAGATGGGCTGAAGCAATGACAGGGTCATAAGCGGAATTGATTTTAAATACCAAGGGCTAAGATCTGAGGGGATCTACACTCCGAGCCATGCTGGCATGGTGGGTAATGAACAGGCACACAGATTAGCTGGATCCGCATCACTTGGTGGGGAACTGATACATGACAAAGCAGATGTGGTCAAGGTCTTTTGGGAACAAGCAGCGGAATCAGTAGAGAAAGAAGATTATTATTGTCTGGAGAGAATGAGGCACCTGGATGTAACCAGAGGGTCTAGCCGGCTCATTACACTCAGAGGAAAGGCAGGACAGACATATGACGAGATTGTGACTGGTACCATCAGTATTGAAACTCTGTGCTGGTTGCTGAAGATGAGGATCGAGCATGCATTGGAATGCCCCAAGTGCTGTGATGTCAGTTCTTGACTCAACTCAACTCAACTCTGAGGAGAAACATGCTCGACTATGCTGCTGGGCAGGGCACTTGATGATATTGGTAACCATGTTTATTAAACTGGATTGACTCCCAGATCCCTAGCACTGAGGAAAAAAATTAAATCATTCTTCTTCTTCTTCTTCTTCACTTCCTCTTTTACCGCTGCGGGTGTCGAGGAAAATATAAGGTTCTGTTTCTAGCTCTTCTGGCTGCCTCGACCATAGGCACATCGTGCTGTTGTAGAGTTTCTCTGATGTTATCCTTCCATCTTGTTCTTGGTCTACCCCGTGCGCTACGTCCTTCTTCTCTTTCCATGTATGCTTTGTATGGTATGGTGTCACAAGGCATTCTCTCTAAGTGGGCAAACCATTTCACTTGCTGTCTTTGTATTTAATCCAGAATTGGTTCTGTGCCGACTTGTCCTCTTATGATCTCATTCCTGATCTTATCTCTTATGGTCACTCCTATAGCCCTTCTCAGACATCTCATTTCCGTGGTTACTAATTATTAAATCGTTGAGAATACAAATATAATAGCTGGCATATTTATTTTATTTATTGAACAGATAATAAGTTTGTTTTATCTTAAATCTGGCAGTATATGAGTCTTGATGAAATGAGACACAACGTTGAGGTGCTATCGCGCCTTCAGGTGAATGTTGAAGCAGCCAGGGATGAATTAGACCAGCTGCAGGATGAACAAAGGCTGCTGGAGTGGGAAATCACACCTTTCCCTCAGCTGGCCAACATCATTCAGCTGAAGGAGCCGTATGACAAGTTGTGGAGGACTGCCTACAATTTCTACATCAAGAATGAAATATGGATGAATGGTATGTATTACTGGGCATATTTGATTCAGGTTGTATATTGTACTCAATGTTGAATGTTGAATGCTGAATTCAGAATCACTTTCACAGCACTCGGGACACTCCCATAAGTACTCAATCTCCATCTTTAACAGCAAACGAAGAGTCCCAGTTCCGACAGTATCAATAACCGTCTGATTGTATATCCATCTCATCCTTCTCCTGAGTGTTGAGCGCCGGCCATATCCCCTGTTAACTCCTTGCAGCGCCATTCTCCTTAGACCATAATGATCTATTTGCAACTCCGCACTGTTCACTCGATCCCAAAAAGCCCTCACAATATCTAACTTGTCATTCATCAGTTCACCACCAAGTGGTGCAGAGCCAGCCAATCTGCCTGCTTATTTCCCAACACACCATCATGACCTGGAAGAAAATATCCAAAGGATGCTAACTATTCGGGACCTCTGCAGTGATGCTTGCCTCTCTGCATGAAGCATGCCTGTTTTTACTTTTTTCAACATGCTCTGTCACAGCATGTGTGTACAGCTGATTCTCAAGCCAGTGGAAGGCAGCAGAGACTGCCTCCACCTCCATTCTCAAACTAGATGTTGTGAATTATATATATATATAGTACTCAGCTTCAGTTAAAGCAGGTCTTCAGAGACAATGGCTGCAACAATGGCAGTGACATGGCTGAGTACTCACGAATTGACAACTGTTTGCATGCTGAGTTATTTAATAAAGATGCTCAAGAATATCCAGACAGCATCATCAGACATGAATGGATTCTGTTTTTAAATGCAACACAAATAACTCACCTAACCTCTAACTTTGTGCCGGGATATGCAGGTTTTCAAGACAATGAGCATGTAGATTATCTAGCAGACAGGGCTGCTATCATGACTGACCCGGCATTGGACAGGAATAATGTAATTAATGCCATGTGGAGTAAACAAAAGTTGGTTAACATTCTGTGCGACGAAAATGTGTGTTTTTATACATCAGTGTGTTCAAATAAGGATGATCCTGCGACAGGTCCAGCAAGCCGGTAGGGAATTTATTTGTTTACAGGAAATTGCTAAAGAATTATGGAGGAATTTGAAGATAAAGCGTAATTCAGTCAGCTCTCACATCATACACACGACGAACAAACCAGTTTTTGATAGCAAGCGAACAACAAGAACTAAGATATACGGAACTTGTAATTTTAGTGGATTGGGCAACAAAGAACCAGAGTTAATGGAATTAATTAAGAGGTTAAACTCGGCATGCATGAAGAACAATGCAAACAAAACCGAAACAGTGCAAGTTAGTAGAACCTCTGGCCCACTACACAAACAGCTGAATGGTTCTGGTCTGAATCAGGTTAGGGAGTTTAAATATCTAGGAAGTATGATCGTTTAAATATCTAGGAAGTATAATCACTGAAGATGGTAGAATTGACAGGAAATTGAAACCAGATGTCAGAAAGCAAGTGCCACCATTATTAGGACATCCAAGTATAACTATGAGTGCAAAGAGACAGATTATAAACATTCATATTAATTCCAACATTATGCTACCAGTGCCAAGCATGGACGCTATCCAAAGCCCATATACGCAAAATCACCTTAGAAAAGCAGCCAACCAATCCATCTGAGATCGAGTGAATAATGATACTATCAGACAAATTGTGGGAACAACACCTTGTACTAGATTCATGGAGAAACAGCAGATCAAGTGGTTTGGCCATCTCGTTAAAGTGCAGCAAGATAAAATACCATCACAAACACTACATCTCAGAAGATCAGCTACAAGAGGATGGCCACGGAAAATATGGATCGACAACATTAAAGACACTCTACGCCTTCATGGCATGACAATAGCTAATGGCAGTGTCGCGTGCGGATGTGCACCAGAATGCACCAATACTGAGTGAGAAAATAAGACGTCAAAACAATACGTAATGTTGTGAAGGTATTGTTGTCAAAGGCAGTTGATGTTTACAGTCCGAAGGAGACGGACGTGTGGATCCTTGAGGACGCTTTACCCCGGGATCCCATGGAAGCAAACGTTGTATAAAGTTGGATCCTTGAGGACGTTTTACCCCGGGATGCCACAGTTCGGCAGTAAGCCGGAATACTTTGCAGTTGATGTTTAGGTGAATTGTCACATCTCGGCAGTAAGCCGGTATACTTTCATTGCTTAATTCGGATTTTGGGATAATATTTTGTGAATAAATTTCGCCTTATTGAAAAGTAGATGTTCACGCAGCGGTAGTAGCATAAGCCATTTATATGTTTTGGAACTCACTGTCCTATGATTATTTCTTATTAAGTGAAAGGCACTCTTTTGCAGTGACGTGAGGCTCTTGATAACAGAACTGGAACAGCCATTCCATATTGTAGAGCAATGGTCTATATATGTCTGGATGTGAGAAATATAGAATATCTTTCTTGTGTTTTCATCAAGAAAGTTTTAATTTTTTGCAAGTTGGTAAACCTTCTTAGCTGTTTGCTTCACAAGGGCTTGTACATGTGATTTGAACATTAGATTTGCATCAAGGATCAACCCCAGTACTTTGTGCTCAGTTACACTTTCCACTTTAGGCCTTTAAATGTAGAGTTGGAGCACTTTTTGTGAATTCAAAGTATATAGTTTTTATCTTGTTGTTATTGGCATAGATTTTGTTTTATTAATGTTTATTTGCATACTTGCTCTCAAAGGGCCCTGACCAAGTCTAGCTTGTCATGCATCAGTTTACCACCTTAATGATGCAGAACCAACCAGTCTCTGTCTGACTGTACCTTTCCCAACACGTCTGCATGACTGGAGAAAATCCAAAAGAAGCAAACCACACAGGACTCTGAATGATGATTGCCACTCTGTATAGAGCATATCTGCTCCACCTTTCTCATCTTGCACTGTGAGCCTATTACAATCACAACATGTGTGAACATTTCACCAAGGGCACAAGGTGTCTGATTAATCAACACAATGGGCATGATTACCCGTTTCACTCTTGTGGAGCTATTGTGAGCACCTATGGATCAATTGGGAGTGCTGTAATGATAGTCCTCACTAATCACTAATTCAGTTCTGCTGATTTCTATAGCTCAAATTAAAAAAAATGCTACATTATATTTGCGACTGGAGGTGGAGGCGGTCATAGCAGCTTTCTGCTGGCTTGAGAACCACCAGCATACACATGTTACCCCTAAGGTCACTAACAAGGTGAATTTTTATCATTTAGAACCAATCATTTTGAAAGCAGGGGCAAACTAATGAACATAAAATTATGTAGTAAATGCAGAAAACAGCAAACAAATACTGAGGTTCATTCTGCAACATCCTGTTAAGGTTATACAACTAACTTAACTGTTAAACTTGACAAGAGGATCCGGACATAAAAACAACCAATTTTTACTAATTTTGGGGAACTGAACACAAAAATGACACTAACATTTTTGATAGGCTCTTGTTAAAAGATGGTTTGTTAGGACAAGAAAACAAAGCTGCTCACAGACAATAAAATAAGGGCCAACAAAGATTGTCTAGCTGAGTTCAGCAGGTGAAGAAATTCATGGAAAGATAGGAAATTAGTAGCAATATTTACACCAAGTGAAATGAAAATTATACATTACCCCTGGTAGGGATGTTGTTGAACACATATATTGACTGCAGTCTAACCACAAACTAGGATAGTCAGAAAGTAAAGGCCCACCCCTCCCCCATTTATTTTCCACACACATGCATGCACACACACTCACGCACGCATGCACCCATGTACGCACGCATGCACAAACACACGCATGCACGCACGCACAAAAGCACAGTTTACAATTCAAATTTTTTGCATTTTCAATTAGGGAATTATAATATTGCTACAGTGTAGAAATATCTGAAAAGCAGGAGACATTATGCCAGACCAGCTCGTCACATTACCACCCAAGACTCTCATCAGCTTTCAACCCTTAAGTGTCTTCATGGCTTCACAAAAATGGTTTGCCCCACCAGCAGCTACTCTGAGGTATGCTCTCATTACCAGCTGACTCTTTGAGACAGTGAGGAGTCACATTCCATAATCCAGGAGAGTATGGCGGGAGGGGGGAGAGGGGGGAGGAGTTGAGTTGATTCAAGTACCGACCTCACAGCACTCGGGGCATTCTCATAAGCGCTCCGTCCCCTTCTTTAGACATCAGTGAAGAGTTCCGATACTAATGGTGCCAGTAGCATTCTGATTAAATGTCCGTCTTGCCTTTCCTCTGAGCCTCGAGCATCTGCCAGAACCTCTCGTCACTCACCCCTGCATCAGTCTCACCAGACTGTGGTGATTCATCTGCTCCTCCGAACTGTTCACATTCTCCCATAAGGCACTAACCACGTCTGCCTTATCATGTATCAGTATTCCACTAAGTTGTGCAGAGCCAGCCAGTCTGTCCGCCTGTTCATTTCCCAACACACCGGCGTTACCTGGTGAAAAAATCCAGACAATACTCCTCACCCGTGTCCTCGGCAGCGAAGCATGCCACTCTGCACGAAGAAAAGGAGAATCCTGTTAATCTTCATTTTCATTTTTGATTTCAGGTCCATTTCAAAAACTGAATGCTGTTGAGATAGAGGGTGAGGTTGGAGAAATGTGGCGCACAATGTACAAGCTGGTGAAAACATTTGTTGATCAACCTGGGCCAAGACATATCGCCAACAATATCAAAGCTAAAATTGACAAATTTAAGGCAAACATGCCAATTTTAGCAACTATATGTAACCCAGGAATAAGGAGCAGACACTGGGAACAGGTGAGGATTCCTTTCTTTATCTTACAATCATCACCTTTGTTATGACTTTTTGAACACAGTCATGCAGAGGAGTGGACAGACTCCTGAGCTTGTTCTGTGGGTGGTGGTACTGGTTAGATCACAAAAGAGTGGGAAAATAATGATAACCACTGTTGTCTGGATACCTAAGACTAGGATCTAATGAAGATCAAGTAGAGTGGTTGAGACAGCAGTAGCATACCAACATTTGTCAGAATGCTAATAATTTGAAGGTGTGTGTGTGTGGGGGGGGGGGGGGGGGGGGGGGGGGGGTTTGAATGAAATCCTTAAAAATGTGATAGAACTTACAGTAACCATGCTAATTTCTGGTAACCTATCAGTATTGTTGTTATGGATGTCAAGAGTGGTAAGCACATGTCATCATGGTGCAGACAAACACAGTGACATCATAATCATAGTTTAAATATTGATTTCCTTAACAAAAATATTGACAGATTACAAGACAATGATATGGTTATTGTTATTTCCATCTATCATGTTTTTTAAGGTTTTCATTGGAGGCTTGCAAATACAAGCCAGAGATATATGGATTTCTTTTCTGCTGTTGAAACATAAAATTGATATATTGAATTATAAAGAAATGAATGAATAAAAATATTATTGACATTATATTCATTTTTTGGGGTCAAATAAAGATGTAAATAAAGTTAAAATAAGACCTCCTTTAAAAATAAGCCCTAAGGCATCTTTTATAGCAAATATTAATATAAAACCTGGCCTTATTGTCAGGGACACATCATAATAGGAGGAGGAGAATCTGTGTCAGGAAAGAAGAAAACAAAAAAACAAATGGCACTCTTTATTTAGCTTGAATTCCCAGTCTGTTGTAATCTGCAATGGCTTTGCTTATATTTCAGATGAGTGATATTGTTGGTTTTGACATAAGCCCCAAAGAATCAACTGCCCTAGCCACCATGCTGGAATATGGCTTGCACAAGCACCTGGAAAAGTATGCCACTTTTATAATGATCTGTCTGATTTGCTGTTTTGTTACCAACTTCCCTATAAGAGTTGTGAATATCTAGGATTTAAATCAGAGCAATGTTTCCCCCTTGTTAATTTGAACAAAGAAGACAGAACAGTGTAGACTATACAATTTACTGTCTAGTATGTTTTTTCGGTTAGAAGATATTTTGTGTGTACTTCCATTTTGTCCAATTCCAATTCCAATTCCAAACTTGATCCTATTTCAGACGCCTGCTATATGAGGGAAGGTTCCTTGGCTAACTTATTTGATGTCCTATTCTTTGTGGTGTGAAGTCACACCTGATATTCCTGTTCTTTTTCTTCGTACGGTCTTGCTCTCTTTAATTCCTATCTCTGAGGTTTTTGCTGACCGTTGCTGGTGCTTGGTTTAACTCGTCCTGGTTGCTGTTCTGGTGCCCTATTGCCAGGCTGGGCTACCGCTCTGTAAGGCCGCGGGAAAAAGCCAAACACTGCTAACCACCGTCTCCATACATTGTTCTTTTTCTTTTGTTCTTTTTTGTTTAATGTCATACTTCTTTATTATGTACATGGTGATATATAGTGAAATATGCTAGACATAAAATGGTGCAATCTTTTGTTTGTGTCTGTTTAGAATCTAAGATTTAGTTACCATGTAACTTTTTTTACCAACTTTCATAAAGACAGACTGAGCCAGTATTTATCTTTCACTTTCTTTACACAAGTTTTGAAATCACAGACTTGTAAGAAAAGTAAAGAACCTTTTTCATGCATTTTGAAGCATCTTATATTTTTAATACCCAAACGGAACTAGATGGCTGATAGTCCACTTCTTCTTCCCAGGACATTACCTGGTACCTATTTCATCCTGGGTCGACAAGGAACCAAAATCAGTTTTTTTTTAAAAATCTGCTGCTATGTGAACTTGAACCCTAGACCTTCAGGCCAGCAGACGAGCTTCTGGCTGCTATGCTACCGCAGTTCCAAAAGACTTAAGTGTGTACCTTCTGTCAGCAACTTTATGGACACAAACGTATATGTATGTTATTCTATACCTTTCCACAACATTCCTAAACACATACAGTGGAACTCCTGTATTTGTCATTAATCTGTTCCTGAGGTGAGAATGAATATTAAAAATGATACATATCAAACTTATGGTTGTGAGTCCTAGACTCTCACTCATTCACTGAAGAAAAAAATTAGAGCTTTTGAATTAAAATGTTACAGAAAAATTCTCAGAATGTCGATTTTTATTCCTGTTCTTGAGATTTATCTCAAGAACAGAAAAAAAAATCAACATTCTACACGAGTTAAATATCAAGGAGAACTGGCTCAAAAACAGCGTTCTGTCTCAAAAGTTGAAGTATTTTGGCCACATCAAATGTCATGGTGGCTTGGAAAAGACGGTGTTGGAACGTGCAGTTTGTGGAAAGTAAGGTAGGGGTCGACCTCCGAGAAGATGGATACAGGACATTAAAGATGCATTGGCATTGAAAGTGCATGGGGCTGGAGAGCTGGCTAGGGAAAGGAATACTTTCAAGCGTGCTGTGAGGAGAGTTACGTTCTGGAAAGAACTTACTGATTGATGAGTTTTAAAGAAAAAATCCCCTCCAAAATCGATCTGGAAAATCATTGCAAAACATTTTAATTATATATTAACAACTGTACTTATTACTGCTTTTTCATTGTGACAGACTCATCCTTATTCTGATGGCATAAATATACTGTAGGCCTACATAAATATGTAAACAAAAATTGTAAATATAAATTTACCTTTCGGATTTAAAAAAAAGCAGTGGCTATTATTTGGAAGGGGAGTTATCTTCCATTATTACATCAAGTAATGTCATTTCTGATGACTGATGCCCTAGTGATGCATCAGCATTTCGGGTCAATTCACCTGCACTTGTTTAAAAAAAAAATTGTAAAGCGTTGTTTGTTCTGTTCGGTTTTTCAAATATATTTTTTTAAGTTCAGACACATCATCATCAAATGAATTGATACGCTGATTAACTAGAGCTATGTTTGGGTGCTTTTCTTAATGAAAACCTGCATTTTTCCCCAATTGGACAGCCATTCTCTAATTTCAGCACTTGGAACAAACCCATTGTCTCCTTTTTTCTTCGTCTGATAACTTGCTGGCCATGTTGGGGGAGGGATGAATATTGACTTTTCAAGTGGATATCAAAAAAAATTTCAACAACAATGACAATAACAAAAATAACAACAGCAACAAACGTACTGACATGGATGATTATTGAAGTTCTATTGTATTTGGCATTGATATTCTTGTTAGCATTGACCGGCTGCAGACTCTGGCGGAAGCTTATGGCTGCTCATTCCCTTCTGGACGTTGGTCTTGTTCTAGAACTTGAGGTTTGCATGCCCATCTATTTTGCACTTCTGTTTTACACATCTGCCTTATTTGTATGCAGACTGTTGGTTTTTTGCCTGACTTTGAAGGAAACGCCCCTGATTAGTTACTTTTTATAACATGCTTGACAGAGGAAGAGTGTCTTTTCTCCCCCCCCCCCCCCCCCCCCCCCCCAAAAAAAAAGGGGGTCCCGGATCCAACACAGTGCAGACATTGGCTAAGAATGTTGTCAAATTATACCTTCTCTCAAATAACATTTTTAGAAACAGACTAAAGTTGTTTTAAAAATATTATACTTGCTCTCAAAATGATTTTCCCTTGCCATAGACTAAGCCTGTTGTTGTATTGTACTTTCTCTGAACAGACTTGATGAGATCAGTGCAAGTGCAGCCAAGGAGTATTCATTGGAGAAGGCGCTCAATAAGATGAAAGAAGACTGGAAAGACCTGAAGTTTGACCTTGTTCCCTACAGAGAAACTGTGAGTGCCATTTTGCTCTTTCATATTTTTATTGTCCTTTTCTTACACTAGTGTGCTAGAATCATGGAAAGTCAGCAGATTAGTGAGAAATTGTGTGTGAAGATGTGGTTTTTTCATAATTATTATGATAGTACAGTTACAATATCTAGCCAGATTTCTTCTGTGTACCCAGCCCATTATCAACAGATGCTGATATTTGTTGCACACACAGTATAGCTGACCACACCAGACACATTGTAAAGAAGTCGTATAAATAATTAAATTTCATATTTTTGGACAGTGGATTCATTAATTTGTTTCTTTGTGTTAGGGTGTCAGTATCTTGACTGCACTTGAGGACATTCAGATACTGCTAGATGACAACATCATCAAGGCACCTATGCAGAATTTTTGTAACTCTCAAGGATTCAGACAGTGGGCAATGGAGAATGACAAGCAGTAGAGAAATTCATTATCTGTTTAAATCATTGCTAAATAGTGGCATTATGAGGGCTATCAGACTGCAGTAGTTGGGGAATAAAGGGAGAATGGCAGATAACAGAGACAAACACTGTGTGCACAAAAAGGGTTGAATGGGAGCGGACCACAAGGCAGACCAAGAAAACAGTGGAAAGATGATCTATCTAAAGGCAGACCTACAAACACTTAGAGTCACTAACTGGAAGAAAAAAGCCAGTCATAGAGACTAATGTAGATGGGTAGATTATGAATCTCAAGGACTCAGAATGTTGCCAAGAAGAAGTCATATAAATATTTGAATTTCATTTTTTTTAACAGTGGATTCATGAATCTATTTCTTTGTGTTAGGGTGTCAGTATCTTGAGTGCACTGGATGACATTCAGACACTGCTAGATGACAACATCATCAAGGCACAGACAATGAGGGGCTCACCATACATTAAACCATTTGAAACTGAGATGAGGGAATGGGAAGAGAAGCTTGTCCTCATGCAGGATATCATTGATGAATGGCTGAAGGTAGGGACCTGTATTTTTAAAAATTTGACAGTCAGTAACTTTTTACACTTTCCACTTGTATTGTTATTGTTCTTATTTCCACTTGAAATATTGTCTTTCCTCTTGCATTGTTATCTTTCCACTTGCATTTTCTTTCTACTTTTACTGTTATTTTTTCACTTGTTGTTATCTTTCCACTCTCTACTTATATTGTCATCTGTCCACTTCTATTGTTAAGTTTGAACTTGTATTATTATTTTCCCACTTGTATAGTTATCTGCATTTTGCTTGTCTCTCATAAATATTTTTTGGGTATAGTATTTATGAGAGTGCCATGTCTTCTAATGTGGCAGAATTATGAAATTTGTGTTTTTTTAAATATTTTTTAAATTGCTTATAGTAATTTTAATTTTATTTCCCAGCCTCTTATATATTTGTCTGTTTTTTATTGCCACGAACTGTGATTAAATCTTTCAGTATGTCTATGTATGTGTTCACACCTCCCCCTCCGAGGGCCTCAGCTGCGTTTCATTGACCACTTGTATTTGCTTTGTTGACTTAATACTTGACTATACTTTTTTTTTATGTTCCCCCCCCCCCACCCCCCTCCCATTTTTTTTTAAAGAATCACGTATCGTAGATAGAAACCCGTGCTTGTTCTGTGGGTTCCCTGTGTGGGTTCCAGGGCCCCTTTATAGGGAAAACAAGAATAGACCCACTGCCTTTGCAAAAGCATGTCATAAGAGTCGACTAATTGGGAGCTTCCTTTAAAGTTGGAGTGCATCTCCTGAGAGGCAAAGGAACCAGCAGTCTGCATACAAATGAGTCAGATCTGTAAAATAGATGCACATGTAACACTTAGGTTCTGGAACAGGACTGCAGTCCAGAAGTGGATGAACAACCAGAACTTTCTGCCAGAGTTTACAGCTGGTGAACACGAAGAAAAAGAAGAAGAAGAAGAAGTTCTGTGGGTAATATTAAAAGAAATTACCATGAGCTTAGCCCTCATGAACTAATAAAACTGTATTAGCTGTTTCTAACTGAAACAACTAACACCATATTTTTATTAAAGGAGGAAAGACTGTTTCATTGGATCTTTCTCTCCTGACAGTTTCCATCACTAATTTTGTAGCTTGTTTTGAATTTATCCCACCTCCAAACTGGTACCTGAAGGTTTGACCATCCTGTGACTTCAAGGGTCACATCCTGGATGGCCAACCCACAGGGCAAATTCCTGATATCCCATTCAGCCTTCAAAGAAGTTATAATTAGGGCACACACCAGTGGTTACACCAAATACTATTCTAGTATACTCCAAAGTTGAAGTGAGTCATGAGCTTTAATGGTGTGTAGTAAAGAAAAAAGTAGTATCCCACATAATAAAGAAGATAGAAGCTTGACATTTTGAGCGCTTTAATTTAAACTGACAATATCATTTGTTATTTTTTAAAAAAAAATGACTTCCCATTCCAACAAAAATAACAGCTACCCTAATCTACTAATAGAGAGGGTGAGGACGATGTGCTTTACATTCAGAGACTTGTACAAATTATGGCTGCAGATAGAAATTATTTTGAAAATTCATAGTCATTTGTGTGCTGTGTATGATAGTTGTGCAGTTAATGTGAGCATTGTTGGTCGCTGGGTTCAGAGAGTTGCAGCTTCAGAAAGGGTTTTCCTTAAATCCATATATAGTTGTCGTGTTTGTTGTAGGGAAACATTTTAGATAGTTTAGTTGAATTGTAGTGTATTACTGTAGCTGTTTATTAGCTTGTTTCTACCATAGTATCAGATCATTTCTGCCATTGTTTCATTAATTGATTACTTCACATTTTTACAATAAACAATGATTGACAAAAAGCATTACAGACCATATATTCTTATGTCACTTTTATTAGGTGCAAGCAACTTGGTTGTATCTAGAGCCAATATTCAGCTCTGAAGATATCATGGCACAGATGCCAGAGGAAGGTCGCAAGTTTAGTATTGTTGACAGCTATTGGCGGGACATCATGGCAGAAACTCTGAAGGTAGTTCATGTGCTGGCTGGCATTTTAGAACCATTGCTTAACTTTTTGAGTCCCAGAGGGTTTAGCATCACGGGCCCAAGAGGTAGTCAAAAGAGACGTAAAATCGGCGCATCATGCGTTCATTGGGCTTCTAGTAGGCAGTAACCTATGAACGTATGGTGCATTCCTTGGGATTCAAAGAGTTAATGATTGATATCTGGTAATTTATGAAAAATATTATATAGTAATATATAGAATGTGTTGCAGAAATTGTATGATTAAATGAGTAGAATTAATTATAACCGGTTCTGGAGGCAATTTTTAGTATGTAAAAATTTGCTCTCCAAGTGGGTTCCAGGGCTCCATTATGGGGGGGGGGGGGGGGGGAGTGGACAGGTGGACATACTACTGCTCCCCAACAAGCATTTCATAAGAGCTGAATGGTTATGAATTTTTCCTTTAAAGTCAGAGTACATCTGCCTAAATGACGAGGAACCAAAAGTCTGCATACAAATAAGCCAGATGTGTTAAACAGATTTGCACGCAAATCTCAGGCTGTGGAACAAGACCAAGGTCTAGAAGTGAATGAACGATCAGAACTTTTGACTGGTGTTTAGAACCAGTGAAGATGAATAAGAACAAGAAGAAGTACATAATGTACCAGTGAGGGTAACTATCTCAGGATTATTCAGCTATTGAAGTCATGCTGGACAGTCACATCATCAACACAAGAAGTTGGTAGAGATATCCAGTCATATTCCATATCATCCTTGTATGGGTTCTAGGGTCCTATTTTGGAGGAAAGCATAACAGACCAATTGAGAAGCTGGTCAAAAAATAAACGATGACTCTTTAAGCTTTTGCTGAAATCAGTGTTGGCGAAAGGTGCAGTTATCATAGCCTAGCTATAAACCACAACACAGCATACCAAGGGTAGGTGCAGAAGAAGAAGAAGGTATTCCATATCGCGTATAGTGGTAGTTTACCTATTGTCGATTGTGATGTAATGTTTATTTCTGGTCTATTATAGAATACAAACTGCTTAGTGGCAACAGGCCAAAATAACATGCTTGGCCGTCTTCGCGAGGCCAACATGCTTCTAGAAGATATTCAGAAAGGCCTAAATGCTTACCTGGAAAAGAAACGTCTCTTTTTCCCCAGGTTTGTGTCTTATCTTTGCTGTCCATGTCTATGTTTTAAAAAATGCCGTTCTGAAAAAATACCATTCAGAAAAATTATTTTTATTAGAATTGTATAAGATATCTGTTTTGTAAGTTATTGAATTTTGAACTGTGAAAACATTATCGAGGAGCGACTGGCCGAGCGGTTAAAACACTAGGCTCTCATGCGGGAGACCCAGGTTGAAATCCTTGGGAAGGCTGGAGATTTTTTTCTGTCATTGGCAAATTGTGTAATGTATATAACTATGTAAGGTATATAATCGTGTGGGTCAACAGTTGAATAGCCCTCATGTAAGGTATCTGTGTACGGTATCTAATTATTGTATAATGTATCTAACTGTGTATGCTATCTAATTGTGTATGGTGTTTAACTGTGTAATATATCTAATTGTGTACGGTATCTAACTGTGCATGGTATCTAATTGTGTAAGGTATCTAATTGTGTAATATATCTAATTGTGTACGGTATCTAATTGTGTAATATATCTAATTGTGTACGGTATCTAACTGTGCATGGTATCTAATTGTGTAAGGTATCTAATTGTGTACGGTATCTAATTGTGTAATGTATCTAATTGTGTAAGGTATCTAATTGTGTAAGGTATCTAACTGTGTACGGTATCTAATTGTGTAAGGTATCTAACTGTGTAATATATCTAATTGTGTACGGTATCTAACTGTGCATGGTATCTAATTGTGTAAGGTATCTAATTGTGTAAGGTATCTAATTGTGTACGATATCTAATTGTGTAATGTATCTAACTGTGTAATGTATCTAACTGTGTAATGTATCTAACTGTGTAATGTATCTAACTGTGTAATGTATGTAACTGTGTAATGTATCTAACTGTGTAATGTATCTAACTGTGTAATGTATCTAACTGTGTAATGTATCTAACTGTGTAATGTATCTAACTGTGTAATGTATCTAACTGTGTAATGTATCTAACTGTGTAATGTATCTAAATGTGTAATGTATCTAACTGTGTAATGTATCTAATTGTGTAAGGTATCTAACTGTGTAATGTATCTAACTGTGTAATGTATCTAACTGTGTAATGTATCTAACTGTATAATGTATCTAATGTGTGTAATGTATCTAATTGTGTAATGTATCTAATTGTATCTAATTGTGTAATGTATCTAACTGTGTAATGTATCTAATTGTGTAATGTATCTAATTGTGTAATGTATCTAACTGTGTAATGTATCTAATTGTGTAATGTATCTAATTGTGTAATGTATCTAACTGTGTAATGTATCTAACTGTGTAATGTATCTAACTGTGTAATGTATCTAATTGTGTAATGTATCTAATTGTGTAATGTATCTAATTGTGTAATGTATCTAACTGTGTAATGTATCTAATTGTGTAATGTATCTAATTGTGTAATGTATCTAATTGTGTAATGTATCTAATTGTGTAATGTATCTAATTGTGTAATGTATCTAATTGTGTAATGTATCTAATTGTGTAATGTATCTAATTGTGTAATGTATCTAATTGTGTAATGTATCTAATTGTGTAATGTATCTAATTGTGTAATGTATCTAATTGTGTAATGTATCTAATTGTGTAATGTATCTAACTGTGTAAGGTATCTAATTGTGTAATGTATCTTATTGTGTAATGTATCTAATTGTGTAATGTATCTAACTGTGTAATATATCTAACTGTGTAAGGTATCTAATTGTGTATGGTATCTAACTGTGCATGGTATCTAATTGTGTAAGGTATCTAATTGTGTAATGTATCTAACTGTGTAATGTATCTAACTGTGTAATGTATCTAACTGTGTAATGTATCTAACTGTGTAATGTATCTAATTGTGTAATGTATCTAACTGTGTAATGTATCTAATTGTGTAATGTATCTAATTGTGTACGGTATCTAATTGTGTAATGTGTCTAACTGTGTAAAGTATCTGTGTAAGGTATCTAATTGTGTAAGGTATCTAATTGTGTAAGGTATCTGTGTAAGGTATCTAATTGTGTAAGGTATCTAATTGTGTAAGGTATCTAATTGTGTAAGGTATCTGTGTAAGGTATCTAATTGTGTAAGGTATCTAATTGTGTAAGGTATCTAATTGTGTAATGTATCTAATTGTGTAAGGTATCTAATTGTGTAAGGTATCTAATTGTGTAAGGTATCTAATTGTGTAAGGTATCTGTGTAAGGTATCTAATTGTGTAAGGTATCTAATTGTGTAAGGTATCTGTGTAAGGTATCTAATTGTGTAAGGTATCTGTGTATGGTATCTGTGTAAGGTATCTAATTGTGTAAGGTATCTGTGTAAGGTATCTAATTGTGTAAGGTATCTAATTGTGTAAGGTATCTGTGTAAGGTATCTAATTGTGTAAGGTATCTGTGTAAGGTATCTAATTGTGTAAGGTATCTAATTGTGTAAGGTATCTGTGTAAGGTATCTAATTGTGTAAGGTATCTAATTGTGTAAGGTATCTAATTGTGTAAGGTATCTGTGTAAGGTATCTAATTGTGTAAGGTATCTGTGTAAGGTATCTAATTGTGTAAGGTATCTAATTGTGTAAGGTATCTGTGTAAGGTATCTAATTGTGTAAGGTATCTAATTGTGTAAGGTATCTAATTGTGTAAGGTATCTAATTGTGTAAGGTATCTGTGTAAGGTATCTAATTGTGTAAGGTATCTGTGTAAGGTATCTAATTGTGTAAGGTATCTAATTGTGTAAGGTATCTGTGTAAGGTATCTAATTGTGTAAGGTATCTAATTGTGTAAGGTATCTAATTGTGTAAGGTATCTGTGTAAGGTATCTAACTGTGTAAGGTATCTGTGTAAGGTATCTAATTGTGTAAGGTATCTGTGTAAGGTATCTAATTGTGTAAGGTATCTAATTGTGTAAGGTATCTGTGTAAGGTATCTAATTGTGTAAGGTATCTAATTGTGTAAGGTATCTGTGTAAGGTATCTAACTGTGTAAGGTATCTGTGTAAGGTATCTAATTGTGTAAGGTATCTAATTGTGTAATGTTTCTAACTGTGTAAGGTATCTGTGTAAGGTATCTAATTGTGTAAGGTATCTAACTGTGTAAGGTATCTGTGTAAGGTATCTAATTGTGTAATGTATCTAACTGTGTAAGGTATCTAACTGTGTAAGGTATCTAATTGTGTAATGTATCTAACTGTGTAATGTATCTAACTGTGTAAGGTATCTAATTGTGTAAGTTATCTAACTGTGTAATGTATCTAACTGTGTAAGCTATCTAACTGTGTAAGTTATCTAACTGTGTAAGGTATCTAATTGTGTAAGGTATCTAATTGTGTAATGTATCTAACTGTGTAATGTATCTAATTGTGTAAGGTATCTAATTGTGTAATGTATCTAACTGTGTAAGGTATCTGTGTAAGGTATCTAATTGTGTAAGGTATCTAATTGTGTAATGTATCTAATTGTGTAATGTATCTGTGTAAGGTATCTAATTGTGTGATGTATCTGTGTAAGGTATCTAATTGTGTAATGTATCTGTGTAAGGTATCTAATTGTGTAATGTATCTGTGTAAGGTATCTAATTGTGTAATGTATCTGTGTAAGGTATCTAATTGTGTAATGTATCTGTGTGAGGTATCTAATTGTGTAATGTATCTAACTGTGTAAGGTATCTGTGTAAGGTATCTGTGTAAGGTATCTGTGTAAGGTATCTGTGTAAGGTATCTAATTGTGTAATGTATCTAACTGTGTAAGGTATCTGTGTAAGGTATCTAATTGTGTAATGTATCTAACTGTGTAAGGTATCTGTGTAAGGTATCTGTGTAAGGTATCTGTGTAAGGTATCTGTGTAAGGTATCTAATTGTGTAATGTATCTAATTGTGTAATGTATCTGTGTAAGGTATCTGTGTAAGGTATCTAATTGGGTAATGTATCTAACTGTGTAATGTATCTGTGTAAGGTATCTGTGTAAGGTATCTAATTGTGTAATGTATCTAACTGTGTAATGTATCTGTGTAAGGTATCTAATTGTGTAATGTATCTAATTGTGTAAGGTATCTGTGTAATGTATCTAACTGTGTAAGGTATCTAATTGTGTAATGTATCTGTGTAAGGTATCTAACTGTGTAATGTATCTGTGTAAGGTATCTAATTGTGTAATGTATCTGTGTAAGGTATCTAACTGTGTAATGTATCTGTGTAAGGTATCTAATTGTGTAATGTATCTGTGTAAGGTATCTAACTGTGTAATGTATCTGTGTAAGGTATCTAATTGTGTAATGTATCTAATTGTGTATGGTATCTGTGTAAGGTATCTAATTGTGTATAGTATCTAATTGTGTAATGTATCTAACTGTGTAAGGTATATGTGTAAGGTATCTAATTGTGTAATGTATCTAATTGTGTAAGGTATCTGTGTAAGGTATCTAATTGTGTATGGTATCTAATTGTGTAATGTATCAAACTGTGTAAGATATCTGTGTAAGGTATCTAATTGTGTAATGTATCTAATTGTGTAAGGTATCTGTGTAAGGTATCTAATAGTGTATGGTATCTAATTGTGTAATGTATCTAATTGTGTAATGTATCTAACTGTGTAAGGTATCTGTGTAAGGTATCTAATTGTGTAAGGTATCTAACTGTGTAATGTATCTAACTGTGTAATGTATCTAACTGTGTAAGGTATCTGTGTAAGGTATCTAATTGTGTAAGGTATCTAATTGTGTAAGGTATCTGTGTAAAGTATCTAATTGTGTAATGTATCTAACTGTGTAAGGTATCTGTGTAAGGTATCTAATTGTGTAATGTATCTAATTGTGTAAGGTATCTGTGTAATATATCTAATTGTGTAAGGTATCTGTGTAAGGTATCTAATTGTGTAAGGTATCTAATTGTGTAAGGTATCTAATTGTGTAAGGTATCTAATTGTGTAAGGTATCTGTGTAAGGTATCTAATTGTGTAAGGTATCTAATTGTGTAATGTATCTAACTGTGTAAGGTATATGTGTAAGGTATCTGTGTAAGGTATCTAATTGTGTAAGGTATCTAATTGTGTAAGGTATCTGTGTAAGGTATCTAATTGTGTAAGGTATCTAATTGTGTAATGTATCTGTGTAAGGTATCTAATTGTGTAATGTATCTAATTGTGTAAGGTATCTGTGTAAAGTATCTAATTGTGTAAGGTATCTAATTGTGTAAGGTATCTAATTGTGTAAGGTATCTGTGTAAGGTATCTAATTGTGTAAGATATCTGTGTAAGGTATCTAATTGTGTAAGGTATCTAATTGTGTAAGGTATCTAATTGTGCAAGGTATCTAATTGTGTAAGGTATCTGTGTAAGGTATCTAATTGTGTAAGGTATCTAATTGTGTAATGTATCTAACTGTGTAAGGTATCTGTGTAAGATATCTAATTGTGTAAGGTATCTGTGTAAGGTATCTAATTGTGTAAGGTATCTGTGTAAGGTATATAATTGTGTAAGGTATCTAACTGTGTAAGGTATCTGTGTAAGGTATCTAATTGTGTAAGGTATCTGTGTAAGGTATCTAATTGTGTAAGGTATCTAACTGTGTAAGGTATCTGTGTAAGGTATCTAATTGTGTAATGTATCTAACTGTGTAAGGTATCTGTGTAAGGTATCTAATTGTGTAATGTATCTAACTGTGTAAGGTATCTGTGTAAGGTATCTAATTGTGTAAGGTATCTAATCGTGTAAGGTATCTAATTGTGTAAGGTATCTGTGTAAGGTATCTAATTGTGTAAGGTATCTAATTGTGTAATGTATCTAACTGTGTAAGGTATCTGTGTAAGGTATCTAATTGTGTAATGTTTCTAACTGTGTAAGGTATCTGTGTAAGGTATCTAATTGTGTAAGGTATCTAATTGTGTAATGTATCTAACTGTGTAAGGTATCTGTGTAAGGTATCTAATTGTGTAATGTATCTAATTGTGTAATGTATCTGTGTAAGGTATCTGTGTAAGGTATCTAATTGTGTAAGGTATCTGTGTAAGGTATCTAACTGTGTAAGGTATCTGTGTAAGGTATCTAATTGTGTAATGTATCTAACTGTGTAAGGTATCTGTGTAAGGTATCTAATTGTGTAATGTATCTAACTGTGTAAGGTATCTGTGTAAGGTATCTAATTGTGTAAGGTATCTGTGTAAGGTATCTAACTGTGTAAGGTATCTGTGTAAGGTATCTGTGTAAGGTATCTAATTGTGTAAGGTATCTGTGTAAGGTATCTAACTGTGTGAGGTATCTGTGTAAGTTATCTAACTGTGTAAGGTATCTAACTGTGTAAGGTATCTGTGTAAGGTATCTGTGTAAGGTTTCTGTGTAAGGTATCTGTGTAAGGTATCTAACTGTGTAAGGTATCTTTGTAAAGTATCTAACTGTGTAAGGTATCTGTGTAAGGTATCTAACTGTGTAAGGTATCTGTGTAAGGTATCTAATTGTGTAATGTATCTAATTGTGTAATGTATCTGTGTAAGGTATCTAATTGTGTAAGGTATCTGTGTAAGGTATCTAACTGTGTATGGTATCTGTGTATGGTATCTGTGTATGGTATCTGTGTATGGTATCTGTGTATGGTATCTGTGTATGGTATCTGTGTATGGTATCTGTGTAAGGTATCTAATTGTGTAATGTATCTAACTGTGTAAGGTATCTGTGTAAGGTATCTAATTGTGTAATGTATCTAATTGTGTAATGTATCTGTGTAAGGTATCTGTGTAATGTATCTAACTGTGTAAGGTATCTGTGTAAGGTATCTAATTGTGTAAGGTATCTAACTGTGTAAGGTATCTGTGTAAGGTATCTAATTGTGTAAGGTATCTAATTGTGTAATGTATCTAACTGTGTAAGGTATCTGTGTAAGGTATCTGTGTAAGGTATCTAATTGTGTAATGTATTTAACTGTGTAAGGTATCTGTGTAAGGTATCTAATTGTGTAATGTATTTAACTGTGTAAGGTATCTGTGTAAGGTATCTAATTGTGTAATGTATCTAACTGTGTAAGGTATCTGTGTAAGGTATCTAATTGTGTAAGGTATCTAATTGTGTAAGGTATCTAATTGTGTAATGTATCTGTGTAAGGTATCTAATTGTGTAATGTATCTGTGTAAGGTATCTGTGTAATGTATCTAACTGTGTAAGGTATCTGTGTAAGGTATCTAATTGTGTAATGTATCTAACTGTGTAAGGTATCTAATTGTGTAAGGTATCTAATTGTGTAAGGTATCTAATTGTGTAAGGTATCTAATTGTGTAAGGTATCTGTGTAAGGTATCTGTGTAAGGTATCTAATTGTGTAAGGTACCTGTGTAAGGTATCTAACTGTGTAATGTATCTGTGTAAGGTATCTAATTGTGTAATGTATCTAACTGTGTAAGGTATCTGTGTAAGGTATCTAATTGTGTAAGGTATCTAATTGTGTAAGGTATCTAATTGTGTAAGGTATCTAATTGTGTAAGGTAAATAATTGTGTAAGGTAAATAATTGTGTAAGTTAACTAATTGTGTAAGGTATCTAATTGTGTAAGGTAACTAATTGTGTAAGGTATCTTATTGTGTACGGTATCTAATTGTGCAAGGTATCTAATTGTGTAAGCTAACTAATTGTGTAAGGTATCTAATTGTGTACGGTATCTAATTGTGCAAGGTAACTATTTGCTTAAGGTATCTAATTTTGTAAGGTATCAAACTGTGTAAGGTAACTTATTGTGTAAGGTAACTATTTGTGAAAGGTTTCTAATTGTGTAAAGTATCTAATTGTGTAAGGCCTAGCTGTACTTTGGTAATCATATCAATATTTTCAACAGGTTTTTCTTCTTATCTAATGATGAACTCCTGGAGATCCTTTCTGAGACCAAGGACCCAATGCGAGTACAGCCGCACTTGAAGAAATGCTTTGAGGGCATTTCCAAGCTGGAATTTACAGAAAATGGGGAAATTATTGGAATGATTTCAGCTGAGCATGAGATTGTGCCTTTCTCGAGCACTATCTATCCTGCAAAAGCCAAGGTTTTGTGTCTATGTTGTCATGAAGATCTGTGTGTGTTTATCTCAAACACTATTTATATGTATCTTTCTCAAGCACTATCTAAAAGTGTCTTTCTCAAACACTATCAATGTGTCTTTCTTAAGTGCTGTCCATAAATGTCTTTCTCAGGCACTATCTATGTGTGTCTTTCTCAAGCACTGTCCATAAATGTCTTTCTCAGGTGCTATCTATATGTTTCTTTCTCAAGCACTGTCCATTAATGTCTTTCTCAGGCACTATCTATATGTGTCTTTCTCAATCACTGTCCATAAATGTCTTTCTCAGGCACTATCTATATGTGTCTTTCTCAGCACTGTCAATAAATGTCTTTCTCAGGCACTATCTATATGTGTCTTTATCAAGCACTGTCCATAAATGTCTTTCTCAGGCACCATCTATGTGTGTCTTTCTCAGGCACCATCTATGTGTGTCTTTCTCAAGCACTGTCCATAAATGTCTTTCTCAGGCACTATCTATATGTCTTTATCAAGCACTGTCCATAAATGTCTTTCTCAGGCACTATCTATATGTGTCTTTCTCAAGCACTGTCCATAAATGTCTTTCTCAGGCACTATCTATGTGTGTCTTTCTCAAGCACTGTCCATAAATGTCTTTCTCAGGCACTATTTATATGTGTCTTTCTCAGACACTATCTATGTGTGTCTTTCTCAAGAACTATCTATCCTGCAAAAGCCAGGTTTTTGTATGTAACCTAAATCTATAAATGCTTTCTCTAAAACTATCTTCCCTGTTATGGTTCTAAGACCCAGTTAAACAATTTTGTTTTTAAAGAATCAATAACAGACCCACTGACCCGTAACAAGCATGTTGTAAGAATAAAATAATTAGGGACATTTTCTTTCAAGTCAGAGTGTATGTGTCAGAGAGGCAAAGAACCTGCAGTCTGCATACAAGTAAGGCAAATCTGTTAAACAGATGTGCACACAGAACTCAGGTTCTGGAGCAAGACCAGAATTGGATGAACCAGAACTGTCCACCTAAGTGAACGTTAAGAAGAAGAACTGTCTAAATGTACCTTCTCAAGAATGGTCTTTATGTCTTTGTTGTTATGTGGCTCTTACTAATCACACTCACCATGATCATGAGCTATGATTCCCATACTTTCTTATAACACAGTTTAACACTTTATCTCGAAAGACAGAAATGTTCCAACAGTTAAATGCCTAAGCTAGTTTATTTTTTTTAAATATATATATATAAAAATATTATACACACACTCACACATACACACACATATATATATATAAGTAATGGAAAGCATGGTCCTGGAAAATAAAAATACAAGAGGCAAAGATCCACTAGCATGAAGGTGGAGACAAGACAGATACCTCAAGCATAAAATGCATGAAGTAGGGAAATGGTTCAAAAAGTAGCTCATTAGGCTGTGATTAAAGCAACAATTAATGTTATGTTAAATTATTATTTTGATTCTAGGTGAGGAAGAAATATTCACCAAAACTAAGAAAATATTATCTATTTGTCAGTTTTTTTCACTGTCTCATTTCACATGATAGATTTTTACCATGGTCTAAGTTTTGTCAATTTGAAGGCTCCATTGGTAAAATTCACTGTTAAAGAAATCAGCCTAAAATATGAGTATGTGGCTTGAACAAAAATAAAAAAATAATCAAAAACATCAACATCAAATGTCTTGACCACTAGGGTGGATGATCATGCTTGTCCCCTTCTAGTGGTCTCCAACAGCTTCAATTTATAAATATTTCATTGTCTGCACATTTTTTACTTGTCTGCACATATTTTACTTGTCTGCACATTTTTTACTTGTCTGCACTTATTTCACCTGTCTGCACATTTTTCACTTTGCACATTTTTCACTTGTCTGCACTTATTTCACCTGTCTGCACATTTTTCACTTTGCACATTTTTTGCTTGTCTGCACTTATTTCACTTGTCTGCACATTTTTCACTTTGCACATTTTTCGCTTGTCTGCACTTTTTTCACCTGTCTGCACATTTTTCACTTTGCAAATTTTTCGCTTGTCTGCACTTATTTCACTTGTGTGCACATTTTTCACTTGTCTGCATATTTTTTGCTTGTCTGCACATATTTCACTTGTCTGCACATATTTCACTTGTCTGCACTTATTCCACTTGTCTGCCTATTTTCAGTTGTCTGCACTTATTTCACTTGTCTGCCCATTTTTCACTCGTCTGCACTTATTTCACTTATCTGCACATTTTTCACTTGTCTGCACATTTTTCACTTGTCTGCACTTATTTTACTTGTCTGCACATTGTTCACTTGTCTGCACATTTTTCACTTGTCTGCACTTATTTCACTTGTCTGCCCATTTTTCACTTGCCTGCACTTATTTCACTTGTCTGCACTTATTTCACTTATCTGCAAATTTTTCACTTGTCTGCACTATTTCACTTGTCTGCACTTATTTCACATGTCTGCACATATTTCACTTGTCTGCACATATTTCACTTGTCTGCACATATTTCGCTTGTCTGCACATATTTCACTTGTCTGCACATATTTCACTTAGCTGCACATTTTTTACTTGTCTGCACATATTTCACTTGTCTGAACATATTTCACTTGTCTGCACTTATTTCACTTGTCTGTACATATTTCACTTGAATCTGTAAATATGACAACAACCTATTTCAGGGTATGGTAGAAAAATGGCTTCTACAAGTGGAGGATGTGATGATCAACAGTTTAAGGAAGGTCATTGCCCAGTCGGTCTACGCCTACAAAACGACCGCTCGCAAGCGCTGGGTGCTTGAGTGGCCGGGGCAGGTGGTGCTGTGTGTCAGCTGCTACTTCTGGACCACAGAGGTGACAGAGGCAATGAAGAGTGAGGGAGGCCTGAAGGTCAGTCACTTAGATAAAATCATGACTAACCACATGATTATAATTTGGTATACTAATGGGACATTAACTGCAAGACATAAACAAGTGTTCAGATAGCAAGATCACATGGCATACGAATCATAGTATAACCACACAATCATATATTGCAGCCAGGAAGATTTTAATTACATGACGTCTAAGATGGAGCTTCATCGCATGATCATATAGTATTCACATAGAAAATTAACTACATTAATATCATATTGAAGATTAACAATACAATCATATAACATGCAAATGGGTGATGAAAAATAAGCTTTTATATTACATCATAGCGAGCCATCTAAAAGGTTCTCTGGTACACATGTGAATAATGAATGACAAGATCACACAGTTCATTAACATACTCATTATTTAGTTACTTATCTGGTCTCAATGTCCTCCGCAGTCTGTGAAGTTGAATTTCTTATGAATCCACCCATTATGTAGAAGAAAACAGAATGAGATTTTAATTGAGAGAGAATGGATTTGAAAGAACAGTTGGAATCTTATGTAACTCATGTTTGAGTTAAACCCCTGTTGATGTCATGATTAAAAAAGATAATCATAGTGAAAGTTAATGATTTATTTCAGATTTACCTTGATCGATGCAATCGCCAAATAGACCAGATAGTTGAACTAGTGAGAGGAAAACTGGAAAGTGGGGCCAGAGTAACACTAGGAGCTCTTACTGTACTTGATGTCCATGGTCAGTGAATTTTTTTGGTTTTTGTTTCTGAGATGTTGTTTGATAATAATTTTGATTGTTTATTGATTGAATGTCTATCAGTGTAGTATTATTTTTAGTGCTTGATTTAATAATTTACGTTTTAGCTTTGTAGAGTGACCATGATATTAAAAATAAATTAATGTGTTTTGCTTTTTCATTGTTCTTTACACGTTTAGGTATGCCTGAGATTGTTCTGCGTTTTTAGTTTGTAATTTGAACTGATTAGCAAGGGGGACAATCTATGTTCCTGTTTTAATGCGGGAGGTTTGTTTTAACTATTCCTATGCCTGGCTCACTGGCGTAGCTTGCTAAACCTGACTTCGCGACGACCGGGTGACGAACTCCTTGTTGTCAGGGTTCACGCCCGAGGGTGGGCAGAAAATCAACATTTCTCCCAGATTTACGGTATTTATCATGAAATCCAGGCCGAAGAGTTGTGATATCCATAGTACCGAGCCAAAGGGTTAAGAACTCATGATTTCTGGATATAAAAAAAAACTATTCCTATGTTTGTTCATCAATCATGAGTAATGAAAACTACTCAACACCTCCCCCCAGTCAGTCAATGTTTGTGAGTATGAAGATGACTAATTGAGGCTTGAGCCTGGAAAATTCTTGAGCAGTGAGGACAGCAAATGGAAGAAACATTGGAGATGGAATTTGTTGCACAGGTCTTTCAAGTCCATCTAAATTTCTCAGTTCAAAATACATCTACCACCTATTAAGTCACTTTAGACTAGGAGTTAAAAATACATCTACCATTTGTTAAGACACTTTAGAATTGGAGTTAAAATATGTAAACCATATGTTTAGAAACTTTAAAATAAAAGTTAAAAGTACATAAGCCGCCTGTTAAGACACTTTAGACTAGGAGTTAAAAATACATAAGCCATATGTTAAGACACTTTAGAATAGGAGTTAAAATATGTAAACCAAATGTTTAGATACTTTGAAATAAGAGTTTAAAAAGTACATAAGCTGCCTGTTAAGACACTTTAGACTAGTAGTTGAAAATACATATACCAAATGTTAAGACACTTTAGATTAGGAGTTGAAAATATGTAAACCAAATGTTTAGATACTTTGAAATAAGATTTGAAAGTACATAAGCTGCCTGTTAAGATACTTTGGACTGGGGGTTAAAAATACATATACCATATGTTAAGACTTTTTGGAATAGGAGTTAAAATATGTAAACCATGCATTTAGACACTTTGGAATAAGAGTTAAAAAACATAAGCCACCTGCTAAGACTTTTTGAACTGGTGGTTAAAAATACATAAACTATATGTTAAAACTTTTTTTGAATAGGAATTATAAATACATAAACCATATGAGACACTTTAGAATAGAGTTAAGAGTAAATAAACCATGCATAAAGACAACTTTACTAGAAGTTAAAAAATAAATAAACAATGTGTTAAGTTCCTTTAAAATAGGAGTTACTAGTACATAAACCATGTGTTGAGAAATGTTGCAGTAGGAGCTAAATATGCATAAACCATGTGTTAAAACACTTTGGAGTAGGAGTCTAAAATACATAAACCATGAATTAATAAGAAATTGTCATTGATAGAAGACAGTAAAAACAATACATGACATTGTTAGGTACTGACAAAGATAATAGCCTCGTAAATTGTGTAACGTTCTTGCTTACCTTCCTGCCATTCTAGCTCGAGATGTTTTGTTTCTGCTGGAAAAGAACAAAATTCGAAGTCCGTTAGACTTCAGCTGGTTGTCTCAGATGAGATACTATTTTGATACCAAAGACATGTCAGTGCACATGATTACAACAGAGATTGCCTATGGCTATGAATACCTGGGAAATTCTCCTCGTCTGGTCATTACACCTTTGACAGACAGGTGTTACAGGTGAGTCTGTGTATGTATTTATTCAGCATGGCATTGATTATGCGAGAGACCAAATTTCTTTCAGGCAGACCATGATGAGAGTGAAGTTCTGCAAAGGATTTGATACATGACGATGATGGCATTGATTAAAATACATACAGGAATTATAGTTAGATTTCTTTGTGGATTCATGTACTCCTAGCAAGCATTCATAATGTATCATGTTCATTGGTACATTCAGGGATTTTTTTGGTTAATACTCTAGAAAAAAGGTGCCGATACTCATTGAAATGATTCTTGGTTTACACCGACTTTAACATCTAGGGTTGAAAACACAAACTCCACTCAGCTCCTTTGTACATGCTGTCAGTTTATTCAGTTACATTTATTCCCCATGCTTCAATAATTATTCACACTTCTATCACTGGCGACATATTCGAACACTAACCATTCGCGCGACATAAAGACGACCTCTTCAACCAAAATGCAACCGTCTTCCTCGACTTCTGTTGATCCAATGACCACGAGTCTAGCTTGGGCTTCCCCTCGCTTACTCGACTAGCCACAAGTATCTCGTGCTGTCACTTATTGCACGGACTTTCTACTTGCCACAATGTATTCGTGGAGACCATGCAAAGCAGGGTCATCACACTCTCCCCCCTTCTTAACAAAATGACACTTTATGGAACATCAAGTGTCATTTTCATTTAACCAGATATAATAAATCAATTTAATTGTATTACTGCTAGGAATTATGGTTCCTAATTATCCTCAATTACTGCCCTTTAAAACTGCCTTCAGTATTTACTGCATGCTTTTCCTAGTACTGAGCTGGTGAAGAGTTTAAACCATCTTTACACCTATTGCATCTGTAGTATTGTCTAGTCACTATATCTACTCTATCAGGTTCAAAGTGTAATGATGATAGTGATGATGATGATTGTCAGCTTTGAGATATTTACTACATAGAATATTGGATTGAACCAATATTTCGACATCACCTTTCACAGGGTGTTTAACCCCAAGGACTCTTAGCCGATATGATAGTGGTAAGATATATTTATCAAAGTGCTTCCAGTTTCCCAAAAGCCCCTATAACACCTTTTACAGGGTAATTACCCAACCCCAAGGTATCTACCACAGAAATAAAAATGCATGTTGGGATATTTTTTCATAGACCAAAGTCTCACCTTTCACAGGGTAATTACCCAACCCCAAGGAATCCAACATGAAAACAATGATAGTTGAGATATATTTTTTCATAGATCTTAGAGTTTCCTCCAAGTCTATAACCACTTTTAACAGGGTAGTTAACCCCAAGGAATCTCAAACACCTTTCCCCCTTTAGATGGACACAGATGACTTCAACTCCTCTACTATGCTTGTGCTTTGATGTGTGCACTCTTTCTTTACCATCAGTCTATCTAGTAAGCATCAGTATAACTATTAGCAGTTTATAATCTTGGGTGTCGTGGACAAATTTACCATGTCCCTGTGCTGTACACTTATGCTAAAACATTTCAAATTGAATTTTTTATCTAAGTCATTCTGTTGGACAAAAAAAACATTTCCCTATATTATATATTACTACAGCTTAATGATTTCATTCTTCCATGCTGTTCCTGGGGAGAGAGCATTTTTTTTTTTTTTTAAACTTTTGAACTACTAACTCTGTTATTACATGAATACTAAAATAATCCTAAAGAAATTAAGTAAAATACATGTATACTATTAAAATACTACCCACAAATCCTTTGTTCATCATTCATACTTGTTTTATTCTCTTTCATTCCCATTCATTCCATTAACTATCATTGATCTTAATCCATCCCTGCAGGCTGTTTGTGTCTTGCTTGTACTCTGGCACTTACTTTCAAGGTTCTCATTCCTTGGTTTTTCGACAGTCTATTCTGCTCTGGGGTCTCTCTTGGTAGGCTTGAACTGATAATCTCACAAATATACTTACTAAAAATATACTATAATTTTACGAGTCAACGCAATGCTATTATCAGTGTTCAGTGACTGTATACACTGATATGCCATCTTTAAAATAATTAATGGAATTATACGGAAAATGTTCAATACACACAGTATGTGGCTGCTTTTTATAAATCAAATCAGGTGTTTATGCACTTTTTTTTTAATACATCATCATTAGTTAGATATTTATTTACACAAGTACTCTTTATATATTTAAATTGATCTAACTTTCACAGTAAATGAAACAGTTGTGAAAACACTTGAAGTAATACTGACATTTTTGTTGTCTCTTGATTGCGTTTAAATTGTAGGAATGCTTTATTATTATTGCATTCTTTATTTTATGATACGTTTGGTATTCGACGCTCTTGAGGTTGATTTGTATAGATGCTCTTGAAGTGTCGCTTAATATTTGATGATTTCGAGATGTTTCAATCGTCGATTTTGAGGTGTCTGGATAAAATAATTTTGTGTTCCCTGATAGTGATTTTCAAGTTTGAATGATTCAGTGGCTGATATGTTTCTGTTCATTCATCGTACAGTACCAGTTGGTGATTTCTGGTTTTGGTTGAAATATGACAATCTTGAAGGAGAAGAATGGTAAAATGTCAATATCTTGATGTTGATGTTCAGGATAATGGACTGTATAGTTTCATGTTCGTAAACGATGATATAGTTGAATTTATAAAAATAGATGGTAATTTTTCTTGATTCAGGTGTTCTTATTTTTGTTGTAGTTTTTCTCATCTGGATAACACTGGATTCTTTTAATAAAATGAATGTTGACAGACATGCATTTGTTCCCAGATTTGTATGTCCTCTTCATGGCAGTCTTTGATGCCTTTTATGTTTTCTAAAGCAACATCTACGGACATGTTATCGAAAACAATTGCTTTCATTTGTCTCGAAATGTATGGCAATTTTAGATTTATAACTGCTATCGGTAATTTAATTTTGCCACGATATGCATCCTCATACCAAACATAATCTCTTGTATAATCTGATGTTTCTAAGAATGTTTCCCTTACTATGGTTAAATTTATCTTCTTATTCCGTTGTAGGTCACCATGTTTGTTGTTAACAAGACATTTCATTCTTACTTTTTCCCGATTTTTCCAATGTATTGCTGTTCTGATATCATCATTTGTTATGTTTGCATGTTTAAGCTCTACACCTTCATCGATAGTATTTTTATCCACAGTCTCTTTTCACTGATGTCTCATTTTCACTTATCCGTCTTAAACTTTCTGTCTGTGGAATTGCACTTTCTTCTTTATTCCAATTCTTAGTTGCTTTTGTCTCGACTGATGTCATTGTTGGAATAGTGATTTCCTTTGCTTGATTAATTTTCATTGTTTCTGAGTTTGACTTACTCGCTGTTTCAGTGGCTGCTGTCTTTTTCACTTCACTTTTCTTGCTTGTATCACTACTCTTGCTGGATTCTAGCTCTGCAATCACGATTTTGTTCTTTATCTTTTTAGTTCCTGGACATTTCAATTGGCTTTTTCCTATAAAAATTATATGTGGAGCTGTATCTTTTCCTTGTTTCTTTCTCCAATAGCACAGTGCACAATCTAAAGTAGGAATACCTTCAGAATCCATTCTTTCTGAAACAGTTTTTGCAAACAAGGATCTTTTCTTGTCTTTTAACATCTGTTTCCCAACACAATGTTTTACAATATGTCCTAATGCTGAACAGAAATGGCATTTTTTAGGGTTGTTATTTTGTTTATTTTGCCACTTTTTATTGACCAAGTCCGTCAGATAGTCATTATACTTAGGACTCTTGTCACAGATAGCTGAAGAACTGTACTGGTAATTACAAAAAATACACATCTTGATCTTCTGGTTGCTTATCAATACATCTTTCGTTGTCGCTGATGATACTTGCAACAAAGTGTTCTTGTGTTTTACCAACCTTTTAGACGCCATTCTGATAAACGCACATTGATGTAAAAATGTCACTGTGGTAAGAAAACTTAGCGTAACTTCGTAAACAAAATTAGTTCATAGTCTGCTAGTTTCAGCGAAACAATAATGGTCACAAACCTGATTTAATTCACAAACTAGATTTAAAATATTTACGATGTGTAGCTTTGGTGAACATGAATTTTCCTGAATCCACAAAACTTAGTGATACGGTGTGTGGCAGGGCATAGATGACACACCGTTTTTCATTGTTCGGCAGCTGACCTGTCGCAGCTTGCTGTGTTTATAGGCTCTGCTCAGGTGAAGACGTTGTATCGTACACTATTTTTCGCATGTTTGTCTTACCTTGGAAGAAAAATTGTTTTCCTATGATTGAGGTCCGCATGGTTTCGAATTTCCTTCGGACAAGCTCCCCACTTGAAATGAACCTTGGCTTTACACCAACTTTAACATCTAGGGTTGAAAACACAAACTCCACTCAGCTCCTTTGTACATGCTGTCAGTTTATTCAGTTACATTTATTCCCCATGCTTCAATAATTATTCACACTTCTATCACTCGCGACATATTCGAACACTAACCATTCGCGCGACATAAAGACGACCTCTTCAACCAAATGCAACCGTCTTCCTCGACTTTAAAAAAGTGCCAGGACTCACCGCAAAGTGTCTGTTATAGTATTATTGAAAAATATGATGCCTATAAAAAAATTTGTTCTAAAAAAAGTGCTTGTACTGTGTACTGTTGCATACTGCCAGAAAATAGCTCTGAGGACATTTGATTGTGGATTCTCTCATGGGGGTTCTTGAGACCTCATTTTGGTGGAAAAAATAATAGATCCACTGACCAACCAAAAGAATATTTTAAAAAGTGACTAGTTAGATTTGATGTGCCAGAAAATGAGAAGATATCACAACCTTGCTGTAAACCACAACACAACATGCCAGCTGATCTTTTAACTCATTCAGTATTATTGAACGCACTTTGCATTTATCCATTATTTATAATATGACATAGCTCTTAACTCATTTAGTCCATTCATGTTTTAAATTACCTGTTTATGTCCCAATTGTTATTTTAACCACTTATGTCTCATAATGTTATTATCAGAATTACTTTACATTCTAACATTTATTAGTAGCACATCGGAATATGGTGTTAGATCCACATATTTATGTAGACCAGTTGACACTCAGTCAGTGATGTGATCGACAGAATGCTGGTTTCCTTGATTTCCTTGGATATTTTCTGGTCAGTAAACATTTTAGGCTGTGTACACCCAAGTGCCAAGGTCAGTTATAACAAATCTGACTGGATGCCAGTTCAAACCCTAAACCTTCGAGCTAGCAAGCAACATTATTATGCTACATTTGCTTCAGAACAGTTCTTAGGGGGTATTCTGCAAGTTCCCTCACGGTGACTGAATACCTGTAACTACACAACTCTCATGATGCACTTATGATGAGGCATGCAGTTATTTAACTATAGAGTGACCAAATGAAACACCCTAAACTTTTGCTGGAATTTTATCTAAAATCGACTTGTTCTTTCAAAATATATTGTTACACTGGTAAAAACATCCTCTTTCATTAACTCTTGCAAATTCTCAGAACACTTATGGGAGCCCTGAAATTGAACCTTGGAGGAGCACCTGAGGGGCCAGCTGGTACTGGAAAAACAGAAACCAGTAAAGATTTGGCCAAAGCTGTGGCTAAACAGGTATAAATGACAGTTGTTACTATACGCATTTGTTTGAATTAATTCTTCATGAAAGAGTAGATTTTTGTGGAAGGAATAGCTGCAGAAACATTCATATTGCATAAGGGAGACATTCAGAAAAACTTTTGTGAATGAATGCTGATGAAAGATAAAAAGGTTAGATGAAATAAAAAGACATATTAGAGAAAAAAAACCCACATATTTGATGGTTTGAACAACTGATCAGCATCATGTCACAAGGGTAGTATAACCCATAAGTGCTCCGTTCTACTTCTAACTCAAGCCTGAGTCCGAAGAATCTCAGCGCAGTGCATGAACTCCGTGGCACCGGCGAGGATCCTGAAATACTTTGGGTAGATTTTTAAATCCAAATTTTGTCTCAGCAGTGTCGTTAGGCTTTTCTTTTCAATTTCCACTTGCCAGGGGATTTTTTTTATGTGCAAAGAAATACACACGGGCATCTGATCTTACTACCCAAAGACCAGGGGAAATTACTAGAAGTGCATATGAAAAAAATCCCAGCCTTCACCGAGGCCTGAACCCGAAACGTCCAGCACTCGAGGCAGACGCCATGCCTCGAGACCACTGAGCCCCCTAAAAAAGTCATGCAGCATTTGGATTTGAACCCATGCTCTTCCAATTGGCAGGCCAGCGTCTAGCCCCGACACCATAGTGGGTCCCAAAAACATAGGTACAATTAGTGTGCAGCTGGAACAGTGTAGGCATCTACACCCTAAGACAATTGCTGTGGGAGACATAGCATCTACGTGCCTGGTATGCTATGTTGTCAATTGCTAAATCAGTAATCAGTAAAACTTTTACATCTTAAATGGTGAAATGTTTATGGCAAACTATATTTTTGTTATTTTGATGACGCCAGAGAAAATATCATAAACTTGATAAAGCTAAATGTCTGGTTTTGGTGCATGCAGTTTTTTTTTTTTTATATAGTTTGTCCACCTAAATTTAGCAGGGTATAGGTGTAATAGAGAGCCAGGGTAGAAACATTATAAACACACATACAAAGAGACACCCACACTCGACTACAGCTTACTTTATAACTGTTTTATGGTGCTCCGTTATAACTGTGCTGTAGGCAATACAGTTGAATGAGGTTTCAGTTTGATTCTCATCTTTGTGTTGTTAGTCCTACAGACCAATCCTTGAGGGGACAATTTGAAAAATAAATAGATAGGCATTATTTATAATATTTCAAGTGGTTTCAACTTCTGAAAGTGATAAATGTGAAGTAAAATTGTGGAATTCTCTCTTCTTGAGCAAATATTAAGTCTTGAGGTTTGTTTGCTGTTCTTCCCTTGTGGGTTCTTTGACCCCATTGGGAGGGGGGGGGGATACACCTTCAGCAGTAGGCACATTGTAAAAGACAGCTAATTAAGGGTTTGCTGAAATCTGATTTGTTGGGCTGAAAAGTGCAGATATCACAGCTTAGCTGTCAGCCACAACACATTGTGCAAACCACACAGAAGAAGAAGTTTACTGCTACACAATTTGTATGCTTATTATTTCTGTTATTGTCCTATATTTTCCCTATTATATTTCGTGGCTGATTTAAAAAAAAAAAAATATGCCTACATGGTAGTGGATTGGTTGGCTGTCCTTTTATAACAAGTGCAAAAAAAAATAATATAAATTTAATGAATAGAAGGTCTTTGTGAACTCTACTAACCCCACTTACATGACTGCATAGTTATAATTCATAAAGACTAGACTGTAATGTTATCCTAGAAAATAGAAATGAAACCTTAAATCATAATGTCATGGTAAGACAGGCCGCAATGTTAACCTTGGTTGACAGCTGATCTAGGAGGGAAATCCCGACAAGTGGATAGAGTGCTGTGCTTTTCTGATCTGGCAGCATTACAGCTGCAGCCTGCATGTGAGGCTTTGGATTGAATAATCTGCCGGGATGTGATACTCCATATTATTTTGATTTTGGTGTGAGCTCTGTCATTAATTAATTAAAGAAAAAGGATCATTAAATCAATCAGGAAACCACCAGCCCCAACACAAGATGACTAGGATATTATGGACAGCTGAGAACAGGTTATTATATTTTGCCTTAGAACACGGCACAACCGATTACGCAACCACATGTACACAAAATTCAAGATAGATGTATCAACCATTTGCACCTGTGGAAAGTTGCCTCAGGCAGCAGAACATGTACTCCAGGCTGCACCAAATCTGACACATTAAAGCAAAACCCTTTTGGTCAGAAAGAACAACAGGTGGAATTTAAACTCTACAGACCACTGAATGAAGTCCAAACGACAGTGAAATTTATACAAGAGAAAAATTGCTGATATAGACAGTTTATTTCAGGCAAATAAAAGAAGAAGAAGTAGAATTAATTAGTTGTATACCTCCCTCCCAAATACTCTAAATCACTTCTTTCAAGGAGATGTCTGCTTTTGAAAGTTTTTAATCTGTAATTTAATTTTATTCTTCAGTGTGTTGTCTTCAACTGCTCTGATGGTCTTGACTACAAAGCCATGGGGAAATTTTTCAAAGGTTTGGCACAAGCAGGTGCATGGGCCTGTTTTGATGAGTTCAACCGAATTGAGTTGGAAGTGCTGTCTGTGATTGCTCAGCAGATTCAGAGCATACAGCAGGCTATTGCCGCTCATCTCAAGCGATTCATATTTGAAGGGACAGAACTCTCACTGAATCCAACTTGCACTATATTCATTACCATGAACCCCGGATACGCAGGCAGGCAGGAGTTGCCAGATAACCTAAAGGTAATAAGATTATGTGTTAAAAAAAAACTTATTAGATATAATATACAAATAAATAATTAACAAGCAATAGTTAAATGTGATGATATTAGAAGTAGGTAATAAATTATATTTAAACAGATGGTAAAATTTGAAGTTTAAACATGATATTAGAAGTTGTGTAAAGTCTATTTTATAAATGATGATAGTAAAAGTTATTTAAAGTGCAATTTATAGATGCAGATATTAGAAATTGTGTAAAGTGTATTTTATAAATAGTGATTTGGGAAGTTGTGTAAAATGCATATTAAAAGTAGTTAGTTTATTACCATTCTCAGTCCCAGAAAGGTTCACAGTAGTTTCGCTTGGCAAGATGGACCTTACTTTGTGCACCTTAGGCTGTAGTCAACCGTCTTTGTGCACACATTGCTGAAGATTACCTTACTATATACATACAATGCTAAAGGTGGACCTTACTTTATGTACATGTGTTTAAAGGTAGACCTTACTTTGTGCACTTGGGACTAAAGGTGGACATTAGTTTGTGCACATATTGCTGAAAGTGAACCCTACTATGTGTACATGGGATTGAAGGTGGACTTTACTTTGTGCACATGTTGCTGAAAGTGAACCCTACTATGTGTCCATGGGATTGAAGGTGGACTTTACTTTGTGCACATGTTGCTGAAAGTAGACTTCACTTTGTGCACAGGGGGACTTAATTTTGACTTTATTGTGTGTACACAGGGCTGAAGATGGACCCTAATTTCTGAACATGGGGCTGAAGGTGGACCTTACTTTGTGCACACACTGTTAATGGTGGACCTTACTTTATGTATACAGCGATAAAAATGGACCTTACAAGTGCTACAGAACTATAAGCTACGGTTCCTGAACAAAGAATTAGAGATCAAATATCACGATAGTGGACACAAGATAACACGGACAACCTATGTATTAAACTTCACAAGCTGGAAATGTTGGCAAAGGATCGAGTGGATTATCAGCAAACTGTGATGAGAGAGTGGTGTTCTACAAAAGTCCTACTAAATGATGATAAAACATGATGGAAGCTGGTATCTATCATCCTCCAGTAAACTTTCTAGAATTCTGTTCTCATTGAGTTACTAGGCTGGCTCTTTATTTGACTATAATTTTTGCTCTGCTGCATATCAACAGGTGTTGTTCCGTACAGTGGCCATGATGGTTCCAGATTATGGGATGATTGGTGAGATTCAGCTCTACTCCATGGGATTTGTTGATGCCCGAAGGTATTACATGGAAGATTGGCTCATTTAACAGTATAACATGGAAAATTTGCTCATTTAAGAGCATTACATGGAAGATTGGCTCATTTAACAGCATTACATGGAAGACTGGCTCATTTAACAGTATTACATGGAAGATTGGCTTATTTAACAGCATTACATGGAAGATTGGCTCATTTAACAGTATTATATGGAAGACAGGCTCGTTTAACAGCATTATATGGAAGACAGGCTCATTTAACAGTATAACATGGAAAATTTGCTCATTTAACAGCATTACATGGAAGATTGGCTCATTTCAGTATTACATGGAAAATTTGCTCATTCAACAGCATTATATGGAAGACTGGCTCATTTAACAGTATATCTTGGAAAATTTGCTCATTTAACAGCATTACATGGAAGATTGGCTCATTTCAGTATTACTTGAAAAATTTGCTCATTTAACAGCATTATATGGAAGACTGGCTCATTTAACAGTATTACATGGAAAATTTGCTCCATAGCAATTTTAATAACACTACCGTAGCACGTCAAAATATATACTCCAGTGGCACAAACAGTGACTTTTCTAAAAACAATTGAATTCCTCACATAGAAAAAAACTGTAAAGGCACTGTAAACATGTCAACCTGTTCATAGATATATATCTATGGTTTTAGATGATATGGATAGTAGTACTAGAAGCGCTGACATTTGGATTAGCTGGTGTCGCGTTACGAGGTGCTTCTCTTGTGTTGCCATGGCAGAATTAGTCAGTTTTGTCCTCTTAGCAGGAGGTAAATTGCGCACACATCCTCATCAAAACTTGACTCGTCAACGGTTTTGGGAAATTTCACGTCGCTACTATTATTATCCAACTCCACATTACTTTAATCGATCCACTGTTTTATCAAATTTGATGATTCTAAAGCAGTAAATCGCTTTGATGGGCGTGAAGTCGATGACTGATCGGACATATTGTTTTCAGACAATTGTTTGGTAACGTAGTAGACCACACAAATATTGATTTAAAGCGTTAAAGACTCACCAGACCCAAACGAATGCACTCCACGTGTGTTCACTACTACTTGAGAACCGGAAAGGAAGTTTAAATTGAGCGGTTTGCGTGTAATTACCGATAAGTGGTAAATTAAAAACTGTCACACGTCACGTGCTGTTTGGGCCGCCAAGAAGTAACAAATTAGCGCGTGATGTGTTCCTTGGGACTCAAAGAGTTAAACAGTTTGACATGGAAGATTCGCTTTTTTAACAATATGATGTAGAAAATTGGCTCATTTAACAGTATTACATGGAAGATTAGTGCTTTTGTTAGTGTTGCATTGGAGATTCCCGCATTTAGCTGTGTTACATGGAAGTTCCTTTCATTAAGCAGTATCACATGGAAGATTTGTGAATTCAACAGCCAATCATTGAAAATTTATGCATTTAACAGCACTACATAGAATATGAATGCATTTAACAATTTTACATGGTTGGTTAGTACATTTAGCAGTAGTGTGTGGAAGAAAGTGCATTTGACAGTATTACATGGAAAATTAGTTCATTTAGCAGTATTACATGGGTGATTAGTGCATTTATCAGTATTCCCAGAAGATTAGTGCATTTAGCAGTATCACTTATAAATGGAAGATTGGTAGATGTGATCAGAACAGATAAAGTAAGAAAGGAGGTCAGAAGATAAAAATATGAACATAGAACTAATACTAATTTAGTAATTACTTTTAAAAATGTAAGAAAAAGGTTGTGGGAGTGATCAAAACAGATAAAATAAGAAAGGAAGTCATAAGATAACAATATGAACATGGAACTAATACTAGATTCCATGCAAAGACAGTAAATAAAATGGCTTTCTCACAGAGAAATCTTTTGCTTTTCTCCTCCTTTAACTCTCTTTCTCTTTCTATAAATCTTTTCACTTGTTTCATTTTCCAGATTTATCTCTTGTCATAATGTGACAAAGAAAGGATAACTATTCTTTCTCCTTATCCCCCCCCCCCCCCAATTGATCACTGGCATCACGAGAGTTAACAGAGTGAAATGGCTGGGGCATAGTTCTAGTTCTTTTTAGTTCTTTAAACCCCCCCCCCCCCCCCCCCCCCCCCTACCCTTAAACCCCCCCCCCCCCCCCCCCCCCCCCCCCCCCCCCCCCCCCCCCCCCCCCCCCCCCCCCCCCCCCCCCCCCCCCCCCCCCCCCCCCCCCCCCCCCCCCCCACTTTCCCTGAAGTTTCCTAATGTCTTAACATCAATTAAAATAATTAGATTACTTTGGATGCCAGAAGAATTTCATAAAATTTAGTTTACAGTTGTGTTTATGTTTTTAACCAGACAAATATTTGTCATAAATAAAAGCCACTTTTATTCCTCTTAAGTTTGGCCAATAAAATTGTGGCAGTCTACAAGCTGTGCTCAGAACAACTATCATCCCAGCATCACTATGACTACGGAATGCGAGCTGTGAAGTCTGTGCTGACGGCCGCAGGAAACCTGAAGCTGAAATATCCCAATCAAGATGAAGCAGTTCTGCTGCTTAAAGCCATCAGTGATGTGAACTTACCCAAATTTTTGGCTCAGGTTTGTTCATGAGTCAGTACAGTGTGAAGCATAGAGTCTTGTATGCAACTTGTAGTAATGCTAACTGTAGAGATGTAAATTTTAGTCCTGTATGTCAACCTCCTGTACATTTGTAAAGTGAGTAGTTTTTGCCATCTTCTTCTTCTTCTTCTTCTTCTCCTCCTCCTCCATCTGTTCTTCTCTCTCTCTCTCTCTCTCTCTCTCTCTCTCTCTCTCTCTCTCTCTCTCTCTCTCTCTCTCTCTCTCTCTCTCTCTCTCTCTCTCTCTCTCTCTACTTTTTTCCCTCTCTGTTTTCATCTTTGTCTATTTTTATAACTAAATTGTCGATGTATCCATTGTTCTAATTTTCTGTTTCTCTCCTTAAACTAGAGCCAAAAATTATTGACTGTCCTTATCTTGTTCGTGATAAATTGCCTTATGGTCTTGTTTGTGATAAATTGCTGTGCAAGGAATTGTAAGCATTCAACTGTAAAATAACATCTCTATCCAGCTTGACTGACTGACTGACTTTCTACCCCACCAGGACATCACACAAGCGATAAACACCCGATGACACAATGTGCCACCATGTGGGTGAGGATCACAGTGCAGAGGTCCCAGAAACCTCGTTCACTCTTTAGGCCATATTTATGGCCAGGCTATATTGCGGCCACTGGCAAAAGCCAGAGTAGGGCTTCAAATAACGAAAAATTCCATCCTAAAAAGGACGGAAAATTATAACATAAACAACATCCAGCTTGTAGTATTACTATTATTATAACTGTAAATATATAGTTGCTTTATGCAGCTCAAAGCAGTACTATCTCCACATTCACAGTCCTTGGTAGAACAATATTTTCTGCAAAATCTAGTTCCTACAATTGTATTTCTCCACAATGCTGATTCCGGTATTTCCTGCACAACTTTTATCATCACCCAATGAATAGTTTTGCCAAATAACAGGGGAGATAAAATACATTCCTGTTTCACCTCAGTTTTGACTACAGACAAATAAGTTAAACCAGCATATGTGCACACTGCGTGTTCTGACTCCTGATTCCTTGCTTTAATGTTCATTATTATTTTTATTTTTTTTACCATGACATTTAAAGATTCCCAACAGTGATGTTCTGTGTAGGCTATCAAAATATATATAAAGTTTACACACACATACACACACACATTAATCTATGAACTGCCTGCAACTTTTCAGGATGTTCCGTTGTTTGGAGGCATCATTTCTGACCTGTTTCCTGGTGTGCAACTACCCCAACCAGACTACGGAGTATTTTTGGAGTCAATGCAAGACAATATAAATAAACGTAAACTTCAGCCAAATCAATTTTTCATTGACAAAGTGATTCAGGTAACATTTACCTTCTGGATTAAATATGCACTTGTGTAATCCATTTTAACAAATTTAATGATGTAAATATAATATAACCATATTGTACAAGATAATAACATTTCTGTTTACCAGAGGTTTATATGTGGCAGCTAAATTCATATGTTACATAACATTCAGCATAAATGAGATTCTTTCCCTACGAAAGGAATTTGTCCTATGCTTGATTGGTTTATATTTATTTCTAGAATTCTGATATTCATATGACATGTTCTCTACTTGAACAGTCAGTAAAGATTGGGATAACTGATCCTCAATTGAACTATTAAAACTTTACCCATTGTTAAATCAATTAAGAAACAAAACCAAAATTGTTTGGCCATCTAGTGACAATGAATCCAGCGATGTTGTCATTGAGAGTGTACAACATGAAAATTGAAACATCAAAAGGGAGAAGGATACCTAGACAAATATGGATTGACAGAGTCACAAACAAGCTAAGACGTCACAACACAGCATACCAAGAAGCCTAGCACACTCTGGCTTTTTGTCTCTTAAGCTATCAGGAAAAGATGTCAGATGCAACGAAAAATATAATCAGACAGCTTCACAGCATCACAAACACAAACAACAAGTGAGCGCTGAGGTTAGAGAGCCTTCATCAGCACTGTACATAAATCTCCATTGCCACAAGAGCAAACAAGACTACACAAAATCAGTTAGCTGATGTATCTATAATAGAAAACATATTTCTGTCTGGCCAGTAGAATATCTGATGTGTGTGGGACCAACAGAAATAAATACTGACCAGAACTGCTGCGAACAACAAGGGTGGTAACTCAAAGATATTAGATTAGACAGTGTTGATGTTAAGTCCCCTAGTTGAATTGGTGCCAATGAGATGGATAAGGAAGTTCTTATGGACTCACTGACATTAAAGTGGCTAGATTTGATAGCCATAATCTCCATGTCCAGGACACCTTTGAGATCCTGAGAATTAAAGAAGTGCAGTGGCACTGGTATCTGTCAGACTGTAGTTCTTAGTGGCACAAAGCTCCTCCCCATCCTACCTTTCCCTTGTTTCCCCACAAGAAGAACCCCTGAGTATAGCCAGAGATCAAAGATTCCCAGCCCGAGAATAGACAGTTTTTGTTCATTTGGGAGCTGAGATTTTGGATTCTTCTTTTTGTCGTTTTATTAAACGGTAAAGACTCTAGTCAAAACTGTTGGTTGCAACTGTAACCAGTTTTTCCTTTTCCGCTCTGTTGAGAAACCTTGTCATGGGTTTGCTTTTATAAAGGACCTTTTTCACACCTTTGGGTAATGGAGTGTGTGGTGCTAGACCTATTTTTGTATAGACTAATCAGCACTCAATGGATGATGTGGTCAGCAACGGCTTTTACTTCCCAGGACTTACCTGGTAACTTTTTTTAGGCTGGGTCAATATGGAAGTCAGGTTAGTTATGAAAAATAAATATGGCTTAAAGCGGAGTTGTCAGTAGCTAGCCAGCTTGATACCATAACTTCCAAAGCTTGTGTTAAGTATTATTCTTCTTCGCATTCATTTTCTGTAAACTCCCTCAGAAAGTTCCGGTTGATCATCCACTTCTGGACTTTGTTTTTGTTCCAGAACTTGAGTTATGTGTGCACATCCATTTTTACAGATCTGGCTTATTTGTATGTAGACAGTTGGTTCCTGGCCTGTCAGGCAGATGCACTCCGACTCCAAAGGAAACATCCCTAATTAGTCGACTAGCTTGTAAGGGGGGCAGTAGGTGTATTCTTTTTTTTAACCCTCTCTACGAAGGGGTCCAGACACCGACACGGGCAGCTTATGTTTAGTGAAATTCTATACGGGTACTTCTACTTCTTTTTCTTAAAGTCCCTCCCTTGTGCCATGGGTAGCCATGTCTGTCCAAAACCTTCTGTCTCGTGTACATTCAATCAACTCTCATACAGATGATCATGCATGCCGTTATGTCAGACAGTCCAGTATCTTTTGTCTTGGTCTTCCTCTGCCTCCCCTCCAACTTTCCTACAGTTACGATGTTCTCCAGTTTCTCCTTGTCATCACATGACCAAAGAACGTAGATTGTCTCTTTCTGATGTGGGCAATCAGTTGTCTTTGTGAGTCAGTTTCTCTCAAGACGTCTTAATGACTATTTTTATCTATCCAGGGTATTTCATCATTCGTCTATACAGTCACATCTCCGCAGCTTCCAAATAATTGTTCACTTGCTTACCAACTGCCCATGATTCACTTCAGTATTTCAAGATAGGATTTGTTTCGCTTTTAAGAAGTCTATTTCTCTGATACAGAAACTGTTAATTTTTTAGTCATGCAAGGATTTGTATAGCTTTTAAGAATTCAATTTCTCTGATACAGAAACTGTTAATTTTTTAGTCATGCAAGGATTTGTATAGCTTTTAAGAATTCTATTTCTCTGATACAGAAACTGTTAATTTTTTAGTCATGCAAGGATTTGTATAGCTTTTAAGTATTCTATTTCTCTGATACAGAAACTGTTAATTTTTTAGTCATGCAAGGATTTGTAAAGCTTTTAAGAAATCTATTTCTCTGATACAGAAACTGTTAATTTTTTAGTCATGCAAGGATTTGTATAGCTTTTAAGAATTCTATTTCTCTGATACAGAAACTGTTAATTTTTTAGTCATGCAAGGAATTGTATAGTTTTTAAGAATTCTATTTCTCTGATACAGAAACTGTTAATTTTTTAGTCATGCAAGGATTTGTAAAGCTTTTAAGAATTCTATTTCTCTGATACAGAAACTGTTAATTTTTTAGTCATGCAAGGATTTGTATAGCTTTTAAGAATTCTATTTCTCTGATACAGTAACAGGTAATTTTTTAGTCATGCAAGGATTTGTATAGCTTTTTAGAATTCTATTTCTCTAATACAGAAACTGTTAATTTTTTAGTCATGCAAGGATGTGTATAGCTTTTAAGAATTCTATTTCTCTGATACAGAAACTGGTAATTTTTTAGTCATGCAAGGATTTGTATAGATTTTGAGAATTCTTTTTCTCTGATACAGAAACTTAATTTTTAAGTCATGCAAGGATTTGTTTAGCTTTTAAGAATTCTATTTCTCTGATACAGAAACTGTTAATTTTTTAGTCATGCAAGGATTTGTATAGCTTTTAAGAATTCTATTTCTGTGATACAGAAACTGTTAATTTTTTAGTCATGCAAGGATTTGTATAGCTTTTAAGAATTCTATTTCTCTGATACAGTAACTGGTAATTTTTTAGTCATGCAAGGATTTGTATAGCTTTTAAGAATTCTATTTCTCTGATACAGAAACTGTTAATTTTTTAGTCATGCAAGGATTTGTATAGCTTTTAAGAATTCTATTTCTCTGATACAGAAACTGTTAATTTTTTAGTCATGCACCTTCATACCCTGACCTGCATTTTGAAATATGAGATCTGCTACAGGTGTATGAGATGATTCTAGTGCGCCATGGGATGATGATTGTTGGCGACCCACTTGGAGGAAAAACACAGTCCTATCAAGTGCTTGCAGACACACTGGGAGACTTGATGGATTCCAAGATGTATGATGAATTCCGTACTATCTATCGCATCATCAACCCCAAGGCCATCACTATGGGACAACTTTATGGATGTTTTGATGCAGTTTCACATGAATGGTCTGATGGTGAGTACTACATGAATGGTCTGATGGTGAGTACTACATGAATGGTCTGATGGTGAGTACTACATGAATGGTCTGATGGTGAGTACTACACGAATGGTCTGATGGTGAGTACTGCATGAATGGTCTGATGGTGAGTACTACATGAATGGTCTGATGGTGAGTACTGCATGAATGGTCTGATGGTGAGTACTACATGAATGGTCTGATGGTGAGTACTGCATGAATGGTCTGATGGTGAGTACTACATGAATGGTCTGATGGTGAGTACTGCATGAATGGTCTGATGGTGAGTGCTACATGAATGGTCTGATGGTGAGTACTACATGAATGGTCTGATGGTGAGTACTACATGAATGGTCTGATGGTGAGTACTACATGAATGGTCTGATGGTGAGTACTGCATGAATGGTCTGATGGTGAGTACTACATGAATGGTCTGATGGTGAGTACTGCAGGAATGGTCTGATGGTAAGTACTACATGAATGGTCTGATGGTGAGTACTGCATGAATGGTCTGATGGTGAGTACTACATGAATGGTCTGATGGTGAGTACTGCATGAATGGTCTGATGGTGAGTACTACATGAATGGTCTGATGGTGAGTACTGCATGAATGGTCTGATGGTGAGTACATATCGGGTGCCCGTCTTCATACTGGTCGGTGCCTGCCCCTCTTTCCTGGTACCATGCCTTCTACTGTTTTTTCTTTCTAATCTGCTGTGAGGCATGATATGACCTACATTTTTTCAGTTTCTGAGACAAGATGCTGTTTATTAGTCAATCTTCCTTGATGATCAGATCTGTCATGATGTCAGTACTTCATGTTTGTAAATAATAGACTATTTTCACACCATAAAGCCAATTTTTATACTAAATGTATTTATTTTAAAAAAAGACCAGTTGGCACTCACAACAAACCAGAAAAGAAAATTAGTCCCTGGAAATGGGATGTCTGAGAAGGGCTGTAGGAGTGACTAGAAAAAACAGAAATAAGGTCATTAGGGAAAAAGTCAGCACAGAACCAATTGTAAATTACAAATGAAGAATCCAAATGTTTACATACTTAGAGAGAATGCCTTGTGATGCCATTACATACAAGGAATACACCATATGAGGAGAAGGATCTAGAGTGTAAGGTAGGGGGAAAAAAGCAACAAAATGGAACATTTATATTAGAGAAAACAAAATAAAATAATAACATCACAGAACTCAACAGCAGCACAGTGTGTCTATAGTCAAGGTGGCCAAAAGAGCCAGAAGCAGAACCTTTTTATCTCCCTCCTTTTTATCTTCCTTAATACCTGAAGTGGTAAAAGAGAAAGTGAAGAAGAAGTGAGCACTCACTGGTTGATATAGTCAGTCACATGCCAACCAACTTTACTTCCTTGAATATTTCCTGGTAATAGTTTGAAGTAAAATCCTCTAACCTTGAAACCTCTCTCTGTTTCTCTCTCTCTCTCTCTCTCTCTCTCTCTCTCTCTCTCTCTCTCTCTCTCTCTCTCTCTCTCTCTCTCTCTCTCTCTCTCTCTCTCTCTCTCTCTTTGTTTTTTTTAGCTTAAAACTACACAGGCTGCTGAAGATAGGAATAGAGGACATATAAGAATGTCCAGTGTTCTGTGATGTTGTGGTCCTAATTCAGCTTGTAGTGAAATAGGGTTTAGGACGGGGTGAACAGAGTACGATTCCTGATGAACCCGTGACATCTGACATTGACGGATGTATACCCATGATAGCAGCCAAGTCAGCAAACTAGATTAGAAGGTGCGGAGATAGCATTGAGGGATGCCAAACCACCACCTTGGGACAATAAGAGAGGAACAGGTGCAGGGAGAGAGAAAAACAGGGGAAGAAATCATGAGGGGGAAAAAGTAGTAGAGACAAGACAGCCAGGGCATGGATGTTTAAGTGAGCGGTCAACAAGAACTTATACTTGTAGGTAGAAGGTTAAGCTTCCCTAGAAGAAATATTTCTACAGTACATTCAGAGAGACTGGAGAAACTGCAGAGATAGTTAATAACCTGCTCATAAGGAAGTAACGTGCTAGCAACATGTATTGAAGTTATGAATCATCATTGTATTAAGGAACTTATCTTCACATATGAATAGCCAGCAATAATATACTGAAGCGTTCATACTGTTGTTTAATTGAAATATATTCGTTCTGCTTAAATTAACATTATATTATTTAATAAACAAACAAATCAATCGATTTGTTACATCACTGGCTGTGTTGTTAAACACAATCAAGAGACGAACAAATATTTTCATATATACTATGTTCTAAATTAGGCACATCTGAATGAGCTTGGGAGATATGAAAGATACAACTGTGTCACAAACTCAGCTCAGTTCAGCTCAAGAGTTTTAATCATATTATACTGACTGGTCCTAACACATTCTGTGACAGGAGTTTTGGCCAACACATTTAGAGAGTATGCCAGCAGTCAGGATGAACTCAGGAAGTGGATTGTTTTTGATGGTCCCGTGGATGCAGTGTGGATTGAGAACATGAACACAGTATTGGATGACAACAAAAAGGTACTTGTTATTTGTATGTATATGTGTTCACAACTTAAAAACAAATGTTGGGGATCATAAGTTAAAAAGCAACAAATTCATATAAACAACAAGAAAGTGTTCGATTATATGATATCTGTATCAGTGGGTTAGCTGCAGTTTCTCTCTGTGTTTTCCTACATTTTGTTTTTAGTACTACCGTCTCCACCTCCATTCTCATGCCAGCTGTTGTGGTATCATATGCTAGGCTATCCTACCTATCCTAATCTGCCAAAAGTGATTCCCAGGTACCACAGTCTGCTGTCTCTCTTGATGTCCCTGTATTTATTTTGAGGCTTGGAACAGAAGCTCTTACAATTCTGTTGTCCAAAGAACACCACAGGAGGGTTGATTACAGCACTCATCTCTGTACACCAGTTGATCACCTTATCTGATGTCACCTATAACTCTTGAACTTTTTGATTTTTGATCTCTCCCCTGCCTATATATGAGAAAATCATCTGCAAATGTCAATATTCTGCAAACTCCAGGTGTTTTCAGCTCCACAATCTTGCTCGTAAAAATGTTGAACAGTACGGGTGAAATTACAGATCCCTATAGTAATCCTAGGGCTATAATACGTGGTTCAGAGGTCCATGAACTCAGAGGGAGAGCTGCCTGATGAGAATACAGAACAACTGCATCCACTCTTGTGGGACTGAAGCTGTTCTAATGCTCTGGTTGAAACAGGCAGTCATCTCCAACAGGTCTGCATCACTCTCGTCCGTCGTGTGGGAATATCTCACCCCAGATGCAATGTCTTTCAACCTTTTCAGGACATGTTTTACATCTTCCACCTGTATGTCTTCATAATGTTTGTTCTTAATGGTGGCTGCCAGATCTTCTCTAAATGTATCTCTGTTATCTCCATCCTTGTGGTCAGTCTGTGAAATGAACCTCTTCAAGAAAGCCTTCCCCTTCTCTTTGTGTGTTGTTATAGCATAACGTTATCTCTGTGAATTGTTCCCACTGGGCTTAGCCGATCTTTCTTGAGCTTCTGCCTGTGTAGCTTCTAAAATGTTCCCAATGTCTTATCACCCCCAATCGATTCCATAAAATATTCCCATTTTAAGCACTTTAAACCTCTATCCTATCTTTGGTATCTCGTTCTGCTCACTCCAATTCCTCCTTTGAACTTGGGGATGTCGATCGCACATTTATTTAATCGCTTTACTGCGGCTCTCTTAAACTTCTGTTCCTGTTCAACCTCTGGTGTCCACCATGGAGGCTGCACAAAAGTAGATCATGACTTTGCCTTCACCGTGAATTTCCTTGTCAGCCTTCCTGCATCTGACCGTAACCCTGACTGATGAGTAATGAGTTTCATACATGGAGACTGTCACTCCTTTACAGGGCCCTCCCCCACCGACACCTCAATATGCCCTTTATCTTTCTGGACCCACCCCAAAATATCCAAAATTTGCATCAAACTGTCTAAGGTCTGCCCAAAAGAAACATATGTCAAGCCAAACTTTACGGATTGGGTAATGAAATACAGAATACAGTAAAGTTCATACTAGAGATGACATTGCAGATATAGATAATCTTTTTTGGACAAATAAGAGAAGAAGAAGAGGAGGAAACTAACTATGGAGAACTTCCTAGAAATTCACTACCAAATCTTGCAGTCCCAAGATGGGGTGAAAAAGCTGAAAAGCACCTAGTTAACTTTTTAAATGTTAATGTTTCTTTCATGTTGCTGTATTTGGTTTTGGGCATTTGTGTTTGATTTTTTTTTTTTCATGTTCAGCTTTGCCATCATTTGTTACATGAATGGTAGAAGAGACTTACTCATGCACTTACAAAATCTTGTATGCTCACTCATGAAAACCAACACACAAGCACAGAAGAGAGAGACATAACAAGAAAGAGAACTAAATATTTGTGTACCACATTGGTGTCTGCCTCCACAGCTGTGCTTGATGAGTGGAGAGATTATTCAGATGAGCAACAAAATGAACCTCATCTTTGAGCCGGCTGATCTAGAACAAGCCTCACCAGCCACTGTCAGTCGATGCGGTATGGTTTATCTAGAGCCGCACATCATGGGCTGGCAACCAAGTGTGGATTCCTACTTGATGTACACCTTGCCACAGAACCTCAAGCCAGATCAGAAGGAGTTGGTGAAAGATTTATTTAACTGGCTGGTAAGTATGATAGAGAGTGTTAAAGTACTGTAAGATCCTATACTGTTGTAAGCCTATGAAGGTGGGTAAAAAGAAATGGCGAGGAACACTCAGTGGCAGTTGAAATATTGCCGACTAGAAAAATCACAATGCATCCAAAAAACTATTCGCATTTCAGTTGGATTTATTCACTTCTGTGCTTTATTTTATGTTGATGTAATGCATCTGATAAGATATAGTGAAATATGCCTGGCAATAAATTGTGCAATGTATTGTTTGTGTCCACATTATTTAGATTCATTACGGGAAAACATTGTTTTGAATTGAAATATTGTTTCTGAAGAAAATGCATATGAAATCATGGGTGGACAAAGATAAAATTAAAATTCAGTTTGAGAGGATTGAAATAAGTGGACCGGATTTTATCCTATATGGCTGGATCTCTCTCCACAGAATGCCAAGAGAGTCGCACAAAGCACAAACTCTACACCTCCAGCGTCGTCATCACTTTAAAACTAAATGAAATATCTGTGAAACAAACCCACAACTTTCAAAGTATGATGAAAATGGATTGACTCCTTCACCGCTGAGACATAAAAACAAAGAAAGCTGAACTCCATGAAACAGATGAAAACTAACATGATGAGAAAATTAGCTTACGGCAGCAAAATTTTTTCTGTTATGAGAAAAAATAAACTTTGAAATTAATATGATTCTATAAATAAACAAATGAACAGAAAAGATATTAGACATCAAGCAAAAGTCTGAATACTGGTGAGCAATTGCAGCTTACCTTTGATTTAAATATGACATCTGATCTCTGAGTGTGTGTACATTAGTGTTGCAGGGAAACAAAAGTCACACTGGGTTTAAACAAAGTGTGCATGCAGTCTGTCACAAATGCAGGGAATCTTGTTATCAAAAATTTAAACAAGATGTGAGTGCATGATTTAAAAATAAAAAAAAAAGAGCCAGTACTGTGTACTATCTTATGTTTGAAATATATCTTTCTGAGAAATACGCATAGCCGTTTTATTTTAACTTTGCCTTTTAAAAAGCTTAAAACCCTTTTCTTTTTATTCTCGTTTAATTTAGGTACTTTAATTTTAATTTACCACAAACAGAGGAAACCTGGGAGTTCCAGGGAAAGTTCAATATTCTAGGGATGTTAAGGTTTGAAATGAATTTGGTGGGGTAAAATGAAGAGAACACCTGCGTTCTCCGGCACGAAAAATAAACTGATCTTTGTCAGCCCTGACTGCCTCAGAGAGACAGACCTAACCTATAACACCCCTAGAATATTGAATGATCCTGGAAACGCCCAGATTCTTTTTTTTTGGAGTGAATTACAATTAGAGTACAGTTTATTCTTCTTTGTCATTTGTTTTGGTAATTAATAAGACCTTTTATTCCACATACTGGCATGTTTCAGTCAGTTTGAATAACCATTTATGTATGTGACTGCCCTACCTCTTTTTGGTTGCATCTTAGGTTGAACCTAGCCTGGACTTTGTCAAACGCAAATGCAAAACATTCATTCAGACATCAGAGATACACCAGGTTCAGCAGCTGCTGCGTCTGTACACAACAATGATGGATGAGATTATTGCCACACTGAATGCCCTTGGAAGTGAGGGATTGGACATGGGCCAGACAGACCCTAATTCTGAATATCTAACAGTGCAGCAGGTTAAACTTGTTGTTTGTTTTGCTTGCACATGTGCACATGTAATAGATATCTTTGCCTGCATGTTTTGCTTGCACATGTGCACATGTAATAGATATCTTTGCCTGCATGTTTTGCTTGCACATGTGCACATGTAATAGATATCTTTGCCTGCATGTTTTGCTTGCACATGTGCACATGTAATAGATATCTTTGCCTGCATGTTTTGCTTGCACATGTGCACATGTAATAGATATCTTTGCCTGAATTTACCTTTATCCCTTTAAAAAAAAAGTTATTTGCACATACTTGACCGGATATCAGAAACCAAACCCAACATATGTTTTTCTTTGTGATCTTCTTTGTAAGCAGTTTAAGGTCCAGTAGTTTGCCATTGCTTATGATTGATCAAAATTGTATCCCAGTTATCGAAATCAGAGCAAAGTGATCTGCTGCCAAATCACCTACAGTTGAATTGAATTGAGTATTACTACCAACCACATTTCTTAACACTCAGCTAGCTGTTTTGCAGAGATGGACCGAGCCAAATGGGATAAATGAAGTTGATCCTTTCGACTTTAACATTGTCCCTAAAACATAGACGTGCATTTGTATATTTCATCTTTTTTAATTCACCGTCACAGATGTGTTTAGTTAGGTATATGTCTGTCATTTGTCTTATTATAAACAAATTACATTTTTGTGAATTCTAACTGCTCAGTTGAAGAATGTCTTTCTACTATAAAATGCATACTGTTTTGTTTCATTTCTGACATAACTGTTTTGACTGTGACCCAGCCTGATAAAAATTGGTACCAGAAAATGATCAGATTGTTTCCAGAGAGAAAGTTGACAAAAATGGTAACTGGCACCTCCAAATCATATGTTTTGGTTCAGAATGTGAGATTCCTGTATAGGTTCAGGGACCTCATGTGGAAGGGTGGTTGGGAGGCGGGGAGAATAGACCCCTTAACAAGCATATCACAAAAGATAAATAATTTAGAGTTCCCTGAAATTTGATGTGTTTGGCCACAACATGCAGATATCACATCACAGCCTGTTAACTACAACACAGTTTGCTGCCTTTTTAACTCTCTTGCTCTGAAAATAGCCACTTTTTAGGGTTTTTGTTATCTTTGGTCAGTGCCCCCATATGCCTGTATGACAGTTTTGCTACTGGTTGCAACTGCATAGTGTGTAGGATTATATTTGAACAAAAAAAAATTGTTGAGATATTATTTTGTGGGGTGGGGATGGGGGGGGGGGGGGGGGGGGGGGGGGTTAATTTGATTTATTTGTTGTTGTTGTTATTGTGGAGTCATAATAAATTTTATGTTTGGGCCACATTGCTCTTGGTGGATGTCTTAACACATCACATGTTTTCTTAGTCAAAGGGAAGGAAAGCAGCTATTATTACTTTAAATGGTTTGTATTTAGTGGTTACTTGCCTTTATATTTAAAAAAAAAAAACGTTGTGCTACTGACTGACTGACTGACTTTCTACCCCACCAGGACATCACACAAGCGATAAACACCCGATGACACAAAGTGCCACCATGTGGATGAGGATCGCATTGGAGAGGTCACAGAAACCGCGTTCAGACATTTGGCCATATGTATGGCCTGCCTATATTGCGGCCCCTGGCAAAAGCCAGAGTATGGCTTCAAATGACAAAAAATTTCGTCCTAAAAAGGACAAAATTGGATATTACTTTGTGCTAAATAATGGCTCTAAATAAGAAAAATCCATCTTTTTAGTGACTTAGGGGACATGATGATGCAGTGGCTATCAGACTTGCCTGTGTGCTCTGTGGTCATATGTTTCAACCTCCTGGATTTTTTATAAAAACTGACTAAGATAATACATTTATTTTGCTTCTTTTTCTCTCCCTCTAGTTTCTTAAGGTAGAGTTTCATAGAGTTGTAACAAAGTCTCTATATTTAACAAAATGTTAAATTAGGTCATTTATGCAGATTTTTGCGTGGGGGAACTATTACGAACAAACGAACGAACAAACTTTTTTCTCAAAGGGTTACAAATTGGGCATACATTCGGCCCTTCCAAGAACTAATCTATCAGACTGCAATTGCATGTTATCAGTAATGCATGTTATCAGTAATGCATGTTATCAGTAATTGCATGTTATCAGTAATGCATGTTATCAGTAATGCATGTTATCAGTAATGCTTGTTATCAGTAATGCATGTTATGTTTATATAGAAATATACATAATTAAATAATGCACCGCGATCGAAACCCACTGCAGGCTGCGTGGATTTTTGTTGTGGTATGGGACGTCGCAGGTCGACCCAGCCTAAAATGGGTACCAGGATGGGCTGTCCTGGGAAAGTAAAGACAGCCGGCGTAATGCTGACCACATTACCCACAGAGTGCTGATGGTCTGTAAAAATATGGGACGCTCTGCCCATTTGCCCGATGCGCCGAAAAGCGTGAAAATGTAACTTTACTTTTTTTTTAAACTTACATACATCATGTATACGCAATCATACACAATCCGAATATACATGTGTACATACACTCTAATTTGCCCATACTACACAGACACAAGCACACCTATACATAATACCTACATACAAACATTCACACACACACCCATACATACACACTCATACATAAACATAATTTGGTCTCGTGTTGATACATACACATTCAAGCTCCCACACAGAGATGATGAAGAAGAAAATGAGAAAGCCTGGCATGTCACACAACTCTGCTGCAGGACCTGCTGTGAGGTTACCATTCACTTGTAATTTTGCCTTTTGCAGATGACAACATGGCTGCAGACCATATTCCTGTTCTGTGTTGTGTGGACCATTGGTGGCACAGTCATGGGAGACAGCAAGAAAGCTTTTGATGAATTCTTCCGAAACCTGATCAGTGGTGTGGATGAAAACCACCCAAAGCCAAAGAGTATTAAACTTGCAAAGGTAATGTGCTGGTGGTCATTGTTCCTCTCCATGAATGTTGTTTCTAAGAATAACACCTCAAGGATGAGAATCAAACAGAAACAAATCCCAGAAACACCATTTAACCAATTACAGTTAGTTGTGTATCCTTTACAGGAAGTTGCAAAACCAACCCTAGCATTTTTGGGGGTTGCATATTTTCTAGGCAAAATTTTCTTACATTTAGTAGTTTACCATTGCTCTCTGAACAGTCAGCTCTGGGTACCACTGTCAAAACCAATGCAAAACGGTCTGCTGCCTAATCCTCTGGTGCATTCTACATAATTTATATCAACCTGTAGATCCCCTGTAGTCATCACTTTCTGTACAGTCTACTGGTATGTCTTCAGTTTATTTGCTTTTGTTTCATGCCATTACAAAACACTGTCAGATATCTTCTTTTACTGCCTTCTTTTAATTAATTTTTTTTTACATAAATATTTCTGGTTGTTACAGTATGTTCAAATTTTTCTCTTCTCTCAGTGTGTCAGAAATGTTGGCTTGGTCTTTCTAGTATTCTCGGTTTATAATTTCCATATAACTTTTATAAATGAGTTACTTTTATTGTAAATTGTTAAAACATAACTCTTGAACTCTTTGAGTCCCAGGAGGTTTAGCATCGGAGGCCCAAGGGGTGGTAATGCATTTTTTAAATGTCACACAACAAACACATATTATACATCAGTGTGACCAGGGATTGTTGCGGAATAATATTAAAATGCTGATACAAAAATAAATTATGCCAGTAGTTAATTTTTAGTAAAGAAAAAGATGGTATGTTTAAAGAAATTAGTTTTTAAAAAATATATATAATTTTTCTACTTACCACCATAGCACTCAAGGAAAACTCAGTAAAATATGTCCAAGAGGAATAAAAAAAATGAACATGAACCATTAGGTAAAATATAAACACAATCTGCCCATTAGATCTCGTTACAAAGAAACTTTTAGAACATGATAACAGAGCACTTTGTTTTGGTCAAGAAAAAATGACCTCTGAAAACAGTTAATGTTTTCACAAAAAAACAAACTTTAACACTTAATTTGCCCGTAATTTTATAGCCTTTGTTCCTAAATAATAAGGGAATTGCACTACACCTAACTGACACTGAAGAATTTTGCTTTTTTTTGCACTATGTTTATTTTCTTTGTACCAGCTGGCTTTGTTATCACTGTAGGCTTTGTGTGAGGTATTTATCAGAGCTATCCCTCATCAAAGTTTGACTATCAATGACTGAAACAAGTCTACTTCGGAACTTTCATTGTCTAGCTTGGGATACATCTGATAAACACATGTTTTATTCAAATTTGAGCCTTCTAAAGTCATAAATAATGTTGGCATGCATGAAGAAGTTTGCTCAGAGGCCATATTGTTTTGACACAGACACTTAGTAACTCGATAAAGCTCACAAACATGCAACAATCAAAGCTCACAAACATGCAACAATCAAAGCTCACAAACATGCAACAATCAAAGCTCACAAACATGCAAACATGCTTTTAATCACGTTTTCAAATATCTCAAATAGTCACCACATGCGACTTTGAACACAAAGAACGGGAAATACCATTCAAAGCTGCCAGTTTGCGTTGTTATACTGGCCATTGGTTAGTTAAAAACACGAACGCATCACGCACTGATTGGGCGGCTGTTTAGTAGCCCATTAGTGCGTGATGCGCGCGTTCCTTGAGACTCAAAGAGTTAAGTACAGATCCTATTTATGAATTATTTAGAATAGACACACCACACAAGTTGATTGCTTAAATAGAAAATGTAAAAAGAAAGTTTCAGGTTAAAGTCAAGAAGATCGACTTCATTGCACTGAGTTTTATTCCATATAGCTCAGTCTCTGTCGGTAGAATGGCTAGCATCCTGCTGAGAGCACAGCACAGAGAACGGAACTCCATAGCTCTGGTGATGATCCCCAGGTATCTCCGTAAAAATTTATGGGCACAGCCATGAAATGAACCCACCACCTTCAGAGCGTTTGGCAAACGGCTTGAACACTTCACCACAGAGATAAAAGTAATTCCAGTAACAAATAGTATAGCAAGGACTCGTATAATATAGTGTCTCATCTGTTTATATTGTAGAGAAGGGCTCAGTTTACCCAGGAGCATCCAGAATGTCAAAAATGGGGATCGGCATGGGTCAGAGGCCCTAGCTCCAGCATAGAAAGACCAATAATACAATACAACTAGCAGTGATCCGCTGGCCACTTGCTAGATCTTTGTGGGCTGAGAGATGTCTACATTGAGGAGATAGTGCATCAGTGTAATTATCCATAGTGCATCAGTGTAATTATCCATAGTGCATCAGTGTAATTATCCATAGTGCATCAGTGTAATTATCCATAGTGCATCAGTGTAATTATCCATAGTGCATCAGTGTAATTATCCATAGTGCATCAGTGTAATTATCCATAGTGCATCAGTGTAATTATCCATAGTGCATCAGTGTAATTATCCATAGTGCATCAGTGTAATTATTCATCCTGTTTGGTAACCTAGGTTTCATACCATAACTTTCAAACCCTCTAATGGACCTACTGTCTGAATTTTCTTTAGTAAATGAAATGATATGACAGATATAAAAGTCTGTTGTAAAATCTAGTCAGAGTTGAGAATTATCACAGCACTTGGGACATTCCCATAAGCACTCCATCCCTATCTTCAACTGCCAGCAAAGTGTTCCAGTTCTAATGGTACCATTAGTAATGAGATTATATGTATGTCTTGCCTTCCTCTGATTCTAAAGAATGTATACCACATTTCCTGGTCACTCCCTGCAGCACCATAATGCATCCTTCACATTATTTCAAAGAATGTTAACTACATCAAGCTTGTTTAAAAAAAAAAAAAAAAGGTATAGTCTGCTATTTTATGTATTGTCACAGAAGCACAGAAACCCGTATTGTAACCCAAACATTATTTTGTGTCTCCATTAATTTTAATGAGCATGTCTTCTGTTTTTGAAGTTAAATGGCTTAATATCCACTTATCTATGAACTCCTCAGGGCAATTTGTTCCCGGAGAGACATACAGTATTTGACTTTGCTTTTCATAAGAAAGGAACTGGTTCCTGGATTGACTGGATGGAAACCATTGACAAGGCTACATGTGTTATTCCACCTGGTGCCAAAGTATGTTTGATGGATACTCTTTCTTCTTCTTAAAGTTATTATGTTGGTCATCACTTCTAACCTTGGCCAGTTTGGTCAGCTATCTACACCTCTCTGTAATCATCCTAGACACATGTTCCCAGACGGGGCCTGGCTAGTATAGATAGGAGCGAGGTTACCTTAGAAGTCAGAGTGTGTTTACCTAAGCGGTGAGGAGCCAACAGTCTGTACACAAATAAGTCAAATCTGTTATACGGATGTGCATGCAAAGTCCAGAAGTAGATGAACTACCAGGACTTTCCTCTGGAGTTTAAATCTGATGAACATGAAGAAGCCTTCAAGCTTTCAAACATCTGTGTTGGTCTCCACCTACTTCTCTTCCTCTCCACCATTCCTGTAGACACGATGTACTCCAGGTCTCACCGTTCTCTTTGTCTTAAAACATACGGATGTATAATGTGATTGCCATCACAACTAGAGACGCAAACAGCTGGGAGTGGAGAGTGAGAACAACAAAGTTCATAATCTGTTTATTTCCCCATTGATCACTGGCATCATGAGAGCTAATAGAATGAAATGGCTTGTACATATTGAGAGAATGTCAGATGGCGGAGATGAAAAAACTGTATACACAAGGGAGCTTAACGGTCTTATACCAAGAGGCAGACCATGAAGACGATGGATAGATAACATTCAGACTGACCTACAAACACTTGGTTTCCCCAACTGGAAAGACAAGACCAACCAGAGAGATGAATGGAGGTAGGCAATATCTGCAGCCATGAACCTCAAGGGCTAGGAATGTTGAAGAAGAAGAAAAAGAGCACAATATTTGTTCATGTTATGTGATTTATTTCTTTGATATTATAAATGTTATTACCTCATGGCTTGCATTTAATTATTTCCATGCTTCACTCTTATAAAAATATATATTTAGGACACATGCAGTACATAGCACAATATAGTGCCTGGGGAAAAAATGCCTAATTTGTGTCCACATTATTGAAATTTACTAGGGGAAAACATTATTTTGAATTTCTGAATAAGTTTGATAGATATTTTTGTATTGTTTTGATTAGAGTACACACTTTGTAAGTTTTGTTTTTAATGTCCAATGATAATAATTTAATGTTAATTATTTGCTGTGTACAACTGTGGTAATATATTAGCTAGAACACTCATCCTCCAGCCCTGCAATCCTAGATTCAAATCCAGATTAAGGCAGGATGTTTTTCATAACTGCAAGGTTGAATAATTCCACATAAACATGCAAGAAAATATTCTGGTTGGTAAGGTGGCTGATTTTATACTGACTAGATGACTGTCAAGTAATGTTAACAAAATATTGGCCTAACATAAATCCGTGAGCTGTGTTTTCGTAATGACCAGAATACTTTGCCAACTTGCCCAGTGGTAATGTGCACATATCCCCTTAAAATTTCATTAATAAAATTGATCTTGGCTGTTAGTTTAATCAATATTAAAAACGGATACCAGAAAATTATTTAGGAAATCAAGAAGCCCAACATGAGGGAAAGTCATTTGTTGTTAACTAGTCTATAAGGAAATAGGGGTGGGTATTGTTTATTTAAAGCCTGCTTATGAATTGCTTGCATGCTCCCTGTGTAAATCAGGGCACCTTTGGTGTTGGGGGGGGGGGGGGGCAAAGACCCATTGCTCCCCAACAAGCATGTCATAAAATGTGACTAATTTAGGGTTTGCTGAGTTGAAAATGGATGTGTACAGGTACAGATATCACAGCCTAGCTGTGAACCACAACACAGCATGCCAGCCTTCCTTTTTAACCCTTTAATTTTGGAAGATCAAAGGCAAAAAATTCCGTGACCCATAATTTCCCAGAAATTTAGCATTTTGCATCAGTGTGAAGAAATTGTAATTAATCTGCATTTTAAATTCAGGGAATCCTTAATTTCCCAGAGTCAATAATAACATTGTGTAAATAAAGTTGCTTACAGTATAGAATAAAGATGGCAGTGTGTGCTTGTCTGCAGAAGATAGCTGTTAGCTTATGCTAAAGACATGCCACCATTATCTGATGTTGACGGCCTGCAACGATTGGGTGATAACCTATTAATTATCATCATAGTTGTACCTTTCCACATCCAAATTAAGATCTAAGGTACCTTTTAGCACACCAACAGTTTTGTCAACCTGTTATCAACAGAGTTAGGTTATTTGCGGATCCTTTACAGGACGTTGCAAAACCAACCCCAACAGCCCCTGGCTGTTGTGTGGTTTTTCTAGGCAAATTTACGTCCGGTAGTTTGGCATTGCTTTCTGGACGGTCAGCTTTCTTGATACCACTGTCGAAACCAATGCAAGGCGCATGGCCCGCAGCTGGGATCGAACCTGGCATCCCGGCATTACGAAGTATTCGCATTGATTTAGCCACAGAGCTGACTATCAACAGAGTAACAAGGTCTTTTTTCCTGGATCAGCAATGTGAATTAAAAGTGCTATGAACACAGACTTTCAGCACAGAAAGTATTGATACCAATGTTCAAGATGCTATTTCTAACACTTAGAATCCTTTGTACCTCATTTACAGGTATGTACACTGGAAAACAGGTCAGAAGCTGGTTAGTCTTCTTCTTCTTTGTGTTCACCAGCTGTCAACTCTGGTGGAAAGTTCTGGTTGTATTTGCACTTTTGGACTGCAGTCCTGTTCCAGAATTTGAGTTTTGACAGCTGGCACATTTGTGTGCAGACTGTTGGTTCCTTGTCTCTCAGGCAGATGCACTCCGACTTCCAAGGAAGCTCCCAGTTAGTCGACTCTTACAACATGCTTTTATGTAGGCAGTGGGTATATTCTTGTTTTCCCTATAGAAGCCGGTTAGTGTGCTTCTCAGAAATTGGACAGTACAAAAATGCTGGCTAAGCAGCATTTACAATTAATTGGGCATTACCAGAAGTGTCAGATTTGTGGCCTCTCAGGGCAAATGGGTCAAGGGTGAACACATAGGATGAAGCTTGCATGTGATCACTTTCTACAAATTGTTTTTTTCAGGTGAGTGATTTAACCATTCCTACGGCAGAAACAGCAAGGCAGCAATTTTTCCTCAACTTGTACATGACACACGGCATTCCCTTGTTGATGATTGGTCCAACCGGAACAGGGAAGTCAGCCATCACTAGCAGCTACCTGCTGGCTCTGCCAAAGGAATTGTAAGTAAAAACATAAAACCGTGAACTCAGGCAGCATCAAGCATATCGCCATGCAGCTCTTCATCAGCATCATTATCTTTTTGTTAGGTTTATACAACAGATAGGGTTCAAAGTTTGTTCCTGCACTGACTTCTACTTCTTCATTATTCTGTTGTTAGGTTTATACAACAGATAGGGTTCAAAGTTTGTTCCTGCACTGACTTTTTCTTCTTCTGCTTTTTCTTCATGTTCACTGGCTGTAAACTCCAGTAGAAAGTTCTGGTTATTCATCCACTTCTGGACTTTAGGTTGTTTTCCAGAACTTGAGTTTGTGTGCACCTTGGTTCACAGGTATGGCTTGTTTGTTGGAAGACTGTTGATTACTCACTTCTCAGCAGGTGCACTCCTACTTCAAAGGATCCCCCTCCTCCCCCCCCCCCCCATTTAGTCGACTCTTATAAGATGCTTGCTGGGAGAGGGAAAGGGTGTGGTGGGTCTATTCTGTTTCCTCCTATAATTGGGCCCTGCTACCCACACAGGAATATTCCCTTCTATTTTGTGCAAATATACTGTAGATCCAGTCCAGCACCTTTGGTCTCTCTCATCAGTGTTCATCTTAGGGTTTCTCTTGGATGTACTCACTTCCTTACGTGAATTTGTTACCCATTTAAGTACCTGTTTAGTGATTCTCTCTCTGCTTGTCTTCATAGTGTGCCCAGTGTATTGCTGTCATCCTTTTCACTATAACTGTAGATAATAGCAATTGTACAGACATTTCTCTCTCTCTCTCTCTCTCTCTCTCTCTCTCTCTCTCTCTCTCTCTCTCTCTCTCTCTCTCTCACTCACTCTCTCTCTCTCTCACTCTTTCTCTCTCTCTCACTCTCTCTCTCACTTTCTCTCTCTCTCACTCTCTCTCTCTCTCGCTCTCTCTCTCTCTCACTCTCTCTCACTCTCTCTCTCTCTCTCTCACTCTCTCTCTCTCTTTCTCTCTCTCTCTCTCTCTCTTTTTTATATTTTATTTCTCTTAACTAATTCCACTTAATGTCCATCAGTCTTCTTAGGCATTTGTTTTCAAATGCATTTTAACTTTCATTCTGTTTTTAGTGGTTCTCCATCTGTATGTGACATATGTTCATATTGAAATGACATTAGGACTGTAAAACTGTCTAATTTAGGATTTAAGAATCTTCTCAGAAGAGTCAAATGGCACTTTAATCATGTCAGCAACATTTTATTTTCAGGTACATCCCTAACTGCATAAACTTCTCGGCTCGTACGTCTGCCAATCAGACACAAGATATTATTATGTCTAAGCTGGACAGGTCAGTCGTTTTATAATCATAATCTCAGTTTGTTCTTACTAGTAGCTGATTGTAACATGCATTATTAACCCTTTCGCTGCTATGGGCGTCTGTTACCGTTTTCCCGTACGCTGCTACGCCCGTCTTTGGACGTTATTGTGCTATGGACGTACGAACCCGTTTTTGGACTTTCCTTACAGATTTCTGTGACCTTTTGTCTCAGGGGCCATATACATTAGCTATATTTAGATTCAGCTGACCCATTTACATACGATTAAAAGCACTGGCACGTGCATTTAGGTATGTTTAAGGTGTGTTTACTGCATTCCACATTATCCCGTTGCTTTGTTTACCGTGACAGCGTGGTCGGAGATCTGTGTATTTTGTGCCCTGATATATATTTGTGGGTTTGGGTTATTCTACACTTCGTTAGTACTAAATGGCAAGAAAACTTGTTAAAGTTGATGAAGAATTGATAAGGTTTCTGTCAAGAAGTGATAGCGAAGATGACTTTGAAATGTGTACTTCTGACAGTGAACAAGAAGATTTGACTAGGCCATCAATATTGACGGCTCATGCCGGCATGTCCAAGAAAAAGCTGTTTGCCTGTCCGACGTCTTCATCATCAGAATCAGAGAGCAGCGACAATGAAGTCCATCAAAGCGGCAAAAAATTGATCAGTTGTCTTGGTCAACCGATGATTTGATATCAGCAGTGCATAATTTTGCTCTGGCTGTATTTCTGCTACTGTAAATTCAAACAGTTTAGTGCTTGATTTTTTTTCCCACTTTTTTTTTCACGGAATCACTGATGACATTCATCGCAGCGAAAACTAACAGGTTCTGCAAGGAAGTAATTGAGAAGGCACCTGCCACTACAAGCTCTCGATGGACAGACACAGATTTTGACGAACTATTTTTGTTGTTGTTGTTGTCTGTCTGCTAATGCTAAGAACAAAGAAACTAAAAAAAAAAAAAAAAATTTAGTACTGGAGCACAAATTGTTTGTTAAAAACTCCTGTGTTTAGTGAAATAATGTTGAGGGACAGATTTTTACTATTGTTAAGAATGTTACATTTCTCAGACAACAGTGCTAATGCAGGCGGCGATAGACTGTACAAAATTAGACACATTATTGATAGTCTGCGCACATCGTTTCAGGGTGCATTTTCACTATATCAAGATGTGGTTTTCGATGAAACACTACTTCTTTACAAAGGAATATTATCTTTCAAACAGTAGAAGTGATAGTCTAGTGTAGTTGGTATCACGTCCGCCTTAGAATCGGAAGGTCGTGGGTTCAACCCCAACTTGTCTTTTTTTTTATTTTTTATTATTATTCAAAATTTTTTTTCAGTTCTTGCCACTTTTCAGCAATGGATGACTCATTTTTATTATTAATTTTTTTTTAAATGGAGACTACAATTAACTATGATTAAAGTGGGAACCGTGGTAGGTTCGTCAATCAAATTTTGATATAGGGACTGGGAACAGTTCTTCCCATTAATTCCATCCCCCCCCCCCCCCCCACTCCCCAGGGGGGTGGTAGCTAGGTTGGTCAAGTTTGTGGGACACCATCGTGCTCTGACTAGTCACCACTCGGGCCAACCACACAACTCCCCAGGGTATAATTTGTTAGGTGTACAAAATATAGCCTTCACCGCCGACGCATCTTTTGCAGTTGGAGGATAGAAAAGTATTGCGCACAGCAGAGACTTTTTTTCCCACATTGCTCAGCACTGGGCAAACAGCTACGGCCGGGAACGTAGCAGCGAAAGGGTTAAGGCTTATAAAGGAAGCCAAGAATACAAAATAATGTAAAAGTGAAGGACCCTGTTAACGCCAATGACATATCAGACATATGTCAGTCAGTAGCATGTCTTTTGCAGAACCTTGCTCCCATAAGAACCCTCCGGAAAACTTCTCAATCACAGGCAAGATGTTTCACATCTGATACACTTTTCTGGAGATCATCTGCCACATCCTGCACCCATCTTGTCTTTGGTCTTCCTCTTTCTCTCTTCCCAGGCATATACCCCTCCATTATTGTTCTCTCTAAACTTTCATGGTGTTTCAAGTGACCAGAATATTTCAATTTTCTGTGTTCTTTTGTTTTTAATAGCCAACTTTCTTCAGTATTCAGTTCTTGAAGTGTGGGTGCATTTGTTCTTTTCTTTACCCATGATATTCTTTGTACCCATCTATAACATTTGTATTCAAAGGCATGTTTGCATTGTTCAGCTTATTTGGTAAGTGTCCAGGTCTCATAGGCATATGTTGCAATGGGAAAGATACATGCTCTTAGAAATCTAATTTTTGAAGTTTTGTCAGTCCCACTTCATAATCTATTCAGTTGTTTTAGTCTTTGAAGAGCAATTGATAGTCGTTGTTAAATTTCTTTCATTGTGTCACCACTGCTGGTACTCAATGGCCCAAGATATTCACAATTTTCCACAACCTCCAATCTTTCCTCATTAACACATATTTCTTTCTCCCTGGTAGTTTTATCTGAATGCATTATCTTTGTTTTTGCTATGTTCAGATATAAGTCGCGATTTTCACTTTCTTTGGGTTGAGGTTATTAAGTTTTCTATACAAGTCTGTATCACTGGCATATCAGATCTCTGGTATTTCATGATCACCTATATTTAGGGCCTTATATTGCCCGCTTGTTTATCATCCATGTCTATTTTCCCTAAGCTGTCTTATCCCACAGAAAGCTTAGCTGCAAAAATTCAGTCAAACTTGAAAAAAGTTTGCAAAGGTTTTGGTTAAGATAACTGAAGGCCAGTGCTTCATTGGAAGTAAAAGCAGAAGAAAAGAATGAGCTATTAGGTTCACCGTTAGCAGTCTCCAAGGAGATATTGCTGTGGTGTGGAGGGGGGAAGGGGGTGGGGAAGAGACCCACTGTTCCCCTAATAAGCATGTCATAAAAGTCAACTAATTAGGGGTGGTTCCGGGAAAGTCAGACTACATCGTCTGAGAGACAAAGAACCAACAGTCTGCATACACATAAGCCAAATCTGTGGAGTGGATGTGCATGCAAGTTCTATAGTCCTGAAGTTTGGGGACAGCCAGAATGTTCTGCTGGAGTCTAGAGCCAGTGAACACTAGGAAGAAGGAGAAGAAACTGTAAAAATGAGTAAATATGAGCTGAATTTCTTGTTCTTACAGAGAAAAAAAATTCCTATTGTGCATACTGTGTGGCTTTGGTAACCATGTCTGGCCACAGCCTTTTGTCTCATGTAATGTCACTATTTTCTGATACAAAAATTCTTCCATGCCATGATGCTCAACTGTCCAGCATCTTCTCTTTTGGTCTGCCTCTGCGTTCCTCCCCGCCAAGTTTCTCGTTGACAACATACTCCAGTTTTCCCCTTCTGATGATGTTACAAAAGAACATTTATTGTCTCCTGAATTTGTAAGATGGTAAGAAGTGTGTGTGATTCTCTTTGATGTTTTGAGGCATACTGAGTATTCAGTGAAGTAGAATTTTGAATGTTGAATTGAGAATCAGCATCATAGCGCTCTGGACACCCCCGTAAGCGCTCTGTACCCATCTTCAGCAGCAAATGAAGAGTTCCTATTCCGATGGCACCAGTAACTGTCTGATTGTATATCCGTCTCGCCCTTCCCTTGAGTGTTGAGCATTGGCCAGATATTCAGTGAAGTAAAACAAGTTCAAGATTCCATCTCATCAGACCTGATAGGCATATTGTGCTAGTCCGATATTTTTAGACCAGTTGGCACTGGGTTTTTTTCTTGGCTGACCCAGGAACCCAGATGTTTGGATAACAGTCTCCACTTTGTTGAGGATTCTAACCAGTGACTACATTGACCCAGGACCCAGGACCCAGGAATCCAGATGTTTGGATAACAGTCTCCAATTTGTTGAGGATTCTAACCAGTGACTACATTGCCATCAGGGAAGCATGCAAGCTACTAGACTACTTTACCACTCTTTTATAATACGGTAAAACCTTGTTAACACAAACTAGTTTAACTCTTTGAGTACCAAGGAGCTGTTTACTCTTATTCAGGGACACATTTTAAAAATAGTTTATGTACCATGCTTATTATGTTAACACATTTTTAACTCATCTATCACTGTAACTCCTTTCTGTCATAAAACTCTAGTCTTTAATTCTAGGAAACTTAAAAGTAGTTGCTGTGAGGTACAAAACAAGGTTTTACTGTGTTATCCGGTTTTTTTTTTTTTTTAATTTTGATAATTTGAATGTTTTAAATATTGTAAAAAATTATTTTGTTGCTTTTTTGTTTTTAAGACGCAGAAAAGGTGTGTTTGGGCCACCAATGGGCAAGAAGTCTGTAGTTTTTGTGGATGACCTAAATATGCCTGCCAAGGAAAAATATGGAGCACAGCCTCCAATTGAACTTCTGCGACAGTGGATTGATCATGGCCACTGGTATGACAGGAAGGACACATCCAAGCTCTTCCTCAATGATGTGGTAGGTCAGACATTTGTGCTTTGTGTGGATCTAGTTGTGAGTCCTCGGCCATTTCATTGTCTCTAACAAACAGTCAGACTTAAATCAAGCATCAGTATGTAAACATTACAGGGAATATAGTAATGGATATGCAGGAGTGCGAGGGAATAAAGGAGCAGATTTTATGGCTACAAAAGCGATAGCTATGGAAACACTTGTTCTGGACAAGGAAGAGATTTTAAAGACCATCTGTGAATGAATGCTGAAAGAAGTCACAAGTTTAGATAAGATAGCATGTATAAAAATGTGTGAACGAGGAATTAGTTGTGGATGAGGCAAGGAGGGACATATGAGAGGAAGAGAGCGACATGTGTATAATGAGTGTGTAACAAGATTAGTTAGCATCTACACCTTAATACATTTGCTGTGGGAGACGAAGCATCTGTGGCTATGCCCAGTGTGCTATGAAATTGGTAAATCAGTAAACTTTAATAAAAAGGGAAGTCAATGAGTCGGTCACAAATGGCTGGGGGAGAAAAAAAACAACTAAAGAGGATAAAACATAAAAACTGTTTTTTTTTAACACATGCACTGTCCCTTACTTTTTCAACATAATTTCCACCAACACTGATGCACTTGTCGCAACGTTTTATCAGTCCTCCAAGACCTGAATTAGTATTGTCTTTTTTAATGTGTTACACTTGTGAAATTACAAAATTGCATTGCCACCCCTTGTTCTTCTGTTGCTAAACTCCCTGGGACTCAAAGAGTTAATGGTTCATTCAAATATTTCACGTGAGACAAGAACACTGACCTGATCCCAGATTCTGGTTATCATGGGGATGACAGAAGATGACAGCCTAAATTTATTGGCCTGGCACATAAGGGAGATAAACATTTAAACACATCTGTTTAGAGGAAACATATTGTGCATGTCTTTGTAAACCCTCATGAGAGAATATGTGTACTTTTAGTAGTTATTTCTCATTGGTATTGATACTGAGCCTGGTATTGATACTGAGCCTGGTATTGATACTGAGCCTGGTATTGATACTGAGCCTGGTATTGATACTGAGCCTGGTATTGATACTGAGCCTGGTATTGATACTGAGCCTGGTATTGATACTGAGCCTGGTATTGATATTGATACTGAGCCTGGTATTGATACTGAGCCTGGTATTGATACTGAGCCTGGTATTGATACTGAGCCTGGTATTGATACTGAGCCTGGTATTGATACTGAGCCTGGTATTGATACTGAGCCTGGTATTGATACTGAGCCTGGTATTGATACTGAGCCTGGTATTGATACTGAGCCTGGTATTGATACTGAGCCTGGTATTGATACTGAGCCTGGTATTGATACTGAGCCTGGTATTGATACTGAGCCTGGTATTGATACTGAGCCTGGTATTGATACTGAGCCTGGTATTGATACTGAGCCTGGTATTGATACTGAGCCTGGTATTGATACTGAGCCTGGTATTGATACTGAGCCTGGTATTGATACTGAGCCTGGTATTGATACTGAGCCTGGTATTGATACTGAGCCTGGTATTGATACTGAGCCTGGTATTGATACTGAGCCTGGTATTGATACTGAGCCTGGTATTGATACTGAGCCTGGTATTGATACTGAGCCTGGTATTGATACTGAGCCTGGTATTGATACTGAGCCTGGTATTGATACTGAGCCTGGTATTGATACTGAGCCTGGTATTGATACTGAGCCTGGTATTGATACTGAGCCTGGTATTGATACTGAGCCTGGTATTGATACTGAGCCTGGTATTGATACTGAGCCTGGTATTGATACTGAGCCTGGTATTGATACTGAGCCTGGTATTGATACTGAGCCTGGTATTGATACTGAGCCTGGTATTGATACTGAGCCTGGTATTGATACTGAGCCTGGTATTGATACTGAGCCTGGTATTGATACTGAGCCTGGTATTGATACTGAGCTGAGCTGAGCTGGTATTGATACTGAGCCTGGTATTGATACTGAGCCTGGTATTGATACTGAGCCTGGTATTGATACTGAGCCTGGTATTGATACTGAGCCTGGTATTGATACTGAGCCTGGTATTGATACTGAGATACTGAGCCTGGTATTGATACTGAGCCTGGTATTGATACTGAGCCTGGTATTGATACTGAGCCTGGTATTGATACTGAGCCTGGTATTGATACTGAGCCTGGTATTGATACTGAGCCTGGTATTGATACTGAGCCTGGTATTGATACTGAGCCTGGTATTGATACTGAGCCTGGTATTGATACTGAGCCTGGTATTGATACTGAGCCTGGTATTGATACTGAGCCTGGTATTGATACTGAGCCTGGTATTGATACTGAGCCTGGTATTGATACTGAGCCTGGTATTGATACTGAGCCTGGTATTGATACTGAGCCTGGTATTGATACTGAGCCTGGTATTGATACTGAGCCTGGTATTGATACTGAGCCTGGTATTGATACTGAGCCTGGTATTGATATTGAGCCTGGTATTGATAATGAGCCTGGTATTGATACTGAGCCTGGTATTGATACTGAGCCTGGTATTGATACTGAGCCTGGTATTGATACTGAGCCTGGTATTGATACTGAGCCTGGTATTGATACTGAGCATGGTATTGATACTGGTATTGATATTGAGCCTTCTTCTTCTTGTCTTTTTCTGCCCTTCATTTCCTGATATAGCAGGCCTTCAACCAGCTCACGCCAGTTTGCCTTTCCTTTGCAATTGCGTGCAGCTCACCTCATGTCCTCCCCATCTTTCTTAATTTCACTACCTGGCTCCCCTTCTTTGCATTTGTGTGTATGTGTATGCGTGCGTGTGCGCATGCATGCGCATGTTTTTTTTTGGTCTGTCTTTTTTTCTGTGCCCTGTGGATTCAGGTGCAAAAAAGTCCTATTGTTCTCAGATTCTCAAACATGTCACTAAGAAAATCTAGCATCTCTCTCTCTCTCTTGTTGTACCCCACAAAGTGCCACCATGTGGATGAGGATCACCAGTGGAGGGGTCCCAGAAACTGCGTTCAGACAATTGGCCATATTTATGGCCTGCTTATATTGCGGCCCCGGGCAAAAGCCAGGGTGGGGCTTCAAATAACAAAAAATTTCGTCTGGATGAAAGTAGATAAGACTACCAGCATCTCTTTTTCACTTCTTCATTAACTGGAATTTGTTTAGTTCTCTCTCAAAGCTCATAATTAGGGATTTTATCATACCATTAAATTCTCTCTGTTCTGCAAAGCGACTAGTTTGTACATTCTTAATGCTTTAATAAATGTGTTACTGGGAACCCCAAAATATAAAGCATAAAAATGTCAATTTCACCTTAACACAGCAAGGTACAATAGGAACAAAATAGGATTTGATTAAAGCATTTGAATTATGCCCCTTTCTTATGCGCCGTAGAGCATTTAAATTATGCCCTCGTTTAATGCACTGAATCATATCGTACATCTGTTACTAACATTGTTTGAACTCTTCCGTTGGCTGCTCAAGATAGGGACTGAGCACTAATGATAATATCCTGAGTCCTGTAATATCATGTTTCAAATTCAACTCAGCGTCAATTATTTGACTATTTATTAACCTGTTCTTTCTTCTCATTAGCTGTTTGTCAGTGCAATGGGGCCACCAGGTGGTGGCCGAAATGACATTACATCCCGCTTTACTCGCCACCTGAACATCATCTCAGTTGATGAGTTTGATGACAATATTATGAACAAAATCTTCACAGCCATCACCGACTGGCATTTTGGGAACGGTTTTGAAGTCAGCTTCGTGAGAAATGGCAAGGTAAGGGAAATTATTTTGTCCTGATAGAATTATTTCCCTTTTCCTCATATAATTATTTCAGTCTGTAAGAGATGAGCATCTTTGTTCTCTTTAACTCTTTTAGTACCAAACAATGCGCCATATGTTTCTAGGTCTTTCAAACAAATTATTTTTGTGTGTGCTGCCTTCTGTTACAGACGAGTGTTATGTTAACTGTTAACTTCGTTTAGTTAAACAAATAAGTTAACCAATTCAGTCCCGTCAAGCATGTACTGAACCTCTTCTTCATCTTCTTCTTTTTTCTCTACTCCTGGAATGCCTCTTCAGACTGCTTTTAAACCCAGCTGCTTGGAATAGAAAGGGCTCAGATAACAACTTTTTGGGGTTGAGAGAGATATTGAGATTATGGACATGTTTCAGTATATTAATTTTGTTGTTATTTTATTCTTCTCTCTTTTCCTTCCCCTCATTTTCTTCCTCTCCCTTTTTCTCTTCTTTTGTCTCTCTGTCTTCCTTCTCCCTGCCTCTTTTCCCACCCTCTCTGTCTCTCAAACTCTTTCTGTGTCTGGTCTTTTTCCTTCTCTGCCACTTCCTCTCTCTCTTCCTTGCTCTCTCTCACTCTATATAGATATAAATATTTATTTGTATATAAATGTGTGTGTGTCTGGAGCTGTGGTGGCACAGTGACTAAACACTTACCTACTGGTCTGAAGATCTTGGATTCAAATCCACACCAGGAAAGAATGCTTATAAATTGACCTTGGCTGTCCCATAGCCCGGTCAAAAATGAGTAACCTGGGGGAAAAGGCAGCCGGCATGCTGTTGACTACATGATCTTGCAAGTTCCCATTTGTCTATCAAAATATGTCTAGTATCACGTACTCTGTGCATTTTTATTTAAGGTTGTTTTGATTCCATCCCTTCAGCTTTTCCCCTGACTTTTTTGTCTTTTTGTTCAGTATGTGTCTTCCAAATGGGATGGTTCTCTGTAGTACTTACCAGAGCATTCTTGTGAGACTGCAGAATCATTTCATCAGATGTTCTGTAATTAACTGTGTGACTGATTTTAGTCTAAGTCTTCTAATTCATTTATTATTGTATCTATCCTTGTTACTTGTACAGCTCTTAGAATTCCATTGTTTTTTTTGTTTTTTTTTAATATATTTTTTTATTTGAGATAATATTTTGTTTAATTTGTATATACAGTGAATCATAATTAAAGTTTGGGATAAACCAGATTTGTGCTAACCAGTGACTTAAATTTAAGTGTTTCAATTGAAAAAGAAATTTTTGTCGTCTCCACTGTGAAGATTTGCTACAGTGTACCATTGCTATCTCCACTGTGAAGATTTGCTACAGTGTACCATTGTTGTCTCCACTGTGAAGATTTGCTACAGTGTACCATTGTTGTCTCCACTGTGAAGATTTGCTACAGTGTACCATTGTTGTCTCCACTGTATAGATTTGCTACAGTGTACCATTGTTGTCTCCACTGTATAGATTTGCTACAGTGTACCATTGTTGTCTCCACTGTATAGATTTGCTACAGTGTACCATTGTTGTCTCCACTGTGAAGATTTGCTACAGTGTACCATTGTTGTCTCCACTGTATAGATTTGCTACAGTGTACCATTGTTGTCTTTAAGAATGTTACAGGGTTAGGCCCCAATCTCTTCCAATGTGTGACTCATATAACTGACTCTTTAAAAAAAAATTTAAAAGAAAGGAAAGATCCATTTTCCATGCCTTTAGGCATATAGGGCCTATAGGGCTAGACCTATATTTCTATAGACCAATCGACACAAGATGGGTGATGTGGTCAGCCTCAGGACAGCCGCCTTTACTTCCTGGGACTGCACCCACTCAGGGCTGGGTCAATGTGGGAGTCAAGGTCATTTTTTAAATAAGTCCTGCTCCGCCAGGGAGCTAACCCACGACCTTACGATCCGCAAGCAAGCATCTAGCTGCTACGCTACAGCGACTCCACACGGAATTGGCTCTAAACTATGTAATAAATCCATGTCACTGGAGGTTAGAAAAATAATTATCCTATGCTATACAGACCCATTTTTTTTCCCTTCAGAAATGTAGTTTTACAAAACTTAGACACCTTGAGCCCTAGCTAGAAAGTTGTTAGCCTACTCCTTTGAATCTCCTTGAATCCATGTAATTTGGTTTAATGGCCTCTTGAGCATTTAAAGAAGTGGTTTTTTTTTTTTAACTTTTTCAGTCTCAGGGGGTTTAGCATCCGAGGCCCAAAGAGTAGAAACATAAAATTGGTGCACTTTGCATCGCTGGGCTTCTGGGTGGAAACCTGTGAACGTATGATGTGTTCCTTTGGACTGAAAGAGTTGTTTGTAGTATTTGTTTTCACATTTTATATTATGTCAGCTATAGTATTAGATTCCTTTGCTTTTCAAAACATTATTTAAATATTATTATGCACTTAAACAAGGCTTAGCTTAGCTTTCCTGGAGAGTACGAAAAGCGGCTGAGGCCCCCTCTCCCCCATGTTTTAACTTTGTTGGTGCCCCGCAGCTATTTTTGTTTTCTACTTTTATGATACCCAAAAATATACTCCAACTTTTGCTGTAACAGCTTCTGGTAGCAGCCACGATGGGTGTGTACAAGGACGCCATCACAAACTTCCTGCCAACACCTTCAAAGTCTCACTACATTTTCAACTTGAGAGATTTCTCACGCGTCATCCGGGGTATTCTGCTGGTGCCAGCCTCTGAGATGTCAGATATGGAAAAGCTGATGAGGCTGTGGGTACATGAGGTGTACAGGGTGTTTTATGACCGCCTCATTGATGATGATGACAGGTACTATACATACATTTTTTTCCCCACTGTACGTTTAATGTAAAATAATTTTCCCTGATGAAATGTTTAGTTTCTGAACATGTCACTACTCATATATATATTAAAACATGCTCATAAACTTCTCATAGGCCATTAAATCTTGCAATTTTCATGAAAGAGATTGTACATTTCAAGAAAACTACTTCATTTTTCAGTTAGGTCCGTTGCCTCTGCTTGGCCTTAGCATCCGGTACAGTTAATTTATGAGTACATATTTTCCCCTCTGATTATCCATCTCACTTTCCATCCTTGTTACTTCTTCTTTTCCACTTGATCAGGAACATGTGGGAGCCAGTCTCTGTGTTTCCATATTTCAGTGTACTGGAATGTTCTTGCCCTGTTAGGACTTTTGTCTGAAACAGCTAAATCACATTTATTTATTTCAGTATAGTTCTATCATTGTTTATTTGTTGTTGTAGTATATTAGTGAAAGCTTTCTATCAGTAACGTTAATTTTGTTGCCTGTGATTGTGTCTTTTGATGAGCAGTCAAATATAAACATACAGACACAATGAATAAATGTTGAATCAAGAATAAGCATCATAGCACTCGGGACACTCCCATAAGAGCTCCGCTCTCCATTTTCAGCAGTGAAGAGTTCCGATTCTGATGGTACCAGTAACTGTATGATTGTCTTACCTTTCCATTGAATGTTGAGCTTCAGCTAGATCCTCTGGTAACTCCTCGCAGCGCTATTCTCCTCAGACTGTAATGATCTATCTGTGCCTCTTCACTGTTTACTAACTCAAAGGGCCCTTGTAACATCTAGTGTGTCATACTCATTTCACCACCAAGTAGTGCAGAACCGGCCAATCTATCTGCCTGCTAATTTACAACACACCAGCATAACCTGGAGAAAATATCCAAAGGTTGCTAACTACCCAGGACCTCTCTGAAGTGATGCTTGGGACTCTGCACGGAGCATGCCTGTCTTCACCTTTCTCAACATGCTCTGTGAGTCAGTTACAATCACATCATGTGTGTACAGTTGATTTGATTCTCCAGCCAGCTGAAGGCAACAGTGACTGCCTCCACCTCTTTTCTCAGACTAGATGTTGTGGTATCTTATGCCAGGTTTTGTTGCACTAAGCGACATCCATTCACTTTCGCTATGAACCCCAATGCACTTTGTCTGCCTCTCAACACAGAGCCATCTGTATAGATAGATAATCACATCACTGGGTGGGAATTGCCATGAATCCTTTGTTGAACTTCTGATTCTGCAGCACCAGCTGGCCAGTCTCTGCACTCACGACCTAAAGTGATAAGAACGCTACAGAAGTCTGAAACTTGTTCGGGCGCTTTGACCCACTCCTCTCCTTACTCAGATTGATTAAGCCTGCACACATGTCTAATACAGACAAGTCGAGATTGCATTTGAGGATTAGTGAAGCATATTACCCAGATTTTTCAGACTTCTCTCAGATTGATTATTATTTTTACCCAGATTGTTTCAGTCTTCTCTCATTCTGGTGATTATTTTTATTCAGTTTCAAAACATTTTTGTTTTAATTCAGGACCATGTTTTTCAAGATTGTGAGAAATAACTGCCAGGACAACTTTAAGCAAAATATTGACAAAGTCCTAGGCCACTTGTCCAAGAGTGGGAAGGTAGTCGATGCAGATGTACGCAGTCTCTTCTTTGGTGACTTCTTCAATCCAGAAAATAAAGTTTACTGTGAGATAACTGATCTGAAGCAGCTGACGTCAGTTATGGAACAGTAAGGACCATTTGAATGTTATTTTTTTTTGTGACCACATTTTTATTCACTGAATTTTACTTTGCGCACACACGGAATATTGTCCTGTTTTTTTTAATCGTCTAAAAGAATTTATTTTTAGATTTGTCATTTACATATAATAAATATTGTATACAGTCAAGCAGTTAAAATAATACTACACTATTTAATGCCTGAAATAATAACATACAATATTAAAACGTATCTACCTAGTATGACACGAAATACAAAAATTTAAATGGTGGACTCTGATAGCTTATTTTGTTGTGCATCACAACATTTTTAAACCAACATTGAACATGCTTTATATGCAGTTTAGTACCTAAAATTTCACAAATGTTTTATCTTTTTCTACTCCTTCTAAATAAAATTAAAACTAAAAACGGGGGATGTGTGATACAAGGCAGCATGTATGATG